AGGGGGGGGTAATGTCACGAGTTGGCACGGCGCCTAGCCGTTTTTTAATTTTTCCTTTTCGCGGGCTCGAACCCGCGACCTCTGTACTACCTGCCTGATACGGACACATCGTTATCTACTGTACGATAAGATTAGATGGGGCGGCAGCGCACGGCACAGCTCGGGCTCCGCTGACACAGCCGCTCTGACTCACCGGCCCCCGGGGCCGCGTCGGCATGCTGTGCACGGACCAGCTGCGCACGGACCAACGCGCACAGCCTGCCCTAATCTCCCCATGTATATAAGCCGGCCTCTGCTGCCCTAGGGACCTCAGTTTCGACCTCTTGTCCCTAGGTCAGTAAGCCCATCCTGTATCCTTTTTCTTACTTAACTAACTAATACATTTCTTGTCCCTAGCCTTAGGTTTGAGCCTCGCTCACCATCGCTTCGGTGAGAATCAGTCGGACGCCCCCAGCCTTCAGGTATCCCCCAGTCGCTTGACCTCAAGTCGCGACAGAGAGTGTCTACTTGTGGCTGCTCATGCATACACACCACTCATCCAACATCTCTGACAGCAGCGCAGGAAGATAACACAGTGGTGGGACAGAGCATGGGGTATCACTGGATGGAGGCGACAATGCGCACAGGGGCAATGAGCTGGGCAGACATGACATTTTTATTATGGTATGACAGTATCACAATCTACTATAGTACATGTTTTGTAATAGCGAGCACAGTGGAGAATACAATATGTACATTCGAGTGCAACACAATGGTCGACGGGGCCTGCTGCAAAACGGGGAGGGGAGGGGGGCGGGGTGCTTGCATCACGTGAAAGTAAATATGCTTTGCACTGGGGTTGAGCGAAATTGACCGGCGGTCAAGCGCGAGGCTGGTTGCACTGGGGTTAAGGCGGCCCTTTTCAAACGGGGTGCAAAGCACTTTGAGCTGGGTTCAACCTGGCGGCGGTCAAACTGAGTTCATCCGAACGGCTGGCCGTGTACTGGTATATTCACCAGGAGCATGGGTCTCAAAATACATGCAAGACGATATTGAGACATTTGAGACGTGGGTGGGCAAGATGAAAAACTTCTCAGATTTGTCGCGCGTGCCTTGTCGTGTCTTGTGCAAGTCACATGATACGCAATGTTTGCCCATGGGTTACACTGCGATATGGGTAGCTGCCGGTCACCGCATGCCAGCCGTAGGTCAAATCGATAGATTTGCACGAGGATCAAGCAATTTTGACCGGGGTGCAAACTTGACATTGGTACCCCAGGCATCTGCAGGCCGTTCAAACGTAGGCTAAAGTATCTTCTGGCTGTGTAGTATATAACGACCCCGTGCGATGTAAGTACCGCACGCGATTGTCCCTTATGGGCATCGCTACGCCCGTGGACAAACGCGCCCCGCCCTGTTCGCACCGTTGTTCCAACACCATGAGCACGAAATAATCATATAGCCTGTTTTCCCTGAGCTTGTTGGGGTGATAGCCATGAGAGTACGCCATCCAATGCTTTACAAACACCTTTGAGCTGGATATCATGTGAATCATATGGGAAATTGTTGGCCATGACTTTGACATGATGCATAGCCGGCAGGTGAATTGAATTGGAAGGAATCTCTAGTAGGAGGGTCTAGCATGACACATTCATATCAATATGATATTAAGGACGAGTGGGCTGGGTATCGCATTCTCTAGTAGGCAGGCATTTTGGACGCGTCCTTAGGCGCCACGACGCATGGCGCATTTCGGAGATCAAAACGCTTATGTAAGGCGAAATCGCGTCTTACGGTTCGGACCCCTCAAATTGAAACAGACTACTTTGACGGGCGAATGACCGCAGTACGTATGTGACAGCAGCTTGCTCACGGTCCAAGAATTATCCCAGCCTACATTAGACTGTCCAGCCCAGCGAGCCCACAGAAGGGAAAGCGAGAAACGTGTGAGAACGACGCCGGAAAGACCGCCGGCAGATAACATCCTCGATGGACAGGGATCAATGGTGGATAAAGTTACAAACCGATGGGGATACCTACGGCGCGCGACGCCTACATAAGTCCTATTCCCACACCGGCGCACGACCACGTGACCCGGCAGCGACGCTTGCCCGACATACCCAAAAGTCAACAAAACGCTCGGAAGGAAGTCGAGGATTCAGAGTAAAAAGCAAAGGGCCACGATCCAAAGACTTCTCAGGACTATCTACTCCCATACCGCCTTACATTGCTGGGCGAGTGCATCAAACGTCCGCGGAGGCCGTCCAGTCACTCGCTCCACGGCATCATTCATTTTATTTTCATCACCATTTCCCGCTGAGACTTCAAGAGAGGTAATGAACTTTGCGTAGTGTTTAGGCAGGCCGACGCGCATCAACCGTTGAATTCGTTGTTCGCCGATAAGATTGACGTGTGTGATTTCGCGTCCCAAATGACTGCTGAGTTTGGCCGCAATCTGGACAGCTACAGTCAGCGCGTACATTCCCGCTGAGTTTACAGCCCGAAGAGGCAGCGTACCTCGTCGTGGGTCAATAGCTCAGGCCCCAGCACCCGATAATCGGTATTGTGCGGTTTCTCGTCGGTGAGCGGGCGGAATGCGACGGCTGCAATGTCGGAGGCGCTAACAAACGAGATCTTGCCATCGCCACACGCCGTATAAATCTTGCCCTCGTCTCTGACCGTGGCACAATGTATCCCCTCCGAGAAATTTTCTATTCCCTGCCGTTAGTCGGAAGATGTGCCGCAAACTTGAGCGAACAAACGCACCCATAAACCAGGTTGGTCGGAGCACACAGTACTCAACGCCAATGTCGTTAAGATGCTGCCACACTTGGCCAAGGAGACGTCCGCCTGGCTCGGCGGAGCTACCGGCCATGAGGACGAACCTATTGACACCGTGCTCTTTGACTGCATAGTCGACAAAAGCAATCATTGGCGATGCTGGATCGGCGGCTTCCGGTGCAACCAAGTAAATTGCGGAAACACCCTCGTCTCCCGGGAATTCATGTTGGAAGGGGGTCGCAAAGGTCGAAGAGTCGAGCCAATCGAACTTGACCGCCGGCATGCCGGATGGAGCTGCAGCCTCACCCCTGCGTGAGGCCAAGACGAATGGGATCTTCGCATCTTGCAACAGACGCGCAATACGTACGGAGGTCTTTCCCGTGCCGCCTGTGAGGAGTATTGCCATGCTTGCAGCTGGATGACTTAAAGGAAGGCTTGCGCGGTGTTCGGGATAGGACAACTGTTGAAGGCACGTAAAGCTTCGAGGCCACGCGAGAATTTAGGTCAAGAGATGTACAATATTTGAAGGTAAGAAACTCACCTCAGAAGATGAGAGTGTTGTGCTGAGAAACAACGGCGTAAGCATCGCATCTATAAGTACATTGTCTACACTACCAGGCACTTACGTGTCTCGCCCGGCAGAGCGTGCCCCACGAGTTTTCCGGGCCACCAACGTCAGTAGCAGATAGTCGCAGGAAGTACACGGCGGCCACTTACTCAGATCCAAGAACTATCCCTGAGCCAGACGGTACCGTACAGTGAGCCTACGAAAGAGTAACAATAGCGAGGATTTCAGTTACGTGTCTTCGAGGTCTGGAACGTCCTCATTTCGGTACCCTTTTGATTACAACTTTCGACATACCTAGTCCGTAGCCCCTGTATCATTGACTCACACCTCTCACCGACACATACCCCACACGCAACACCGGGTGTTGACGTCATACATAAACGTTTGAAACCTCCGCCATTGTCTACTCACCCACAAAACCCCAGAGCACACGCGCAGTCCCCGCTCTCTCGAGGGTATGTACGCTTCAGTGCATCCACCGTGCAGTGTCTTCCTGGTTACGAGAAGTTATAAAAATGCCCCTCCGTCAGTGTGCATTCTGGCACGCTTCATGTACAGCTGATCCATCACCAGTGCGATAAAACTTACATCGTGGGCATGTTGCTTTTTACCGGAAATAACATATGGGGGCCTAGACTGATGGGGACGCAGCGCTCCGTGCAGTTTTGTGTTCTATGCAGAAATAGCAACTGGTGCGGATGCCTTCGCTTACTCTTGTGATGCGACTTGAATCTCGACGAGCTACACAATTCCCGAGGAACATCAGCGGTAAAAATGGGTTACAAGAAACCTCAAACGGGAGAGAAAGTAGCTGTGCCGCTCACCTCAGCCTTCTTCTCGGACTGCTCATCGAGGTCCTTTAACCGGGCTTCGATGCGTTTGCTGAATAGGACACTCCGGTCACACGGGGTTACAGTTGCAAGAGGAACTCGGAATGCACATTTTGCTGCGAATGAGATCCAGCCGTGTTTCCATATTGCTCTTCGCCTCAGCCTGGTCCTGTTGCACAAGAACAGACCAGATAAACTTGTATGCCGTGTTCTCCTTGGTTAATTGGGCAAATCCCTGTTGTGTACGATGTGGGTAATCGCATCGAGACTGATTGATACTGGGACGTGGACATACTTTCTTCCCGAGCTTGTCCTCCGACAAATGTGCACCCGGCCGTTGCCGCGTCTCCACCGCTGCCGGGATGTCATTTTGTATCTTCTGGTAGTCCGTCGTCGCGTTCTACAGATGGATCAGTCGAGCGGCAGACATTAACTTCGTCGCAGTTTCCGAGCGGGCGCTACGGGTGTTGCATTGAATATGGTTGGTCCGGTCCTCCCACTAGTTGATGTATATATGCGACAAAGCTGACAAAGCGAGCAGGCAGGTGAGCTCAACCTGTAGCCTTATTCGCTTGCGTGATGAATAGTGCAACACAGAGCAGCGCAAGGCTGCGTTTGATGCTGCTCATTCATGATAAGGCTTAAAGACATAATATGGGCGTAGCATAGCTTGACCACTGTTGAATACCAGCGTGCCGTACTATGCTGCGAGGATGATCAGGACCTACTTCGTCTGTCTTGTGTGCCGCTGAAAGAATAGATTGCCTGCCAAATTGGGCGAATCCCATCATGTGGCATTTCGGCGCTTCAGCAGCTTGCGCGCTTCCTCTCCGCCGAGTCTGTACCGTTATACTACCCTCTAGCCTTGCTCACTGCCTCCGCCGCATCAAACTTCAAGCATAGTACACATCGACACATTGTAGATGTCGACACCTGCGGCTGCACAACGCAAGCCAGCGCCGCGGCTCCCGCGCCCCGCGGCGCGTTACTGGAAGGGCAAAGCTCCCAAGGGTGCCGGCGAGGCTCTGTCCTCAGATGACTCGGACTACGATGCCGAGCAAGAGCAAGAGCCAGAAGAGGAGGGAGATGTGCTCATCCAAGACATGCAGCAAGACGATGATGAGGATGCACTGGACGTGCAGAAGCCCCAGAAAGCGGCAGCGGCGAAAGGCAGGGCTATGAACGTCGCACTAAAGGACGTCAATATCTCAAAGGAGGGTCGTGTCATTGTTGCGGGCAAGGAGGAGGTCGGACGGACAGGTGCTGAATTGGAAGGTGCGTGTAGCACGCTCTGCCGGCCTGTCTACGTGCTAAATTCTATCTCTCTCAGAGGAAGAGGAGGAAGAGGAAGAGGCGGAGGCGGAAGAAGAAGAGGAAGAAGAGGTTTGATACATTATTCCAATCCGTCTGCAGCTAATGGTTCTCACTACAGTCTAGCGAGGAGGAGTCAGAGGAAGAGAAGCCCAAGTTACAGTTCCGGCCCGTGTTTATACCAAAGTGCGTTCCTTTCTAATCCCTCGTTGTGCAGAATGTTAAAGACAACCTCAGACGAGCACGCGCGACAATAGCCGAGAAGGAAGCAATGGCGGAGGACACGGAGGAGGCCGTCCGCAAGAAGGAGCTCGAGGCCGAAGAGCGCAAGAAGCAAAGCCACGATATGGTCGCAGAGAGCATACGACGCGAGCTAGCTGAAAGTACGTCGCCTCGTCGGTCTCCCCTACTCCGCTCATAGTAAACATAACAACCATAGAGGAAAAGGAAATCGAGACGCCCGATGTGGACGACACGGACGGGCTCGACCCCACCACCGAGTTCGAGGCCTGGCGCCTACGCGAGCTCGCGCGCATCAAGCGCGACAAAGAGGCGGCGCTCGCCCGCGAGCTCGAACGCGAGGAGGTCGAGCGGCGGCGGGCACTGCCGGAGGAGCAGCGTCTGCGCGAGGACCTGGAGCGTGCAGAGCAGAGCCGAAAGGATAAGCCAAAGGGACAGCAGAAGTTCCTGCAGAAATACTGGCACAAGGGTGCGTTCCACCAGGACGAGGAGATCTTGCGGCGGCACGACTTCACGGAGGCGACCGAGTCGACCATGGATGTGTCGCTGCTCCCGCAGGTGATGCAGGTGAAGAACTTTGGCAAGCGTGGGCGCACCAAGTATACGCACTTGCTCGACCAGGACACGACGGTCGCCAGTGGCGGATTTGGCGGCACTGCGCCTGTGAAGGCGGGCGGGACGTCCACTGCGGGCGGTGGCTGTTTTGTGTGCGGAGGTCCACATATGAAGAAAGGTATATACATCGCATCTTCCTCTAAGACCGTACCAATGCTCAGTTGTGCACAGACTGTCCGCAAGCCAAGGACCTTCCGCCGCCTGGCCGTATAGGCACCGGAGCCAACAGCACTGCGACCGGCTCACGCCAATGGGGCGCGCGGCCAGATAAAGACAAGGAAGACGGCGGATCATGGCGGAATCGTGACAGGGACAACGATCGCAGACCGAATGGCGACGACCGCGATCGCCGGAGAGGAGACGATCGTGAGGGGTACCGGGATAGGGATCGGTATGACGAACGTGATCGTAGGGGCGGCTACGACAAGAATAGAGAACGCGACAAGGGAGACAGGTACGCAGACAGGAGGCGGCGGTCGCATTCACGGTCGAGGTCACGTTCGCCACCGCGACGCGAGCGGTGGCGGGATAACGGGTCGACAAAGGAAAGGCAGCGCTCGCGGGAGCGGTCGGTGGATGACGAGCATGGCGCGAAGCGGAGACGCGTTGATTGAGCATCTCACGTTGCGGTTGTATCATACCTTGTATTGGCCATTGCTCACACCGTCATACGTTTGCTGAATACACTTTACTGAATACACATGCAAGATATTCGTAAAGCACAACAGATTATGTCCAACACCATAGCGACATCGGGTCATGGGAGTCCAAAAAACAAGGTATAGCCTAGATAGTTGTCGCAAAAGCAAGAAACCGTGGAAGTTCACCCGCAAAGCAATGATTGTCCAGCATACAGCATTTAATCAACCCATCTTGACCATTAGGAGATAGCGCACGCGGATCTGCGACGTATCGTAGACAATATACTAAGGATACAAACTCGCTCAATGCGCGGTGGTAAATATGGTGCTGGAAGTAGACTGACCTCGTTGTACTGCAGTGAGACATTGGCGTCGGCAACGTCCTTTCCAGGACCTTTCGGCATGTGACAGCCTTTCAGAGCGTCGTTCTCCAAGACGTTACCAGCGTCTTGCCATTCCGCAGGCTGCGTACGACCCAGGCCTTTCGTGCACCTGCAGTATGGAAATTGTCATGATCAGGATGAAAGGATGCCATACCACGTGCAGCACGCACATTTTGTTCGCCGCTTTGCAGTCCACATCGGCGTGATAGTTTGCATGCTGCTGCTCGAGGACAGGCTTTGCTGCGACCTCACACAGAAGCATAATCCCGGTATTGTCACTCAAACTGAATATCAGGGTAATGAGAATCGACGATTTAGTGATTTGTGTCGCCGCACTTACTATGCGTGGCAATAGTTGGCGGACTGCAGGGCATTCCGATCAGTATTCCTCCTTTCGAACATTGCTAATGACGCATACCTTAGACATCATCTAATAACAAATCCATATGAGTGAAAAGGCATGTCCAATAAATGGTAGAGAGCTTACATCAGCGAAGTATACGCCCTTGCCGAACATGTATCCTGATCAAGGTCAGCATTTCCGCTTTTTCAAGTCGGAAGAATTGTATACCAGTCACAGGTGCTAGAATAGGACCATCAGCATATGAATGGCGGTTGGACAGCGCAATAGAACTCACCCTCTGGTGGCGCAATTCGCAGACCTTGCGACAAAATACCTACGAAGACGGTTCGCTTGCCAGCTCTGGAAAGGACGCGCTGCGGCTTACCTGCGAAGTTGGTCGTGCGAGATCCGTGCCAGAGCAGGAGACGGTCTCCATCAGCAACTTTGTCATGGCCAGCCTTTATCCAGGCATCGGTTTCTTCCTGCCTGTGCAGACGGCCTCGTCACGCGTGTGTGCCATTCCTGCCGCAGCGTCGGGACATACCGTTCGACGCGGAACGCGTTTTGCACCTGCACCTGGTAATGCTGATGAGTGGCGCCATGGGTGTCTCGTGTGTACATCTCCAAGGCTGTGAACTCCTTGCTTCCGGGAGCGACGGGATCCATGCTTGTCAGATGTAGGGACCGGAAGTTGGCATCCAACGGGTTGATCGGTCGACCCTCGTCGTCTTTCGGAGTCGAAGACGCAATGAGTTTCGAGGCGATTTCCTGGAGCAGCAGCATCAACAGCGAGTCAGGCAGTGAGACAGTGGTGCACTTACCATGTCACCAAGTGCGTCTACTAGTTCCAGTTCCTGCAGGGGAAGGGGGGATTAATTCAGCAGGAGTCTCATCACAATATCCAATATCTTTGAGCTCACCCGCTTCAGGAGCATCGAACTGTCGATGACGGTGGGCCTGTTTCTGCCGAATACGTGCGGTATGATGCTGATGCACCACGTGAGCATGGGGACCATTATGCATCACTTTGTTGCTCACGAGTAGTATCGTCCAGTGAGTTCGTTCACAGCGGAACGGAAGCCTCCGTATTCTTGAGCTGTGGCTCCATTCGGTTGGTCAATCACTTCGGAGAGTATCTGCGAAAGACTGGATTAGCTCCAGCTTCGTAAGTATTTACACTCCTCGTGCCTTGAGAGCAGCAAAGCCATTGAGGATTGTGGACTTCGCAAGCTTGCCTAGCAAAAGGGTTTAAGACTGTCGACACTCCTCATGGTTGAACAAACCTAGTGGAAGCTTGTTTGCGTCGTAGTTCATAGACGAAAGTGTTGCGTCGATCAACCTGAATGCATTCATGAGTTAGAAATCCTTACAGTCTGCGCGGATGCTGCCTACTTCGCCGAGAAGATAAGCCTGCAGAGGGTCTATAATATTGATCGGTGAGCCGTTGCGCTTTCTTCTCATATAAAGCGACACACCTGAATTTCTGTGGGAAGCGTGCAGTCGGGTATTTTAGCGGGTTCCTCCTCTTTCTTGGAGGAACTTGCGTTGTCGTTCTTAGTCTCCTCCTCGTCTTCAAATACGCGCTCTACAATCACATTAATTGCCAAAAAGAACCGTTCTAGATGCAGTGAACGTACCAATCCATTGATATTTCCCTATTCACAGTTGAGCGGTGTGAGAACCACCCAACAGAGTATCTAACACTTTGCTCTGACCTTTCTTGGCAACCATACCATGCCGCTGAGACCACTCGACGCCCGCCTTCGCCTTGAACTGCGCTTTGAATGCATTGACCGCTGATGAAGATCCGAACGGGCCCTGTATTACACATGCAGTCAGCTAATGTTTCAATACCAAGACAGCTTACCCTCCCTACCTTCTTCTGCTGTTGGCCGTTCTCGCCTACACGGCCCCACCGCGTGAAGAGGGTGCAGTTCTCAGTGTTCCCTACAGTATGCAGCACCTGTACGACATAGAATCTGACAGCATTTCAAGATAGGCATCAGCAGCGAGGCGAATGGGTGAATAGTGTTGAGAACTGACTTATTCGCATTCTTCCCAACGTCGGTCTGGTTAAGTGTTGCATCCCAAACATCATCCACGGTCACAAGAACCTGATGTGTATCTAGTCTACAAGTCTGAGGGAATGCCTGCTACGGACTTGATAACACGCACCAACCATGCCGGAGCATGGATCTACAGGAGCAGCCCCGCGTTTGAGCACGGTGACCTGGGATTCCAAGAAGAAATAAGCCACAATGCAGCATCCACACTCTCCATACCCACCATCTTCGCAGGCGGCGCATCTTGCGACGCGTCGGGGGAGACGGATGCAACCCCCTGAGACGCGTCTGTGGCTGGCGCAGTGTCTGTCTTTACCTTCTTCGCGTCTGGCTCGTCAGCGTCTGAATCGTGAGCGGCGGCTCGGCCGCGTTTTCCTTTCGCCTTTGTAGCGGGTTTATCTGTCGAGGCGGCAGTTGATGTGGCATCAACTGCCTGTGCCTTAGACGACGGGGCACGGGCGCGAGTACTAGCCCTAGTGGCGCGTGAAGGGGGTTTCGACGCGTCGGACGCGTCGGTAGCGACAGTGGCAGTAGCGGCTTTCTTCTTCGGAGGCATTGCGGGGGGACAAGTGAGGGTTGAATGTATTTGAGGATAACGGAGGGCGCGCATTTATATGGCGCGTCACGCCCAGCTCACATGCGCGCCTGTAACTACATTTAGTAATATGTCGGCATCCCGCCTCTCCATATATGGCAATGTGCGGGTCCGGCGACAGGCTCGTTGCCACACCGAGTCATATTCAAGTCGCATCAATGATGTACGTCGTCTTTTTGGCAAGTGGCGAGATCTCGGCTCTTCCAGACTCTTGGCTGCCGTGATGCTGGGAATTGCATCGTGCTCCGTGCAAGGCCTTCCATTTTTGCCGTGGGATGCATTATCAGTGACTTCATTATGTGAGTATCTGTCCCATTGGTAGCACATCTGGGGTGTATATCTACCTCCTAACAACTGCTGTGTGTCTAACATAAATACAAGAATCAAAGCAAGAAAGCCGCGGCCATCCGCCGACACAAGTCCTCTCTAGCGGAAGTCTATCAGATGTTGCTTTAATGCTCATCCGAGCCTGGATGACCCCACAGCACAGTACGAACTGCGCCGTTGTTCCAATCTTGCACGCGCCGTCGTGCCAGTATCGAGAATGTCGATCGGTCTGTTCCGACAAAGCCCATGCCGAGTGATTGAATGACTCCGTCCAGGATTACAGTGTACCTGCACGCCGAACCGCTCCTGGTAAACATCCCTTGTGTGTTGCGGAAGAAGCGACGTACCATCTTCCATACAGCTCGATGGTCTGCGCCCGCTCATGGTCGACGCGAAGCCACCCGAGCGCACGCACCCCATCCCACCAACCTTCATCGGACTCGTCGCTCGTCATGATGACATGATGCGCCTCGATCCCGTGGCGTTCACGGAGCTCTTGTTGCACCTCGAATACCCGCCGTGCGAACACGGACAACGACGGGAAGCAGCCATCACGCGGGACTTCGCCGCACCAGTTGACGAAGTCGCCGCGCCGAGCGTGGACTGTGATATACTGAGGATGTCTATCAGTGATCCTGCACGGCATTCGACGTTGCATGACTTACTGGAGGTATAGGTCTGCCTTCTGGGACGTTTAGTGTGCGCCGCAAGTACTCCTCTGCAAGCTGCTCCAGGTCTCTCGTCCACCGGAAGTATTTCACGACAAACCTCCACGCGGGGCTGTAATCGTAGTCATATTCCAATGGCTGGTTATTTGCTCGCATTGTTAGCGGCTCAGCGCAACGAATAGCATGCCGTACTCACCCTCTCGCCACATACATAGTATAGATAATCAAAGCACAGGAGCTGCTCGTCCGGCGGGATAAAGACACGATGCCGTTCGGATGCTCGGGTCGGATGGGCGGCGGGATTTGCTAGGACGTCACTGCGCGTCTCGGGGAAGGCAAGTTTTGCAAGCGACCAGAACGACGAGTGTGAGTCATGTAGGAATCCAGGTATAAGCTTGACCCATTCCGGCGCCCGCGTGTACGATATGTCTGAGGCCGTCGTTACATCGTACAAGCTCATCTAGCTGAAGAGGATCGAACGCACCGAGATTAAGCATGAGGGTCGTGTAGCTTCCCCGCGGCGCGTCCGCGGGAATGTTGTCCACCTCCCAGATGTTCCAGCAACCGAGATCATCCTGCTCGGCAAGGGACTCTGCGAGCGCAATGTTCTTGATTTGGTGCCATTCAAGTACTGGCGCGCCGATCTCCCGCGCGAGGCGCGAGACGTCGAAGATCGCAGAGAAGGCGATTGGTACGCTCGCACCGCCAATATGCGAAGTGAATGGTGGGATGACGGGGACACGGTCGGTGATGAGCGCGAGGTAGATTAAATTCCCCTGGTCTGCGCCGTCAGAGGTGCGCAATTGAGAATGCTAGCGAAGAGACGTACTATTGTCATAACATCATTTGCTGTGGTAAGGTCAGCCAAGTTGATTACTGCGAATTACTAACGACATACTCCAGCCCGCTGAAAGCCAAGAGGTCATGTATCTAGTATCATTTTTCAGACTATCTGCGCGAGTCGTCGAGTGAATACCGACAAAGAATCTGATTCAGCGCATGCTTTACCTTTAAAATGCGCAGTTGGTGGACCAGCGAGGTATGTCTCCGGTCGAAGACTTACGGGAAGTACGTCTTCACGGTCTGGCAAGTGCTCCACTCTCGGCGGGTTCAATGCAACATTATTTTTATCGAGGTCAGCATGTGATAATGCATCTGACTTTGCGAACGATGTCCACAGGAAGAGCCCAGAGAAAGCAAGAGCAATGGTCACAATTGCTGCGGCAATTGAACGCCTCAGCGTGAACTTCGGGAAGTCTAGCGCCACCGGCGAAGGAGGAAGAGCCACCTTTCCACTTGGCCTCAGCGATGGCAAGGCGAGTATGTTCCGCATGCCAATGCGTTGTGAGCAGCTCGTGGAGCGCTGCGAGGTGGCTGCATATCAAGGGGGAAGAATTCTAGCACATTATAAAGACAGGCAGGTACTCCTCGAGATCGCCCTTCACAGGGGCGCCCCATCAGGTCGCTGGAAGGCACGGAGCACAATTAAGGGGCCCAGAGCGCCAAGGAGGGGCGTGAAATAGATAACATCTGTTAAGTGATTCCATCACGATTTTCGGTATGCTCTGGGGTGCCGTACATGTTCATATTCGCTGCCTTGTTTGGATCGTTGACTGAGAGGACAACAATCGTGTGGCGAAACGTGTCAGGGGCGTTCACGCTAGTCCCCTTTTGTCGACCGAGGGTGTCAGGTTCGGGGATGGATGGTCCCTTGCAGCTTTTCAAGAGAGGTATTGTCACAGTTTCCCTAATTTTACCTAATTTTTCCGCTATTTCTGCGGACATATCAAAGGGTATAGGGACTTATCCATACTTATCCGTCCGCATATGGGTACAGCTGCATATCTAAGGGGTTATCCGCTTAAATAAGCGACACATGATCTTGTTCTGGACACATCAGGCAGGACTCTGATGCCGGACCTTTTCTAGATAGAAACCAGACTCCTTCTGGACCATGACATCATTCTGACATCATAGATAGGAGCTAGGCTCAGGCACTAAGCCATAGGCCGGTCAATTCTGGACCCTAGGCCCAGGGCAGGGCAGGGCCAGACTATGACATCATATATGACATCATAGAGCACATGATACTTAGTAATCTTTACCCAGCTAGGTACCAGGGGTCCATTACCGGTCCCTGGGGGGTTTTCCCTCATGTATATAAGACAGCATCCTGGGGCACCCTGTCCCCCAGTTCTATTCACTTCGTTGTTGCGCTTAACAGCATTACCTCCCCATACTTAAGTGCTATTATCTCCCCCCCTCAATATCAAGCTATAAGGTGGGTTTGTAGGTTTTGTGATAGGTATTTGACATCGGTGCCTTCGAAAATTTGGCCGGGGAACTTTACGCGCGACTCCCAGATCTCGCTATACTCGTCAGGCTTGCCGATCGGGATCGTAAAACTACCCATCGAGACACAGATCTTGTGGTGCTTTATAATCTTAGCGTAAGCTTCCAAGTCTCTAAACGTCAGGAATGAGCAACCTGCAGTGTTTAGAGAGAATAAGAAAGAGTTGTTGCGCTAGACCGTTCCGGGAAAATATCCTCCAGAGTTTGGACAGGTTATCAACATGAGGCACCGAAGAGAGGGGTATGTTATTGACAGTTATTGACATGGTTAATATAGGCCTTTAAACAGCAGCTACACATCATCTGTCTCACCTCTGTCCGAGCAGAAACCATTGTCAGAATCAGCAAATCGTCTAATTTGTCATCAGCATCAGCAGTGGTGACTGCCGTTCTTGTCAAGCGCAAAGATGTCTTGCCACATAACGCCTGAGCCTATTGTGATACATCTTAGTGAGATGGAAGAGTGACGCGAAGGCCTGGAACTTTTGACATCGTTACATGTTATTAGCGCTCCTAAAATGCCTTGAGTTTTCGACACAGTTAACAACATAGTTGATAAAATGTCAAAAACATAAGGGGTTTTGACGGAATAGTATTATTGCGCTACTAGTAGCCTAGTTGCCAACTTAGACTTGAGATACGACTCCGCGAGATGGTGTGAAACTTACTGTTTACATGTGAGGTTTACAGGCTCTTTAGTCTCTTCTCAAAGCCCTAGGTCTGATCCTGTGAAGTTTCCCTCCCATAAAACGAGACTTGAGCGCAGAGAGCCCGCCAGGCCCGATCTGAGATCGGCGCGTAATACGTTCTGAAAGAGGAAAGCCATCAACGCGTCGAGAGAACGCGTCAGCTGGGTGGCTGATACGCCGCGGTGCTCACTCTACCATAACCTTCATCTTCCACAATGGTCAGTATTCTCCCTCCAAAATTCACATTTTTGATTAACCATATGTTCCTCAGGAGCCTTCTCTTCGTCTCGTACCCGCACCTGCACCCAAGTCCGCGTCGGTGAGGGACACTGCGAACAGCCTCGGTCTGCACGACAATCTCCAGTATGGGCCTCGTAGCATCGCGGCAGAAGTCACTACGAACAGTGGCATAAGGGGCCGACTAGAGAACGTACGTCCTGCAGTATCATCTTTATGAGGCTCTTCAACGAACACTTCACCTTCGGGTCGCGTAGTGGCATGAGACACAGGACAACCTCAAGCTCACCATGCAGCGCAACATGTTCGGTCTGCACATGCCTATGCGGCAGCTTATGGAGCGCAAGCTCGTGTCATACGTGAGTGTACCGCTGAGTGGGTACAAAAACTCGATACTGAGTACGCTCTTGTTCCACTCCATCCAGAACCCGCACATGCCTGCATTTCCTCAGTCAAACATCCACCTCGACATCCTAATGGGGCGTGATGAATCGCTCGAACCAGCGGACTTTATGATGTCATGTACGTGCTCCCTGTCCTCTTAGCCGTACTCGTATCTGATGGCATCCCAAATCCTTGACTTGTTTCTGCCAAACAGCGTCCGAGGTTGCACAACCGCTGGATATCCACGCCGAGATGGAGAAGAAGCTGCGCATGTAGATGTATACCTTGTTCTTTGTACCAATATGATTCTTGTCTTCCATCCGATTTGGCCGTGTGATCCTGCCAAGGCTACCCTTGCACTCAGTGTTCACATGCCATGCACTAACGTCTGCAGTGGACCCAACAGACAGCTTAGTACTTGAGAGCTTGAGACCGTGGCTTGTAGAGAACAGTCGGACGTCATATGGTGTATACGCGTTGTAACTTGCTGCCGCCGTGGGAAGCCATACAAAACGCTCGTCTTGACCACGTACCATTGCGACTTGAATATTTGCATCTTTCCACTGGAACTAAGCTACGGATGCTGGACTTTACCACTCTCGTTCCCCAAGTTATTGTTGTCTTAGCTCTCATCTGGGCAACATGGTTCGTACTGAGACCGCGAGCCAGGCCTGCTTTGCGTACGGCGGCCATTCTAGTGCTGGGCGACATAGGTCGCAGCCCACGCATGATGTACCACGCTGAAAGCTTTGCCACGAACGGATTCGAAACGTTTCTTGTGGGGTATCCTGGTACGTTTTCATACATCATTCCTGGATCACCAAGGCACCGCAGCTCGCCTTCGTCAGACTCGGGCAGGAATGCCTTGACAGGCAGTTAGGCGTCGCCGCCAAGTGATTCCTGTCTGCATGGTCTTGTTGGCTGTGTGTGTCTGACAAGAGGGATTGAGTGGTAGCCAAGATATAAGGATTGGTGAGGAGCTGCCTCCGCATATGCGCGGCGGAAGCTTTGTGGGCAATGAAGAATCACTTCAGGCTTGCGCGATCTGCCTATGTCTCACCGGCATTCTGCAGGCTCGAAGCCTGTCCCTTCGCTTTTGTCTATCCCTCTCGTACACTTCGTCTATCTCTCGACGCCGCCTGCCTACCTGTCATCACTGCCCTTCGTCATCGCCGCCCCGCGCAAGGTGCTCCATCAAGTCTTTAGCATCTTGCACGCATTGCTCGTGCGTATCCCGCACCCGCCTGAGTTCATCGTCGTCCAGGTGCGTTCATTTATGTGTAAAGAACCAGCGACGCGGACTAAATAGTTGGCGTGATCGCGCCGGTACATTCGCGTCGAAAGAAAGAACCCACCCAGCATCCCAACTCTTGCGCTTGTATGGCTCGTGGCTAGACTGCGGGGAAGCAAGGTGATCATCGATTGGCATAATCTCGGCTACAGTATCCTCGCTCTGAAGCTGGGCGACAAGCATCCTCTCGTCCGGATAGCTAAGCAGTGCGCATACAGATGAGTAAGAAGATGTGACAGAGCTCAATCGTGCTTGCCATAGATTCGAGGCGTATTTCGGACGGTCTGCGTATGCACATCTCTTCGTCACGCGCGCCATGTGCAATTTCCTCGTCAAGGAGTGGAAATTAGAGTATGTCTTTCTCGCATTCAACTAAACTCTCGCATGACAAGCAACTCAACACCACAGGGGTCATAAACTCATCCTGCACGACCGGCCCCCCGCACGCTTCCACCGTGCCTCGCCAAGCGAGATGCATGAGCTCTTTCTCCGCCTCCAGCCGGCACTTGCGCTCCCCACTCTAACATCCTTCTTACCTCCCTGCGTCCCACCGTACTCCACGCCCTTCACTACAATGCCGCAAAGCTCTGACACCACGGCGATGGGCGCGGGTGCGTCCCTGCCCATGCCGCGCGAAGACCGTCCAGCACTGCTCGTCTCGAGCACATCGTGGACACCGGATGAAGACTTCAGCATCCTGCTGGATGCGCTCGTACGCTACGAGGAGCGTGCGCGAGAGTGCCGTCGGCTGCCGAAGGTGCTCGCAGTCGTGACGGGCAAAGGGCCGCTGCGCGATAAGTACATGCGGGAGATTGGACGCATGCAGAGTGGCGAGGGGGGCGGTGAGCCCTGGCAATATGTGCGGTGCATGAGCATGTGGCTGGAGGCAGAGGACTACCCAATTTTGCTCGGTGAGTAGCGCATTTCTCGGATTTACTGGATGCTGACTATGACGAACGCAGGATCTGCGGACCTTGGGATCTCACTGCACTCAAGTTCGTCTGCCCTGGACTTGCCAATGAAAGTTGTCGACATGTTCGGGTGCGGGTTGCCCGTGTGTGCACTTGGCTTCGCATGGTGAGTTGCGCCTGCGGCTACTGGCGTCATCAGAAACAGGAGTGCTGACGAGGACTGCGCCTTTGGCAGTCTGGATGAACTCGTCAAAGACGGGACAAACGGGCTGGTGTTCCACAATGCCGAGCAGCTAGCCGCCCAGCTCGAGGTAGGATCAGCAGTCTTTGCCGTGAGCATTCTGACTGAACGTTGGACAATTAATGCTACATAGAGCCTACTCTCGTCACATCCTAACTCGGCTCAGCTGGAGACTTTACGTGTGTCGCTGCAGCATTCGACCCCGATGTCGCCCTCGACGCACACGTCGTCAGCTTTCGCCGAGGGGCCCCAAGAAGAGGAGGACGAAGAGTCATGGCGCTGGTGTACGTGGGCACAAAACTGGGATCGTGTCATGCGGCCGCTCTTGCTCAAGGATGTAGGAGGCGATGACCTGTGAATCCTGATTGGAGTTATTCGGGTACACGTTACAGTAACATGTCATATTCGGCTCCATCCTTTCGATAAGTAGTCGTCTCATTCCTCCTATCCTGCGTTGCTTTCGTGCTCTCGCCTGCGGCATCCTGCCTACCCGAGCCACTGCGGCCAAAATATATGCGCCCATGTCACGGACGCCTCTGGCACGCCCGATCCTTGGCCCTTCAGCGCTTTAGCTTCAGGATCATCGCAGTCTCGAGACCTAAACTCCGGCGACGCAAGAGGTCAGCATACTATGTCTCCGCGATGCGATGGTCCGTGGTATATCTAAGCAGATACTCGATAAGAACCATACAATGTCATGACCTCATAAAACTCAATAATGTGGCTGGAGAAAGCCTATCGTGGCACAACACAGCCATATGGTATATGCGTGGACTCCCTTCGGAGGCGATGTCTCACAATTCTACAAGAAGGCCTGAGCTTGTAATTTCCAGACCTTTGCGTATTCCCCATCGCGCTGTAGCAATTGATCATGCGTGCCCGTCTCTGCAATCGATGATCCATTCATGAACCTTTGTATAGCGATCTGTCAGTTGGACCACGATGCAAAGCAGGAAGTCCCGCAACGATATACTTACAAAATCATGTCAGCGTGCTTGGTCAGGTTCCCGAAACGGTGCGATGAGAACAGCATTGTCCTCCCCCCTCTCAGCTCTCTCAGCCGCGCGAAGAGCTCTATAAGGCATAGCAAACATGGTCACTAACAGTCAAAAAGCAATTTGGCGAGGTACGTGCCGTGCTCTGCAGTCGGATCCAATGACGCGCTTGGCTCGTCAAACAGCAACAACCCAATTAGAGACTCTTCTGACACAATCGAACGCATGAGCGTCCGCGCTCTACCGGGTCTGTGAGCCGTGAAGCTTCTTGGTCTAAAACTGTAAAACATACACAGCAAGTCGTTGCATTTGACCTCCGCTTAGCCCTAGGTCCCGTGTCGCCCATTGGTTTATGGGACGACCAAAAATCGTACGCGTATCCGGTGGAAGGCCGCTATATGTGTCTTTCACGGGGCGATCGATATAAGTATCAAATCCCTCCGGCAGAAGTTTGATAAACTCCTCTGCTCCGCCAAGTCTTGCAGCCAAGTGAATTTGCTCATCGCTAACTTCGCTAGATGGGTTACCAAGAGCAATATTTTCTCGGATCTGGGCAATCCCGTTTCAGAGTCAATGACAATGCGTGAAGCATGAAAGATGTGTAACGCACTGTCAGAGGGAAGTGGTTGTAATCTTGGAACAAAACTGCCATTGTCTGGCGGAGGTCGGCCAACTTTAAGGATCGAATGTCTCGGCCGTCGATAAGCACCACGCCTTCATCAACATCATAGATGCGAACAAGCAATTTAAGGATTGTACTTTTCCCCGTCCCGTTTGAGCCAACAATTACCTAAGTGAACACAATCAGGCGCGAAACTCAACTGTCCCTTGAAGGGACATACGCATAGCTTTCCGGGAAAAATGTTGAAGGACACGTTTCGGAGAGCGTATGTATCACTGCCAGGATACTTGAACGAGACATTTCTATTGATATCAAACCCAATGTCAACGAAGGGGCACGGGTGCGAAATGTGACACAACAACAACCCACTTGAATTCGATGGCAAGCCCCGCTCGCATCTTCTGCACATCCTCAGGAAAGGGCTCGCGACCATCTTTCACGATATTTGGAATCTGAGCGACGTCATATAGTTGCCGCAGCTTGACCAGCTGTTCAGCCATGGACCCAAATTGTTCAATAAAGCGGTACAATTGATATCCTAGAGTGTTTGCGGTTTGCTCGATCAGATGCATTGAGGCAAGCGACAGTGGTATCGACGCAGGATATTGCACAGCTTGTAACGCAAACATGACCTGCGCAGAAATTATGTTGGTACTGGTCGCCTGGTGGTAAAGCACTGGCAGGACAGACCTGGGGCAGCGCACTCCAACACTGCTCGAATAACGATGCAACCGTGAATATGTTCCCGCGTTGACTGCGTTGATACATCTCCCACAAATGGCCACCAAGATTGTCGCCCAGATTTTCCGTTAGTCTTTTGATCTCTGTATTTACACACGGGATGAGATGAGCATTGATCCTAACCAAGATGTACATTCATGGAAGGTATGAGGGGTCTTCAGCCTACCTGCAGCGCAGTAAGCTCCTATATTCCCCGCCACAAGCTCCGTGCGATAGCGTGCCTCAGAAATCAGGGCTCTGAGACCTTCTAGTCTGATGAAGTCTTTATTCCTAGTGTTTGCAGCCCAGACAACTATAGACGGTGAGAGGACAGTCAACTATTGTTCGGGTTTCCACGAGACTTTCCTTACGTCCAGTACGAAACAAATATCCTGACCGATTGTTCGCCAGTCGAAATCCCGAGTGCGCGATTGCGATCGCAGCAATTAACAAGCCGCCTGGCTGTGCCTTCAGTACGCGGATGAGCACCGTGACCTGCCCGGTCGTTTGGACCGTGATCGTCAACGCGGATGCCATCATGTCAAAAGTCGACCAAGCGGCGTTGGGAAAGTACCCAGGATCTACGTCGTCGAGTTGGCGCTCCACGACTGCATCACCGAATGTGGGGACATCGAGGCGTGCACGTGCGTGGGCAATATGCACTTGGTAGTACTGCTGGAGCCGAGTCTTCATGGGATGCTGCAACTCTTCCTGTGCAAAACTGAGTAGGCGCTCTACCACAGTGCACACGGTGTGTCCCAGGAATACGCGCAGGAGGAAAGACTTGTCTACTGTGCGGATCTCTACCGCCGTTTGTACCTATTACGCCACAGCAATGAGTCTCGGGTTATTTCCTGTTGCTCATAAAAGCAAATACGACTCACGACGGAAAGAAGTTGTCCTGAGTACCTGTGACACGCTTTTCAGCAAGATCATGCTGCCATAGCGCAGTCAATGACAGACCATAGAGAAGCAGCAGGTATGAGCGCCAAGAGAAGCTGTACCAACGCGTACAACCAGAGCAGCGTGAGCCCATTCCTGATCTTGAGCATGTCATTGAGCACGAGTCGAATGTATGGCAAACACTGCACTATCTCTTTGTATTGCACCAGTGTTGCGGCGCCGGGAATGCGGGAACGCAGAGAATCTTTCCGCTCCTCATATAGATCCCAGACACCAATGCGGATGTGTTTGACGCGGGCTGCATCTTCAAAATCGTACGCGCCATCCGTGGAGCCATTCGCATCTTGGACTGTCTTCATCTGTGAGACCGTGTACGAGGCGTGCAACGAATCTGGTGGGCATCTTTATGAGGAAGAATGTCCATGCATCGTGCCCCGGTGACCCTGGATGTGATGTCAGCTTTGAGCCAGCCGATGTCTATCAGCGCGCCAAAGAACAAGTCAAAGCACGAGTACCAGGAATATGAGAAATATGGATAAGCGACGGGTCCAAGAAACCATCAATTAGGCGACTTGCACCCGTCGCAGCAGATGGACGAATGCTCCATGAAAATAGTATTATGCCGTCTCTGATAGCGTAGCAACACAGCCTGAGATATGAGATAAAAGTACATGTGCGGGCGCTGAGTCCGGCGTATTGTGGCTCAGGCGGGTGATGGGGATTGTTCGAGTCATCCTGCTTTTTTATGCGGTGAGCACGTGTACGGAGAAGAAGGAAACGCAATCTTGCGATACCCTTTGACAGCTAAGCGCCTACACTCTACCAACCTACGCCATGATGGTGGGGTGGTGACGTCGGAGGTCTCTGTCTTGCCAGTGCCGCCGGTAAGAAGGCCGCCGATGCGACCAAGCCCGTCGACGATGATGGACCCGGAGTCACCGGGGGCTGAGAACGCGCCGGAATTGTTGTCGTAGTTGTAGATAGCCCACGCCATCGACTCCTGACCGGTTTCGTCGTCGCGAACGAACAAGGAGACTCCCGTCGCGCGTCCGATGATGACGCCGGTGGCGCTGCCGTTCTTGATGACGAGCAAGCAGGCCTCGTTATTGTGATTGAGCGTGTCGGGGTCGCGCATGCGCTCTTCCGTGATTATATCGCCGAGTTGGAGGGGACGATCGTCGAGGTACTTGAAGGTTGGCTTGCCGTCGTCGCGGGGATACATCTTCGAGGTGAACTGGTGGGGCGGGATCTCGGTGCCTGAGTGTACAGTGTAAACGTTAGACTAGACAGCCTGGGTGAGATGAGTCGAAATACACCAAGATCAATACAATTGCCCCTGAATGCATCCTTGAACTTGTCACAGTCAAGCTCAAACGCGCCCCAGTCTTTGGTAAAGCCTCCGGGACCGACATTGAAGGCGATGGCAGGGGAGAAGTGGATGCAGCCGATGTTGCGCTGCCCCCAGTCCTTCTTGACTTGCGCGTAGCGCGTAGAACTTCTCGAGCTCCTCGATCGCCTCATTCGCTTCGTCCATCAGGTTCTGGGTCTTCCTAAGCTCCTTCTTTGCCTCCGCAACATCCTCCTTGTCGTCAGCATTTACCTCGCCCTCAAACTCGTGATCTGCCGCTCATGAAGCTCCACCATGATAGCGTGGCGGCCGATACGGACCCTGATGGAGGAGAGAAGTTTATGGAAGGCGCAAGTGCCGAGTAACTGCACATTATTGGAATTACTCGGCACTTCCGCATCCGTCTTGAAGAGGACGTGGTGGCAGGTGAGACCCGACCTTGTCACTGTCACCGCTCTCGGCAAAATAGAGGGTCATGGTGCCCTGGGCGTCCTGCCTGTCAGAGGCAGCGATAGGGAGTCCGAGAGCGGGGGTAAGGGGACCGCGGACGTCCACGGTGGCGTTGAAATCGGAAACAGAGCGAAGAAGCGCTGGACCGGCCGACCGCTTGTAGACGGACTCGCGGTATTCAACTTCGACGTCATCGATGTCGAACTTTGCGAGAAGGTCAAGAATGTCGTTGCTTATGCCGAAGGCGTCTTCGCCGTTAAGCGAATCGGGACGAACACCGATCCAGATCATGACAGGCCCGCGAATCTTCTCGTCCCCCGTCGCCATCGGTGATGAAACGAACGACGTCTATGGACGTCCAAGAGACCCTCTGGGCATTCAGCAGGTCCCGAACCAGGGGACCTACGTCCTTCCAGACGACGTTGAGCTTGTGCCCGAACACCCCACGTGCCTGCTTAAGCTTGCGATAGGACTCGGGACCCGTACGCTTGACCCGGGGCGTCTTCGAGCTCCCCGTACGGTATACGGGCTTCGGGGAGTCGGAGAGATGCCCGAGTAGTAGAACATTGCTTCGAGCTTGGAGACATGGTAGGGAGGGGAGTTGGAGGAAGCACTGGACGCATAGTCGCTCAAGAGGTTGTGCTGGGAGAACTCACCCTCCGTGGGGGAGGCAGAAGAGCTCTGGGCACATTCCCAGGCATGGACGATACATGCGGTGACGAACCCCGAAGAAATCACTAAACGATAGACGAGCGGATCAGTATGAGAGAATAGTAGTAAAAGGCGAAAGAACTTGCTTGCACTCATTTCGAGGGTGTTTCCGGGAGTTCAAGATTCATGCCGAAAGCCTTACAAGCCGGAATCCGTGTGGTCTTTGAGGTCCAACCCATTGACTGAATCGAAGTTCTTTAATAGGGGTGCTCAATAGGGGCACTCAATATTAGAGTCGCTCGTTCGTTCGCGGGATGCCCGCACTTTTTTGGCAACCCCGACAGATCGGTGGCCAACGGATCAGTCGGGGTTGGAAATACCCGACAAAGGTGGGCGCTCCGCGCACGAATGAGCGAGTGACAACCATTGAGCAGCCCTGTCGTTGAACCTCACAAAGTCCGCGCTCGATCTGCGACTGGATCAATACTTAACCAGGGAACTCTACTTGGAGGAGAATGATTTGCGATTGGGCAACGAGGCCACGCGCTTGTCCAGGTATGTCGTGACTCGTGACCGCTGACTCTTCTGTCACGAGCATGTCACGCACGTGCGGTCAGCGTGATCAATGCGCACCCTGACAGTCACCCTCAGCACCCCATTGGACAAAGCTGCGACGTCCGTAATTGCGCTCACCGCGGCGGTGCTGTCTGATAAGATATCCTTGGCCATCTCCAACAGGCTTCCATCCCCCCTCTCTGCACCCCAGGCCGAGGACAGGTCGAGGGGATACCAACATGGTAAAAGTTTTTCCATTGCACCACGACGTCAATAGCTCACAAGCTCGCCCAAGGTTTTCGTAAATAACCAGAAATTCGCATGGTAAATACCCTCGGCTTTCCGTGCACTCTACTACGTTACTCACAAGTAAATTCATAGCGAGTCCTGCATTAAGGGTCATCGCTCCTCGTCGTGTCAGCATACAGATCGACCTCTGTACGAGATCAAGAAGAAAGGCCGTCCAGTATCGCAATGCAACAAGTGTCGTGAACTGCGTAGAACAAAGCGGATGCACAACAAGTGCAACTGTGTGCCCGGCGTCTGCACCGAACTATCCAGCAGCGAGAGCAATGAGGTTGGCTCATCAAGCGGGACGTCCTCGCCTGAAAAACGTGCAGTGACTCCTTTACTACTTCATGGTCGTACATCCTTACATGTCTCATAGCACGGCGCTTCAAACCCATTGCGCCTGCTCTGCCTAATGGTATTCAAGACCTCATTACACCGCAAGTTACACTTCGCCCTGTGTCTGCAGACTCATGGGTGCAAGGTAGGGCTCTCAATCTTAGCATCCTGAATCCTCATTCATTCTTGCTAGTTGACGCGACGCAGAGAGGCTGCTCGTGCAACAACCCCCTGAATTGCCGATGCTTCATAGCAAATGGCGTGCTCGGTGACAAGGCGTCTCGGAGTGCACAGCAACATGGACTCTCTACCCTTGCCGAAGCCGCCGCATTCTGTTGCACCGAGGCTGAAACCCAAGTCTCCATTCCACAGTCCAATCCTGTCAAGGTGGTTTCGCCGTGTCTTCCTGAACAGCGGGCGAAGCGCCGGAAGGAATCGTCTGACTGCTGTGCAGAGCGCCCATTCGAACCACTACAGTCCACACATTCCAAGCGAAGCAAGCTCGGTTCCCAGTCTCAGCCGTCACACTCACACACGCCATTCCGCGCTTGCGAGATTACGCTTCCCCCTCTTCGTTACACGGACTCAGGACCCGTGCCCAACTTCCCCGCGATCCCCCCGCTGAGCGCGATTACATCCCTCGCAGGCACAGGCTGCACCTGTGGCGTGGAGTGTACCTGCCCTGGCTGCGTGCAACACCGGGGGTCCCATCATGCGTCTCGCGATTTCGCAGATTGCGCGGACGGCTGCGGGACTTGCGTCGACCACGGAGCCGGTGCGGAACTTCCGGGGCCGCTTGCGTCCAGAAACCGCACCCCGGGTGACGATTCCGCGGATGCCGGAGCCCACATGAGCTTCCTGGATGCGTTTTTTGCTCGCGCAGCCGCGCTCCCTCCTCCGCCGAGCGCACGCCCTGCTCGGCTCGACGCGACCAACGTGACGGTGTACCCGCCGGCACTGTTCTGGGGCGCCGTAGAAGAGCGCGAGAGGCGCAGCGCGGCGTTTGGGCTGGTCACGCTGCCTCCCCTGCGTTGCGGTTGCGCAGGTGGGTGTGGGTGTCCGGAGGGGCAGTGCGCGTGTGGGGACGGCTGCGCTGGGTGTTGCGACGACGAGGGGGAACATGATGAGGGCTTCGTGGAGGCGCCACCTGTGCGAGTGCGTTAGCGAAGAACGCTGGTTGGATGGTGACGTTTCGTGATATTCTTTACTTCCTTTTGTATGGGTAGGCTCGTCCCTCTTGTTCATGCAAGATCCGAGACCTTATATTTATGATGCTTGTTCCACGGCGATGGTAATCTGTATCCAGTCATCTTTTCCTCCGCTCCTTACTCTGCTCCAACAGGTCTTTACTGTGTATTTTATGTGGTGTCTTACTGCGAGTGTGTTTGAATGAATTTTACGATCATAATCTGCGTGCCTATGCGTGCGACGAGGCCGACTTATTCACAGTCACTATTTTGCGTACGAAGCTGCGAGATCCGCGAACGCTGAATGTGGTATACGCTGGATACCAGTAAGTAATATGGTCTCTGCAGGAAAGGTTTTGCTAACGCCGGCAGCCATAATATGCTCTTTTTGGCAGTCTGCCTTCTTGAAATGGCAATAGCCTACACGAATGTCGACCAAAGCCTCTTCGTTCGCACAAATCCGGGCTTGTTCTTGCTAAACGCTTAACAAGACATGCATACAATCGTGAACACCGCACATACTGCATTCATACAAAATACGAGTACTGATGAGATTTGCACTCTTTCGGCGCTGCGGGTCATCGGTATGCTTACAATTACGTGCTGCTGTCCCTCGCATCCGCCTCCTCACACTCCGCAATTCTTGTCTCTCCCTCGGTATTGGGTATGCCCTCCATCACTGTGAACATATTCAATTTGTTTGGACTTCGAAGTTGTTTTGAATCTGACGCCGTCGACCAAGCGCCCAGATATGCTAGATCATCACGTGTGGCCATACGAGCGCCTGCATCATCATAGACTCTTTCCACCCGACTACACTCGTATTCTTCTGGCCAGATGTCTACCGCTGGCGAAGATGAGTTCACGCACCACCTAGCTATCAAGCTTTCAAGGGCTCTCAACATTGTAAATCCTAACGACCTCCTTGCCCGCCGCGTGCAAGACATTGCGAAGACGAACACTCTCGAAGGCTTCACAAATGGTTCGTCCTATTCATTATTCATAACTGCATGTCGTTTGCTTACTCTTGATTAGCGGCCAAGTCTTTCGGCAAGTTCAAGGACTCCTTTCTTGCAGAGCTGCATTCCGAGATTATATCACATGAGAAGCAGGAAGCGGCAGGGCTTACTCCTCAGCCGGTGCAAGGCATCGTCGTGTACGATAGCGAGGTGCTGGAACCTGACCCTGTCCGCCAGGGCGGCCTGATGCGCTCGGATGCAGTGCGTTCAGTCATGCGCTCACTTGTCCGACCTTCTGACCTTCGTGCAGAAACATACATTTCGTCAGCCTGCGAAACCCATTGAACCGCCTACTCCGAGAGCCTCCATTCTTGGACTCGACCGACTGGCACAGGAGAAACGCGCAGCTGCCGCTGCCAATGGCGAGGGGAGCAGGAAAAAGCCTCGGTTAGACGACGGCGAAGAACCTTTCTTCAAAGGTGAGTCTTATTGTTTTCGTGCTGTTCGACCGCTCATCCTGCTTTTGAATTGAGTCCCGAGCCTGCCTGCATCGCGAACAGCCAACATACGACAACGTGGCGAAGAGACACCGTCCCATCCCGGAGGTCTATCTGACACGGCTCGGAACAGGCTGGAGGAATACAGACGTAGACGAGAGCGAGGTGCGCTGCTGTTTTCCGTTTCGTGGTGCTACTTGCTTACCGGCAGTTATAGAAGGAATCAAGGCGGAGAACGAGCGGCGCGACGATGGTCCTCGTGGGCTAGGCGACTTCCAGCGGCGGCTGAATCGTGACCGTCCGAACGACTACCGCCGCAATGATCGCGACAGGGGATACAATCATGACCGTGACAGACGCGGGTGGGACGCTACCCCACGATCAGAGCGCGGGGGTCGCGGAGATGATGCCCCGAGTGTGCGGGTGCCGAACATTGGTTGGGACGCGACGCCTCGACGACAATCGTCTCCGTCTGCAACGCCTATGCGTAACCGGCGCTGGGATGCGCCGACCCCCCGGAGGCGTTCCCCTGTTGACGGTGAGAATGGGGATGGTTTGGCGGGAATGGGTCTGGACGCGCATGAGTGGGAAGAGGAGCAGATACGGCTCGATCGAGACTGGTACATGGGTGCAGAGGAGGGTGGAGTCGCAGGTGATGAAGAATTCAACCCACTCGCTCAATATGAGGATCTGGGAGCGAAACGGCAAGCAGAGGCTGCCGCAAAGCAAACAAAGAAGATTTCGGCGAAGCAGGCGCAATACGTGAGTGGTAACGCCAGCCATAGTGAGATAGTTTGTCTGACGCCAGGACGTAGAACGCAGATAATGATCTCTGGGAGGCAAACCGCATGCTCACGTCTGGTGTTGCGACTCGCAGGACGATCGATCTGTCGTTCGAGGACGACTCTGAATCATCTGTCCACGTTATCGTCCATGACCTCAAGCCTCCATTCCTGGACGGACGCACTGTCTTCACGCGTCAACTTGAGCCCATCAACCCTGTGCGTGACCCGACAAGTGACATGGCAGTGTTTTCGCGCAAAGGCAGTACCCTCGTCAAGGAGAAGCGAGAGCAGGCTGAACGTGCAAAGGCAGCTGCAAAGCTCGCTGCACTTGGGGGAACAGCTCTGGGCAACATCATGGGCGTGCAAGATGAGGAGGCACAAGCCGAGGGTGAGTATTTAATCTTCTCCTACAGATACATCGGGGTGGACATTCACGTAGTACCATTTGACCTGTGCCACTTATGTGACATGCAGCCGAGGCGGATGCAAAGGCCAAGGGTGGTGAGAAGGAGGATTATAAGGGCGACTCGAAATTCGCGTCGCACTTGAAGGTTGCATCCGGAGTCAGTAATTTTGCGAAGACGCGCACACTCAAAGAGCAGAGGGAATATCTACCGGCTTTCGCATGCCGTGAAGAGCTTTTGAAGGTCATCCGCGAGAATCAAGGTCTGTATGTCGACTTCGTCGCATCTTCAGAGAGCACTTACAGATTTTGCAGTCGTTGTTGTTGTTGGTGAGACTGGTTCTGGTAAGACAACCCAGCTTGCGCAATTCTTGTACGAAGACGGCTACTGCACCTACGGTATCATCGGATGTACGCAGCCTCGGCGCGTCGCGGCAATGTCTGTTGCCAAGCGTGTCAGTGAGGAGATGGAGTGTAAATTGGGAGCTACTGTCGGGTATGCCATCCGATTTGAGGACTGCACGTCGCCAGAGACCAAAATCAAATGTGTGTACCCCGAAGTCTAGGTTTGCGCACCTGAAGCACATACTAATTAGTCCTGGGCAGACATGACGGACGGTGTACTTCTTCGTGAGTCTTTGAATGAGGGCGACCTTGACCGGTATAGCGTCATCATCCTCGATGAAGCGCATGAGCGATCATTGAGTACCGACGTACTGATGGGTCTCCTGCGCAAGAGTGTGTCTCCCATTTCTACCGCTTTTACAATCTGGCTGACATTTACATAGTTCTCTCTCGCCGGAGAGACCTAAAGCTTATCGTCACGTCTGCTACTATGAACGCGGAGAAGGTGCCCACCTATTTTGGCTGTCTATCTATAACGAATGCTAACGCTAAGTGTAGTTCTCTAGTTTCTATGGCAATGCACCGACCTTCACCATTCCCGGACGTACCTTTCCTGTTGAGATCTTCCATTCCAAGTCACCTTGTGAGGACTACGTCGATAGCGCGGTGAAGCAAGTCCTGCAAATTCACCTGTCGCTTCCACCGGGCGACATCTTGGTCTTCATGACAGGTCAGGAGGATATCGAAGTGACATGTCAAGTCGTTCAAGGTATGCTGCGCTTCTGTCGCTCTTTACGAACCCACATTGAGTTGAATTTATCATCATAGAGCGATTGTCGCAACTGGACGAGCCTGCTCCACTCGCAGTCCTTCCTATATACTCGCAGATGCCGGCTGATTTGCAAGCGAGAATCTTCGAGCCAACTCACGATGGGCGGAGAAAGGTTATAGTCGCGACCAACATCGCTGAGACGTCTTTGACTGGTAGGTCTTCCCTGAAATGGTATTGTGTCACAATTTCTGACGTCATAATCCACCAGTCGATGGTATCTTGTATGTAGTGGATGGGGGCTACTCCAAGCTCAAGGTGTACAATCCGAAAGTCGGCATGGACGCGCTGCAGATCACACCGATCAGTCAGGCCAACGCCAACCAGCGTACAGGACGTGCAGGACGTACAGGTAGTGGGTATGTATCTTCCTGCAACCTAGTCTTAAAACGCCTATGTCTTATGTCGTCTCGCCACATTCAGGTTTTGCTACCGGTTGTACACTGAAATGGCCTTCCGGAACGAAATGTTCGCGAACAATATCCCGGAGATTCAGAGAACGAACCTAGCGAATACAGTTCTAATGTTGAAGTCGCTAGGCGTGAAGAATCTCCTAGAGTTTGACTTCATGGATCCACCTCCACAGGTTTGTGTCCAGATAGATGTTGCCTTCGGTCAAGTTGCTGATTCACGATTCAGGCCAACATGCTCAATTCCATGTATCAACTCTGGGTATTGGGCGCATTGGACAACGTTGGTAACCTCACACCGATTGGACGGAAAATGTCAGAGTTCCCAATGGAACCCTCCATGGCGAAGATGCTTATCGTATCGGTCGACTACAAGTGTTCGGCAGAGATGCTGACGATCGTGTCGATGTTGTCGGTACCGAGCGTATTCTACCGGCCAAAGGAGCGTATGGAAGAATCGGATGCAGCACGCGAGAAGTTCAACGTTCCAGAAAGTGATCACCTGACGCTATTGAACGTGTTCTCTCAGTGGAAGAGCCATGGGTGAGTTGAACGTTTGCTTTGTGTGTTCCTATCTAAGAACGCTACATCGGCAAGCTATCGTGATGATTGGGCACTACGGCACTTCTTGCACCCCAAGTTACTGCGGAAGGCTCGTGAAGTGCGAGCTCAGCTCGAAGACATTATGAAGTTCCAAAAGATGGAGCTTATCACCGCTGGCACCGATTTTGATGTGATCAGGTTTGTTCAATAGCAGCTGTTGCAGTGCGCCTTCACTGACTGCCATACAGGAAAGCGATCACAGCTGGTTACTTCCACCAAGCGGCTAGGGTGAAGGGTATTGGCGAGTTCGTCAACATCCGAACTGGCCTGCCAACGCATCTCCATCCGACTAGTGCACTCTACGGGCTAGGCTGTAAGTTTCTCTGCATCCCTGCCTGAACGGGACTGACCAATGCTTTATCAGATACACCGACCTATGTCGTGTATCACGAGTTGATCTTGACCTCGAAAGAGTATATGACGCAAGTCACATCCGTCGATGCGTACTGGCTTGGTACGTCAATGGCGAGATTTGAAGCATATATTCCGCTGACACTGCTTCGTTATCTAGCGGAACTCGGATCTGTCTTCTATTCCGTGAAGGAGAAGAACTTTGATGACCGCGGCAACAGACGCGTGACAGATCGTGAGTTCTCCAAGAAAGCCGAGCTAGAGACCGAGATGGCGAGGCAGCGTGAAGAGTACGTCGTTTCATCTGAAGGTAGTCTTCTGCTTATTTGTCGATCACTTCCCAGAACTGCAAAACAACTAAAGGAAGAGGAACTGGCCACACAAATATCGAAAGGGTCGGCTTCCAAAATCATCGTACCCGGTACACCAAAGCATACAGGCATTGGTGCGGGTGCTCGCGTTATTCAGACGCCCCGCCGTAGAGTGGGCATCTAGCTTTCCTGTAATTACCTGCATCGTATTCGTGCTGTCCAACTGATGTTATAGATACAATCCTTGTCCGTATATATGGAACATGTATAACCATTAATTATCATAGGCGTTGCTTTGGGATGTGTTCATTGCGGCTGTCACGGTAGGCAATCATTGGAGACACAGACCCTCCGACGTGTGTCATTACAAAAATGCTTCTGCTTGCAAACTCCATATTCTTGCATATTCTCCCCCATGCTTGAGCAATTCGTTATGCGTTCCAGTCTCGACGATCACAGAATCATTGATGTACCTGTGTTAGGACATATACTCAGCATTACACTCTGCAAATAAGACATGTATACGCACAGGATGAGGTCGGCATGTCGAGTAAGATTGCCAAATCTGTGTGATGAAAAAATCATCGTCTTGTTGCCCCGCAGATCGCGCAATCTCGCGAACAAGTCTGGACGAGTCAGTCAGGGATGAACTCGTTCGGACGGCGGACGAGATGAGATATATGACACACCGTGCTCTGCGGTTGGATCTAACGAGGCGCTCGGTTCATCGAAAAGCAGCAGACCGACTGGCGAGTCTTCTGTAACGATTGAGCGCATGAACATGCGGGCTCTATTTGGGGTATCAGCTATGAGCAGCGATAAAACATGTCTAAGCCGGGCTCACACAGCAAGCCTCTGCATCTGCCCGCCGCTGAGCCCATGGGTGCTCTTGTCGCTCATGTTTCCAACGAAACGCATCGCGCTATAGTCGACGGGGCGCCCAAAGAGCTTGTGCGTGCCTTCAGGTAGTCCCGAGTAGTAGTCGCTGACCGGGCGATTGAGATACGTATCAAAGCCCTCTGGAAGGCGCTCTATGAACTCTTCTGCGCCGCCTAGCCGGGCCGCTAAGCGGACATGCTCATCGTTCGCTGCTTCAGACGGGTTCCCGAGTGCAATATTGTCCCGAATCTAGACAGTCAGGGTGAGCGGGCAGCATAGGCGCTTCATAGGCAATCAGATCACTCACGGAGAGCGGGAAGTGCGTGTAGTCCTGGAAGAGCACAGATACAGCTTGGCGGAGGTCCGCCAATTTCAATGTGCGGATATCTTGGCCGTTGATCAGTATTTCACCCTCTTCTGGGTCATACAGTCGCACGATGAGCTTGAGGATGGTGCTCTTGCCTGATCCGTTGGCACCGACTATGACCTGGCTAACACAGTCAGCCACGATCGAGTATGTGCAAAAATAACGCACGCATAACTCCCCGGGGCCGACTTTGAAGGACACGTCGCGAATGGCGTATTCGTCCGTTCCAGGATACCGGTATGACACGTTCCTATGTACAATAGGAGCGGTAGAAAATGGTGAGCTTAACGATTACGATAGAAACCGGAGCGAGATTGGCTCACCGGAACTCGACAGACACCCCAGTCTTGACTTTCTGCGCAACCTCCGGGAAAGGGACAGTCCCATCGGGTATCTTGTTCGAAATATTCACCACTTCGTAGAGCTTGCGTACATTTCCGAGCTGGTCCGCGATCGAGCCGAACTGTTCCATGAAGCGGTACATGGTAAAACCGAAACGTTGTGTTGTACCCTGAATGAGGTTGAGCGAAGCAAGCGAAACAGGAATGTGCGCCGGGTGCTGGACGGCGCGGAGAGCGAACACAATCTATACATTTTGGGATCCGCTCAGCGGTAGAATGACGCTTCACCGCGATCATACGCACTTGAGGAAGTTCACGCCAGCAATCTTTCAGCAGGGACGTCAGAGTAAGTTTTTCGTGAAACTGCTGCTCTCGGACAATCTCCCAGAAATCAGCGGCCTTGTCACCAACACGCTGCGCTGCCCTCTTGAATTCTACAAGATACGACGGTATATAGTGCGGCTCTCAAACAGCGGGAATGACTAAAAGGACTGACCGGATGTACAGTACTCTGCCAAATTACCGGCCACAAATTCTTTGCGATGAGATGAGCCACTGACCAGATGTTTTAAGCCTTGCATTCTGATGTAGTCCTCGTTTTTTGTTGTTGCTGCCCATACTGCTGTAGGAAGTCAACATCTAGTCTCAGCAATCGAGGGGCAATAATACCAGACTCCCGAAACGCGAACCCTCTACGTCCGCCAAGCCAGTCAAAAACAGACTGAAGAAGGGAAATGGACGCCAAGAGAGGGCCGTCCTGCTGCTCCCTGAGAATCCTAGCAAGAACAGTGGTCTGTGAAACGATTTGAACAGCAGTCGAACCAGCCGTCGAGATCATCTGGAAAGTGGTCCAAGCGATGCTTCCCCTTGATGTACCACTGGCATCTTCGAGCTGTCGTTGAACAGCCGGGTCTTCAAAGGTGGGAAGATCGAGCCGTGCGCGTGCCTGAAAGAGGTGAACCGCATAGTGTTGTTTGAGGCGCGCCTGGAGTGGAAATGAGATACTGCGTTTTGCGTAATCAAGAAGTCGTTCTGTGATCGCGCATGCTATGCGACCGATCGAGACATGAAGCAAGAAGTTCTTGTCCACTGTGCGTGACTCCACAGCCGTCTGGACCTAAATTCGAATGTCAGACATTAGGACATACGCTGTGGCTTCAACAGACGTACAATCCCAAGCAATTGCCCGGAGTACCTACAATACATTGTTATGGATGCACAACCATTGTGTCATTGTTGAAGCAATACTCACCATAGTGAAGTGGCGGGAAGGAGCGCTTTGATAAACTCAACGGTCAAGTACAGGAGCAGTAACAACCAGCAGTTTTGTATTCCTGAGATGTCCTTGAGCATTTTCCAGACATACGGAAGACTCTGGGATACGCTTAGATAATGTTCTAATCTTGAGGTTCCCGGTATTCGTAAGCCGAGCACTTGCGCGCGTTCCTCGTATAGGTCCCAGACCCCAAGACGAGTATGGCTAACACGCTTCACATCCTCGGGATTGAAGGTCCCGCTGCGAGACGTTACCCTTCGAGAGCGCCTCATAGGGAGAGTGTAGGTGGTGTTCCGTGGGATGTCTTGCCTTCAGTAGTATTTATGTGCTGGCAATTGAAATATTGATCACTCCTACTGCGGTCTACGTGAGATGACTCAGTGCCCGCTATCAATAGATGCCGGAATGCGAGTAGGAGGCACCAGCTTACGCAGCACGCAGTCGTTACTAGTAGCACGTTGAATAACACTTACAACAGTTGTCGGACTTCGGTGGCTCAGATGGCAGTGAGATCATTGATTTCGATCACCCCATTTCCATATAAGGAATGTGCGATATTTCGACTGCGTGAACAACAACCATGACTCCATTCCATCGGAGTAGATTATAATCCCCAATACTAGAGCCACCAGTGGATGTTTACCCCAATGGATGGACATATTTGTGATGCCTCATTAATCAAGCAATAGTTGAAAGAGCGCTCGAAGCTGGTGGATGTGTCCATCAGCTGTATGGAACCGATGCCCCTACGTTCATCCTTGGCGCAGGTGTATTGAAAGAGCCGAAATCACCGTCTTCGCTGGGCAATGTAGAGGACGGTACGGTTCTGCCTTTCCCCAACCCCATGACATCCACGCGGCGCTTTCAAGCGTTGCTGAAGGACGAGTGTCGTCTTCCCTTACTTGGGGTCAGTGTCTTGCCAGGTCGTCAATGCGGGAGAGACGTCTGTTCTGTACGATCAACGCTCGCAGGCATGGTATGGATTACTGCCAGACGTGATGGGCTTAACAAGACCACATATTGGAGGTATAAAAGAGGTGGTAGGTAGAAGCGAAGGATCGTCAGCAAGCTGAACTTTCTACCTCGCCTTAGTCTCTGGTTACATCTCCCCGCCTCATATCGCCATGCAGTTCAAGTACCTCACTGTGGTTTTCGCCGCCTGGGCGTCCTTGTTAGGGGCCGCTTCCGCCCTACCTCAGCCGAGTAAGTACCCCGTAGTGTACTATGCGCGCTCCAGATTTGCAGTCGCTAATTGAACATGTTCTAGCTGGTGCCCCCATTGCTTCTGTACACCTGAGTCAATATGATGGTTCTGCACCAACGCAAACCGTGTTACTAACTTTACTTTATATTAGCCGCGAGCCCGGATAACTCCACGGTCTCCGTCGGGTTGGGATTCAACTACTCCCCCTAAATACAGCATTTGTAAGCATTTATCCACCTCGCATTCGGGACCCTACTCACCGTCGGATCTTCTCACAGCTTGTCTAACATTCGGTGGTGAGCCGCGATCAGATACAGCTAATGCTGGGCCGGGCTGATAGTCCCATCCCCAGCGATGACGAACGATCGTTTAGATATCAAGCATAGAACGGTTGCGTGATATTAGCTTAGTGACCTTGCAATGGTAGCCACGTGTGCGTCACATCGAATTGTACTCTAAAGTAGATCTTGTGTCGTGAATCAGTTTGAGGAAAGATGTCAATTATACTTGCATATTAACATCTTATCTGGGACAACGGCTTGGAATTCACAGGCTGATTCCTTTACAATATGAATCAGCGCATCATCATTCGGTCTGTCCGATAGTTCCTTTTTGTCCGTTCTCATCCCGTCCGGGACACCATGCATCATGAAGTACAGCGAGGGCGCTAGTGCGGGCGTCGATTGGCGTCCTACATAAAACAGATGATGGGATTCTCGCCTAACAGGCATGATGCATGAGGCGCTGTTGCTCTGCATATAAACCGATGGCGGCCGCATGATAGTCCAGCAACCTCTCCACTGCGATGAAAAAGTCGCAAGATGTCGAACCTGCGGCGGATGCATTTGACATCCAAGACCAAAAGCGCGTCAAGCATACACGCATCGGGGTCTGGGATCTCTACGAGGCGCGGAAGGACCCGCAGAAACTTGGTATTCCCGGAGCCGCTCTAGTTTATCAGTACAAACAGATCGTCCGAGCATTGCCATACCTTTGGACCGTGCTCAATGATGCTGTCAGAATCAAGAACGGCATCTTGCTTTTATCTCTCTACGCAGTAGTACAGATTTTGAAGGCACTCGTCCCTGCAGCTGCTTTATGGTGTGTTCCTTAGTGTTACTCCGCATCATCAAAACTGATATACAAGTAACAGGTACTCTGGACAGCTACTCTCTGTCGTGAGTGCCTGTCCACGAGTTGCCCGCAAAGAAATGCTCACGACTGGCACAGGTACAATCTGCTGCAGAGACCCGCACGGTCGATAGGTCGTTCCTTCTACGCGTGTTTGCGGGCCGTACGCTATGCGCAGTGGCAGAGCGCCTCCTCCGGTATGCTGAGAATGAGCTGTGCAGGCCCTTCACTACGCGCATGTACCACCATTTTGAGGTGCACCTCGCACGCGCGCGAGCACGGCTTGACGTCCCTACGTATGGCGATGTCGTCGTCAAGCGCCAGTTCCAGGAGGTGGACCCTGCGTTTTGCGGAAACCTCCCGTGGAGGTCTTTGGACATGATCGCGTCTGCGGTAACACTTGTGGTCCAGATGTTTACGCAGACGGCGGTGCTCTTTAGAATTTTGAAAGAGCAGCCGGATGGCCTGGTGCTCGCCGCCATTACCATAGCGCATTCGGCCTTCCACTGGTTTGATGATCAGTCTGAGCCCCTATATACTGCTGGAGGCAAGCCCCTGCATCGTGACTTTGAGGTTGCAACTAAGATCTCGTACACTCCAGCTGTATGGGCCGCGACGACTAAAAACGCCGACTTCATCAAGCTGGAAGGCTTGAGAACGCTCATTACTCAAACATGCTTCCGAAAGGAGCTCGTGGCTGGGAATCTGGGAACATACTGTGCATCAGGTAGATCAGCCTATATAAATGTCTCACTCGCATTGATGCTGTCATACCTGATAGAATTCAAGAGGATGGTGGAGCGTCTGGGAAGTACACCCCGCGGCGAAATGTATACACTCTCTGCGATGACTGACCGCCGCAGTATAATCAGCTTCAAATCTTTGCTCGAGAAATGCTGGGGTGAGCTACCTCAGGTTCGTTATAGTTTATCTTTATCTTTACACTGAATAGCTTGACTTACGAGAGCGTCACACCCACTTATTGCCGACTGTACCTCCCATAGGTTGTCTTTGCGCTACGGGCAGTGCAATATCCTGCTTCGATACCGGTGTCGCTCGCTTCATTGCAACTAATCAGGCAGACGGCGACTTCATTCGGTTCGGATGTGGCCTATTTTATCGAGACCTTCGGATCAATGGCAGAGCAGCTAAGCAGAGCTCGGCAGCTCTATGAAGTTGCCGAGATACCTAACGTTGTCCCGGACGGCCATGAGCCATTCCCGGAGAATGTGCAGAAGGCGCGAGCTGGGCTCGCTGTCGAACTCAAGTGAATAGCACAATTCTACATCATTGCAACATACATCACCTAGGTGCACGTTGGTACTACATCCCGAAGTTGACGCTATGCTTGCTAATAGGAATGTGTCGTTCAAAAACCCTGGCAGTGATGCATACGCTCTGCGAGATGTATCCTTCACGCTATCCCCGGGGCAGCTATGTGTATGTGACAATCAACTTGTCAAGTCTCACTGATCTGCTGACACTACATGCCCCATTTGTAGGTAATCGTCGGCTCCAATGGTGCGGGAAAGAGCACAATCGTCAACCTGCTCGTCCGTCTCTATGACGTGGATGAGGGTGTAATCTTCCTAGACGGGCGAGATGTTCGTACCTTGAAGCTTGCGGATCTCCGCCAAACAATTTCTGACTTGTTCCAAGATTTCCACAACTTTCCCTTGACAGTAAGCCATGTTCTTCCAATAATGTGCTCGAGTGTATGTATATCTGGTCCATTTGTGCAGATTTGAGACAATATCGCGCTTGCGAATCCTTCTAACTCGATCAGCGACGAACAAGTCCGCTTGGCTGCAAGACTAGGCGATGCCGAAGAATTCATAGACCGCTTGCCAGAAGGCTTCGACACATACATCGAGAGGCCGGTCAAGGACTCCTATCACGGCCTTCCGCCGAATACGCGCACCATCTTTGGCCGACCGCTAAGTGAATGGGCAACACGGGACATCGGGCTGAGTGGGGGCCAGATGCAGCGACTTGCCGTGTGGGTTGTGAATAAGAGCAGATAACTCATGTAATGACTGACTAACTATACAGCGCACGGACATTCATGCGCTCGGTTGTCGCTGAGGAGTCGGACGTCGGGCTGCTTCTCTTTGACGAACCAAGCGCGTCGTTGGATCCGACCGCGGAACACGGTACATTCCTTGCTACTGGTCTGTGTGCACTGATGTAACTGTTCACGGGCTCGACAGACCTGTTCGCGCAGTTGCGCGAGCTGAGAGGGAATAAAACGATGCTGTTCTCGTCGCACCGATTCGGAAATTTGACCAAAACATGCAGATATGATATTGTGAGTCCCTTATTCTCTGTAATTTGCTCAACATTAGTCTGACTCCGACTCTGTATACTCTCAGGTTCATGAATGGATCAATGCTCAAGGAGATGGGTACGCACGAGGAACTGCTAGAGTGTGATGGGGAATATGCAAAACTGTGGAAGCTACAAGCACAAGCATTCATGTGAGATGTCCTGATACTGTCTGATAGAGAAGTAGCTCGATAAAACCGTACAACGAGCGAAAGACATACCTAGAGAAATAGATTAACACGTGATCGTGCCACGCGTCGCGAACCCGATTGGGAACAGACAGGTTCCCATTGGTGGGTAAAATGCGATCATGTGCTATTGACGTAATCGAATAACTTAGTAAGAGCAGAGTGTATAATACAAGTTATTACAGTCTGCAAACCTCCTTACCGCTCACCAGCATGCCATCGCCATCTGCTGCTTCCCTCCGCTCACTGTCGCGAGTATCTCGCTCGGCCTTGCGGCACAGACCCAAAACACACCCACATACCTTGTCACGACATATCGCAGCGAGCGCACTCTGCTTAGCTAACTTACACCATGGAACCACCTTGGCGACCTTCCACGCTTCACATCCCACGAGGTCATCAGCAAGTATGGAGCGACCCCTGCATCGTAAGCATTTGAACTGCGAATTCTTGAACGCGACTCTCAATCTGTCACAGAGCGGTCTATGTTTATACAGACCGAGACAACGCCGAATGATGACTCGCTGAAATTCATACCCGGCGTGGCTGTCATGGAAGAAGGGACAGCAGAGTTTATGGATACAAAATCGGCGCTGAAGTCACCTCTTGCCATCCGTCTTATGGGAATCGAGGGTGTTACCTCGGTGTTTTACGGTCCCGACTTCGTCACTGTGTCTAAAGACTCTGAAACATCCTGGTCGGTCGTTAAGCCCGAGATATACTCTATCCTGATGGAGTTCTTCTCCTCCGAGCAACCACTTTTCCGTTCACAAGAAGACCGAGACTCGGCGGGACCCCAGGACACTCGCATCCTGGACACAGACTCAGAAACTGTCGCCATGATCAAAGAGCTGCTCGAGACTCGAGTACGACCGGCGATCATGGAGGACGGCGGAGATATAGAATACCGCACCTTTACGGACGACGGCATTGTTCAAGTGAAGCTCAAGGGAAGTTGCAGAGGCTGCTCTTCAAGCACCGTTACTCTGAAAACTGGCATTGAGCGAATGATGATGCACTACATTCCAGAAGTAAAGGGCGTGGAGGAGGTATGTATATGCATGTTGAGATTTGAGTCGATCACTGATACATATCATCGCGATAGGTTGTTGATCAGGAGCAGGCTATTGCATTAGAAGAGTTTGAGAAGTTGGAGAAACGACTAGGGCACGAGCCCGAGCCCTCGAACGGGAAGAAGGACTCACCGTAAGGCTTAATGTTTCGCTCGCTTGAGTTGACACTTACGTGCTGGCATCTAGGATGGCCCAGTATATGTCTGTATGATCACGACTTATCACACAACTCACGATGTACGTTTAACAACCAGTGTATAACCTCTGCTCCATTTACATCTGACTATAATAGTACTGTTCTATAATAAATACGAGTCGCGATGCGGGGCATTAAAATAGTATGCAATTTGAAGATCACCGAAGAAATGCCAGAATAAATATGCAAGTGCGTGGATGGGAGAGATTGTATCAAATACTGTCGGCCGACAATCAGCTTGGCGAACAACCTTAAAAAGACTCAACTCACCATGTTAGGAGGGTAAGGAAATTCAAGGCAAGTATGCTTTTCACAGCTCGCTCATCCGCTCGGCGAATTCGATGGTTCCAGCGCACGGCAAGCTCTGGTTCTTCAGGTGTCGCTGAAGGGCGTCCTTCCTGCTGAAGCCCTGCAAACACCCGCCGATCATCTTGTGCCCCTTGTGCAAATACGGCTTCGACCCCGGCGCGAGCGTGACCGAGCGCGCCTTGGCCACGGGTACCCCACAGCAGACCCACTTCTCGTGGCTGTCTTCGGACTGGTGCGTTTCGATATGGCGCATCAGGTCGGGCTTGCGGCCGCTCGCGGGCTTGAAGTCGCACACGGGGCAGACGCGCCTGTCGATGCCGCGCTTGCGCTGTTCGCTCGAGACGTCCGTCTGCTGGTTGCGCGGACGCGAGCGGCCGCTGCTGGTGCTCCCAGACGCGCTCTGGACGGGCGAGGTGTTGCCGCGGCTGGCGCGGCGCGGGGAGGTGGGAGGGCTCGCGCCGGTGTCGTATGGGCTGTAGCGTCGTGGGCGGGTGGGCGTCCTGGGGGTGTACTCGCCGTCGCTCCCGTCCCCATTGTCCTCGTCGGAATCCTGGGCGGAGGAGTAGCCGGGTGAGGTGCGCGAACTGCCGACGCGGGACGGGGCGGGCTTGGGGCTGGAAAGCGACATGTGCGCGAAGGAATCCATGACTGGCGAGAGCGAGAATGCGGAGGGAGGATACGCAGGCACGGGGGACTGTTGACGCGTCGACGTCTGAGGGAGGCGGCCTGTACTCGACGACCTGGCTAAATGTGAGAGATGACTCGCGTCTTATATGTGCGCGGGACTCACCCGCGAGGAGGAGACCAGGGGTGTGACCCCGTGTTTGAAGAAGGCAGCGGCTCGGACAAAGGGGACGCGAAGTCAAGCGGAGTGGCCACTGCACGATGCTGGGGAACCCCGTCCAGATTGGGATAGTGGGCCTCGTGGGGCGTGGCGAGACTATTATCGAAGAGCGCATCTAAGATACAAGCGGGGGATCTCCCGGCAGTGGTCTGGCTGTAAGCGTTCATGGCTGATAGCGAAGGTACTGCTGAAGAGGAGCTGTTGGCTAAGGCGACTACAAGTTGTTGCTGAAGACATAGCGACGGTCGCGTCGTCTTTTATACGCAACGAGTACTTGCGCTGCGAGGCAGCCATTGTGCGTTCAAGCTTTGTGGCTGGTGGCATCGGGAGGTGATTGTGGCAAATGATGGCAGTGCGGCATGAGGCAACGGTGAGCTTCCCGAAAGCCACTGGTACGATGGGATCAGTGAGACAAACCCTCTCATTGGTGGGATCGGTGAAGGCCACGAGGGGCAACTGTGCGTGCACGAGAGGGTGGCTCGTTTCTCGTCGAATACCGCAGTCGACGCGATCTCGTGACCGCGTTATTTCTGGGCGCTTCTCATCTACTCGACCGCGATTCGCTGTGTTCAAGCATCGGACGACGAGACAAGGCCAAGTAGCAAGGTGATATGTACCAGGAGGGTTGTGATAGTTTCGCGCGTAAGGGCCCTGTCCAGTGGCACCTGCCTCTGCATTGTTTGGCCTTGGTTCATTGTCCCCCGAGGTACACGACTTGAACACTATACCGATTGTTCCGTTAAGGCAGAAAACGTTGCACTCAGTACAACGTGTGCACTAGTCTAAGATGAAGAATCCTCGCTTCATGACTTAAGAGTTTGAAATTTGCTTTCTAGTGACGTCATGAGTGCGAAAGCGAAGGACATCATGTTGTTACTTTTTATGACAAGATACAAAACAGAACCCGGGCGTAAATGCTACATTACGTGCCGAACATAGCGAAATTTCTGTTACGAGGACGGCATTTGACGGCGTAGAATCATAAATAGTTAAGTGGATAGACACGGTGGGACTGTACGCTGCATCCGTGGATATTGCTGGTTGCGGCATGAGGATGCCCTTGTTCCAGTTATTTCTAAGTGGCGAACTTAGCCGAGGTGGCAGTGATGGATCGCTAGTGGGTGGCTAGATCGCCAGCCACAAAGGCAAAACACGCAGTGACCTCATGGGCGCTTCCTCCGGGGCATCCCGATTACTACCAGACCCCGATTACCATAAAGGGAAATACAGGCGGGGTTCTCTCTTGTGGTACGCTAATCCTTCCTTCAATCGCTCTGGCTGCTCACCATGAGCGCGGAAAACATACCTCGCAAGTTCGTCCTTGCCTCGCGCGCCTCGCAGCTGGCGCAGATCCAGACGAACATCGTGCGAGATGCTCTGGCCGCACAAAATCCCTCGACCACATTCGAGACCTCCTTCATGGCGACCGGCGGCGACAAGAATCAGTCTCAGGCTCTTTACCTGCTCGGAGGCAAGGCCCTGTGGACGAAGGAGCTGGAGGTAGCGCTGCTCGATGGCGAGGTCGATATGCTTGTCCACAGCTTCAAGGATGTCCCGACGGAGCTGCCGCCGGGCTGCGAGATCGCGGGCGTGCTGGAGAGGGAGGACCCAGTCGATTCGCTCATTGTGAAGAAGGGTGAGCCGTGGAAGAGCCTGGAGGAGCTGCCGGACGGGAGCGTCGTGGGCACGAGCAGCGTGCGCCGTGTCGCCCAGCTCAAGCGGCGCTTTCCAAAATTCATCTTCAAGGACGTGGTGAGTCTCCTGTCGATCTCAAGAGTGCCCTCTGCTGATCGTGTGCGGCACACTCCGTCCCGTCAGAGGGGGAATCTGTAGGTGCTTCGATTTCTCGCCGTCGGCTCCGGATGACACCGCGCGTCGCGCAGAAACACTCGCATGACGAAGCTCGACGCGCCAGACTCTCCGTACGCCGCGCTCATTCTCGCGAAGGCCGGCATGGTGCGCGTTGGCTTTGGTTCACGCATCACGGCCGACATCGGCCCTCCGACGTTGTACCATGCCGTCTCTCAGGGCGCACTCGCCATCGAGATTCGCAGTGACGACGTCGTAGCACGCGAGCTATGCGCCGCGGTCACGCATCGGCCGACGGAGTGGTCGTGTCGTGCAGAACGCGCGTGTTTGCGCGTCCTGGAAGGCGGCTGCAGCGTGCCTGTCGGCGTGCACACTGTGCTGAGGGAGGGCGGGGCTGGTAAGGGTGGTGTGCTTCACATTACCGGCTGTGTCACGTCTCTGGACGGACAAGAACATGTCGAACATGTGATCGATGAGGAGGTGCGATCTGTCGAGGAGGCAGAGGAAGTTGGGAGACGTCTTGCGCGCACTTTGATCAATACTGGTGCGAGGAAAATCTTGGACGACATAACACAGGATCGACAGAAGAAGATCGAGCAGAGCAGAGAGGAGGAAGGCATCACCTCTGCTCCCGTTTCATGACCTAAATTCAACAGCTCGGAGTTGTATCATAGCTAGTGTAGACCAGGACGAAAACTGTACGCTGATGCTTCATCGATGAGAATGAAATAGAACTGCACTCGCTATTTGTCACAATCATACACCGAGGAGTTATGATTGAGCTACCTAATCAGCAGCTTGCTCGCTTGAAGCTGCTAACATCAGTTCATTGGACTGAGTTGAGACAAATTGTGATGTACGAGATGAACTCAAATTTTCCGTCGCAACTTAGCTACTCCGATTGCCTCAACAATGTCTTGAAAGCACACAGGTGATATATATGACACAGGAATATCAATTTATCCAATGAGACATACACAGCGTACAGCAAAACATTCGTAGGCAGATGTTCCATGCAGCTTATGTTGCAAGGCGTGCAGAGCCACCAAGCAACAATGAGCACCGCAAGAAAGATTCTTCTTCGTCCCCGCGAGCGCCTGCATTTCTCCTGGACCGTAGTTGATGAGAAGCAAGTGACTCTAAGGCGGGGATGATATGACATTGTGAAGAAAATTCGACCGCGCCTTAGCGCCTCATATAGGGCCGGATTGTTTGCTCTTGCTTGCATGGGCGCCTATGACACGAGATCCCGATCTAGTGATGCATCCAACGGCCGCATTCTTGTCCATGAACCATATAATTCTACTCGCTCTCTCACAGCATTGACGAGCTACGCCTCCCGCAGGCATCTATCTCACTTTACACATCAGGCCGGGAACGGAACCATGTCTGTTTCGACGAGGAGATTGCAGAAGGAACTTACCGACATCCAGAAACAGGGAACACCAGTCGGTATGTGTCCTTCTCAGCTGACCAGGTCCAATCGCGCTGGACTTTGTTGGCTTGTCCAGGAATCAAACTCCTGAACGCGGATGACTTTCAGACGTGGCATCTCTCCCTAGAAGTCCTGGGCGACACGGTCTACCAGGTGTGACGACTTCGCATCCGAATGATCTTGTCCTGACTGGATCGGGATCTGTGACTAGGGCGAAGTCTTCGCACTGAAGTTTCGATTTGACAGTTCATATCCCATATCATCGCCTGCTGTACAATTTGTGGTGGACGACACATGGAAAGCGCCGGTTCATCCGGTACGTTCCACCTCATCTCCGCCCGCCTACACTTGTGTTAAAGGCGCCACAAACATCCAGCACGTATATTCGAATGGCCATGTGCGTACAATCACTTAATTTTACTTGATCGTGCCGATTGACGCGTCCTTCCGCTCGTGTGCGGCAGATTTGCGCGTCTATATTAGGCAATGAATGGTCCCCAGTGCTCAGTGTCATCTCCGTATGTGTAACGCTACAGAGTATGCTTGCGTCTTGCAAGGTACGCCCTCCCGATGCACCGTGGCTTTCTCCTTCCACCTACACTGACCGGCGGCGTATAGAAGAAGGAATTGTGCGTTTACCATAACTGTGGATTCCGAGCGGGAACTAATTTCAGGAATAGACCACCAGGCAACGATCGATACGTCAAGAACGCGCCGGAGAATCCGAAGAAGGTCGGTTCACTTCGTGCATAGTATTGACATCGCTGACACTCTATTATCACTAAGACGCGTTTCGAATATCATGGTACGTGCATGATGTGGCTGAACATTGTTTTTCTGACTCACCGTTTTCCTCGCGCAGATGACAAGTATGTGCGCCCTTGTTCTGCATTGTTAATAGGCGACTGACCCGTACCTGCAGCGTGTGACAGCTTACCACGAACCTCACTCTACCCATGAATCTCTCGCAATCATGTATTATTCTCTTGTAAACAGCTGACGTCGCGTTTCAGCAGCATTGTAGGTGTAAACATTGTCACATGTACAGTCTGATCTTGTTGTTTGTACAAGACTAGAGCAATCTCATTCCGTCCACTCTGTAAGTATCCATATACGATAGATACACTGCTGGAAGATAGGAACCCCTCACCCGCAAATATTTGTATTCGGAGATTTCCCGTCACATGCAATCCTACCTCGGAAGCATGCACGCTAAATCTAAGCAGAATCGCAGGTCAGTGCTGCGTAGGATTTGCTCAAGACTGCGAAGAAAGGCCAGGGACCAGAAGTCGAAATACCATTATATGGGCGAAGGAGTGACATCTGAGAGTATCCAGCATATCAAATGCAGACGCTGTAGCGGCAGACGTGTTCATTAATCAATACAACTGTACAATCGTATCGATCGGGCTGGAGGTATGTTTCGGCACTCTGCTGCATATACAATTGGCTGTACCATTTGTAAACCGCCATCCTCGTGTATATGCCAATAGAGGGCTATGATCACCTACTTTCCCCTCCCCACACTGCTGCACGCGATTGGGGACGGACCCTCAGGCGGCAGTTGAGACATAAGCCGGGTGGTAGGAACACCAGCCTTCAAGCTTCAAGCCTCACGAGTGAAAGCATGAGGTTCACAGCGTCCTATTGAGCGCGAGTGTATCTGTTCCGGACAGACACATCTGACGGGTGAAACTCGCTCTATCATTGGCAGTGGTGGACACTGCACCATGATATGTGCGAGTGCGGTAGGTGCGATTCGCGGACAGCATCTATTCAGCAATGACATGCCTCGTCATACAATATTGCCTGACCTACAGAACCTTTGAGGCGAGTACCGTGGCCCAGCTTCGATTCAGAGCAAACACAGACACGTATCGTTACGTTATCTTGGGAGATTCAAAGGCCGACATGATCATAACGCGCTTCCCACTGCCAGTTCGACTCCACACAATCCACCTCCTCGAGATTCGGGTAAATTCGCGCTAAGATTTCGGCGGAGATCGAGCTACCGCCACAGTACATGTGGAGCTGGCGGAGGGAGAGGGAAGAAGGAAGGGAGGCCGTCTCTGTCGTCAACACGTCCGTCCACTTAAACGGCCAATAAAGATAGAGGGTTTGCAGGTGGGGCAACGACGCAATGCCGCTGAGCACCTCGCGAGACGCGTTCATCCACGCATCCGGACAATGAAGGTGGAGGGTCCGCAGGTACGACAACGCCGCAACGCCGCTGAGCACCTCGCGCGCGGGAACAACCTTGATCATCGACGCGATGCGAAGATCCTCCACGCGGCCCTGCGCGGCACGCAGCATGCCCAGGGCGCTGCTGCCCGCCTTCTCGAGATGCAGGCGCGCCAGGCGCGGCAGCGAGGCCACGGCAGCCCCGACGTGCGGCTCCGTGAGCAGCAGCATCTCTGCGGCGGGGAGCGCCAGCGCACGCAGCTCGCGGGCATCCCGGATGAGCGCCGCCAGCGCGCGCAGCAGCTTCCGCCCGCGGCGCGCGTTCCAGCTGTAGGCCTCGTCCTCGGCCGCGCGGTGCCGGATGTCGAGCCTCCGCATGGAGCACGGGCGGCGGGGCGTGTCCGCGAGCATGTGCGCGCAGAAGGCTGCGGTTTGGGCCGCCCGCGTGAGCGTCACGTCGGAGTAGGCACGGGCGAGCGCGATGGGGCGCAACGCGCGCGCGGCCGCGGCTAATCGGAGGGCATCCCCGGACGAAAGGTGCGCCAGGATGAGCAGCATGACGTCCACGTCGAGGTCCAGCATGTATGTGCGCGGCGTAGACTCCATTACTGAGAGGGGTTCGCGGAAGGAGCTGGGGAGGCGCGGTCAATGGCACGAATCCAAGTGCCCTGCTCACCTCCCACTTGACTTCGAAGCGAATATGCTTACTGGTTCGTGCGTACGGAGTACAATCTTTCTGGATCAAGAATATCGGCCGTGAGCAGGCCCCTACAACTTGTTTTGAAGTTGTTGTGATGGGCGCAATGAACTCCGGGCGCTGAGCGTCTGCAGCCTGCAAAAGCCATTTTCTGCCTCCACGTGAGCAGCAGCGATCATTCCACCCAATCTCTCAAATGAACCGTGACAGACGCACCAGATCTCCTTTCCGTCGATCACACACATTGGACCACACCATTGCACCCCACGACATGAACGCATAATGAAATTCCGCCATGATAGATATTAGACGTCCCTCATACTAGTTTCAGACTCGTACTGTTCGCTTCGCCTTCCACCCGCCATAATAAACCAAGAACACCCCGGTCAAAGTCCAACCACCTCCGGCAGCAGCAGCCGCGGCGCGGCGCATCACGCCTCCTGCACGTAGTTCCCTGTTCGCAGCGTCAGTACCCGCCCATAACAAACGCCACGTCGCACGCACCAGGGAACACACCCTGCCGGTCGCCGATGCGCCCGGTCCACCAGTCCTCCGCGCTGTCCGTGCGCTCGACCAGCTCGATCCGGTCCCCCGCCGCGAAGCCAAGGTCGCCGTCCGCCTGCGGCACAAAGTCGTACACCGCGACGACGTACGCCGCTGCCTTCGGCTTCGGCTTGAGCGGCGGCGGGGGCGGGGGCGCGCGCTTTGCCGCCGCGGCGCTGGACGCGGCAGAGGCCGACGGCGAGTAGGGTGGGGGTGGTGCGGAGTAGGTGGAGTTCGCGCCGGGCGGGGGCGGCGGCGCCTTCTTGAAGGCTGGGGCCGTGGCTGACGAGGCAGAGCCGGTCGTGGAAGAGGTCGCGGAGCGGCTGAGCGAGGTCGGGCCTCCGCCAGACACGGCGCGTCGCGATTGGACCATTTTCGCTGGGGCAAGGCCGTTGTTAGTACAAAGACTCGAAAGAAATGATCGGATGTGTGTGCCGCTGAGACGTACATGTCGAGACGATGCGCTGCGTGAGCCCGAGTGCTTCAATCTTCTCCCACGCGTCCGTCCGCTTGTTCTCGTAGTCTGCCGCGATGTCGTTGCCGCTCACCGAGACGTCGTATTTGCCATCTGCGAAGCCGTGCAACTTCTCAAGCATGAGGTAGAAGATGTTAAGCCTGAAATCATGTGACGCCCGATTACCGAAGCTATCGCGGATCAGGGGAAGAACGAGACATACTGCATGTAGAAGAACGAATGGAAGAGCGGGTCGACGAATTGTGTCGCCTGTACCATGAATCGCGGGAGTTCGTTCTTCATAGTCGTGTTGATGTACTCGTAGTCATTGGACGCTTGTTCGAAGTCTTGTTCAAGCTACGTCCGTAATATTTGGAGGGATGTATGCGTATCAAGCGTCACAGTGGCAACCATAGAAGTGAAGAGTTTGATATAGATGACATTGGTGAGATCTGTTCAGTCGAATATGGCGTACCTTGAATAAATTCTTCTCGTCATTGAGGGTCTTCTCCTTCTTGTCTCTTAGTTTGGTCAATGAGTTGTTGTATCGATCATAGTCAGTCAACTGTGAAGTAGGGTGCGTTAGATCATGTACTCCATTGCTCCTTATGGCCGTGGCGTATGATCCAAACAGAGCAACAGAGCTCGTTGCTCCATCACACACAGGGTATTCGACCCATATGGGAAGCATGAACACAGCACGATCTGCCGCGCTGATCCGTGCTGTCGTGGTGAGTACGTATGGAGACTTACCTTGTGTTCGCGCTTAGTGATGGTCTTCCGTATCATCTTCATGACTCCCTGTAGCTCCTTCGCAGGACCCAGGATGCGACTTTCGATAAGCTCCAGCTCGGGCGCAAGGGCTGACTTGAGCTCTTGCAGGGCGGCCTCGTATGCATCGACATTCTGAATTGTGTGCTCTGCCTCCGGATGCTTCCCTTCCAAGTTGTACTCGCTCTGCATGGGGTGGAAGACGGTGGCGAAGTGCTGGGCGTACTGGGCGCCATGTGTGAAGAGCTTGGAGACGGACTCGGTGTAGGCTTTGGTGTCCTTGATGAGCTTCTCTGTCGCGTCTTCTATCGACGTAAAACGCCGGGCATAGTCCTCGAATTCAGGGTCGATGGACTCTAGAAAGGCGAGGTGGGCGAATCAGGTACGCAATTAAGCGGAGGTACAAGCGATAGCGCTGGATAGACGCACTCTTGGACATGCCGACCTTTGTGCCCAACAAGTGGGGCGTTCTGCGGCGATTCTCGTCATGAGCATCTCCCCGCGGTATGTGATGCGATTAGGGGGCTTGCCTTGCGAACGCTTTACCGATTCCCTTCATTTCTCAGATTTGTCCTGTGATGGCAAGAAGGTGTTAGGTGCTAGGATACTGAACGAGCGTTCCAGGACGCAGTTCTCAGATTGGCGAGCAACAAGGAGAGAGTGATGAGGAGGGGGAAGGCAAAGCCAAAGTGTCAGTCACGGCGTTGCGGGACTGTGCATACAGGGCGCTTACGTCAGCAGAATGATGTAATGACAGGCACTTGACAGAATCGGCTCCGGATGTCTCTCGACTCACTCTAACGATATAAGCAAAGATAAGCAAAGGCGACCGTAAACACAACCCAGCGCAATACCCGTAGCAATGCCCATCAACCAGCCTTCAAATCAGATCAAGTGTGACCCTGTTCGACCCTCTCCCCGCTCGCTCAACTTCTCATCAGACCTTTGCATCCAACAGGCTCACCAATGTCTCTGTTGTCCGCCTCAGAAAGAGCGGAAAGCGATTTGAGGTCCGTCTCCCAGCGCGCTTACAAATGCGCTCTACTTAGCCCAACGGCACACAGATCGCCTGCTACAAGAACAAGGTCCAAGAGTGGCGCAGCGGAGTAGAGACAAACCTCGACGACGTGCTCCAGATCGCCAACGTCTACATCAACGTCTCCAAGGGCGAGCTCGCGAAGAGCCAGGACCTGAAGAAGGCCTTCGGCACCACCGACCAGGACACCATCGTCGCCGAGGTGCGTCCGCATGCCTGCATGTGCTCGTGCCGAGCTGACCGCGGAACCCTTCTTGCTTGCCCTCAGATCCTCAAGAAGGGCGAGCTCCAGGTCGGCGAGAAGGAGCGCGAGCACGATCTCTCGTCCATTCGCCGCGAGATAGCCACCCTCGTCGCCGAGAAATGCGTCGATCCCGCGACACAGCGGCGGTACCCCGTCGGCGTCATCGAGAAGGCCCTCGTCGACGCGGGCTTCAGCGTGCGGCCAGGGAAGAACGCCAAGAGTCAGGTTCGTCACGCCGACACACCCAAAAGCATAAGCATATCGTCGAAGAGCTAACGCCGGCGGCAGGTCTCTGAATGTATCAAGCTGCTGCAGACAGAGTCCAAGCTCCCGATACAGCGCGCGCGCATGCGCGTCTTCATCACGCTGCCGAACGCAGATGCAGAGCGGGTCCGGACACGCGTCCTGGAGGCCGCAGAGCGCGTCGAGCGTGACGACAAGGGTGCCGAAAAGTGGGAGACGGTACGCATGCTCTCCTCCGTCAGTGCACGTGCTAATATGTCCTATCGTTGTCCAGATCCTGTTCATTGACCCTAGCCAGTTCCGCGTCCTCAACGACCTACTGCAGAAAGAGTGTGCGGGAAGGGGAACTTTGGAGACACTAACGTTCGCAACGGCAGGTGATGACCCGGCCGCGGTTTGAGCTCCCATAGCCTGTGCCTTACATGTAGATGTGTAGATCTGAATTGTTGTACTTGTACCCGAGCAAAATATACTATGGGTTACCTTCGTCACGTCAATGTGATGGTGCCGATTTCGCGGCCCGCTCGGCTTCCAAGCCGGGGGCTGAATCCTTGCGCCCCGGCGATCGAAAGGTCCATCTTCTGACTCCGCTCTCGTGCGTGACATCGTGGTCAGATCACTAACGAAGGGACTCCGCAACGACTGATCCGTTCGCTCTCGTTCAGGTTGGAGGTGACAGTAGGCATTCGAAAATCTAGGTGTCCATATAATCTCGGGCACAGTGGAGTGCCTGATTGTTGCGGCATCACAAACCTGGCCATTTATAACGCCATCCACTGTATCATAGAAGGAACTTCACAAGAACAATATGTCTGACTAGCTGGATATGAGACATTCATTCATAAACAAGAATGAAGAGGCTCGACCCTGAGCGCTGAGCACCGAGGGTCGTTATCGGTTCAGCTAAATGTCGTCGCCGTACCAGTCGTCTTCGACTTCATCGCCAATGTTCACCTCAGGCTTTGGCTCCTTGACCTTCTGTTTTCTTGCTTGGACGATCCCCTTATATGCTAACGCCAGGTCCTCCCGCCAATCCGTCTTCGGCACGCGCTGCGCCAACTCACTGACCTCTGCAACACGCTTCCTCAATTCCTCTATGTCGCGCCGCTTGTGCAGATCCGCAGCCGGCTTGAGCGCCTCGCGCAGACGCTTCGTCTCCTTCAGCAGTTGCCTGCGGCACACCGGAACGGAGCGTCAGCGACAGAGCAAAGCGGCGCTGGGCACGCACGTACTTAATCTCGGTCAGGCGCGCCCCGACCGCCTCCAGGTCATGATGTATGGCCATGACAAGCCGCCTCTTCGCGTTGCCTTTCGCCTCGAACAGATGGCCGTGCAGCAGCTCCAGGCAGACCACTGCGTGCGGGAGAGGCCCCAAGAAGATCATCCGGTACGTCCGGTGCGGCCACTCCATCGTCTTCGCGGCCGTCTCGAACTCGGCGGTGACGCGACGTCTGATGGCGTGCGTGGTTATCGGCGTGCGTCTCCGCTCTTGCTGGGCGCGCCGGTGGACGAAGGCGCGGTAGACGGTGAGGAGCGTGAGCGCGGCGCCGAGCTCCTCCTCGGTCGGCTGTATGGCGGCTGCACGCGCCTGATCGTCCTCGGCGGAGAGCGCTGCGTCCATGTCGTCGAATTCGTACTCGACGTCGCCGTCATCTGGGGCAGCGGCGACGGCTTCTGCATCAGTGTCCTCTGGCGCTGCATCGTAGATGGCGTCAGGCGTTGAGCTGCGATCCTCCACCACTATGGCTGTGGCCTCGTCCTGGGGTGCTAGTGTGTCATTGTGCGAGATATTTGCGAGCTTAGCTGGTGTTCCCACTTTCGGCCTCGCCGTCCAATTTATTTGGTGAGCGCGCATGGATTCTGTCCCCTCGCGCCTGAGTGTAGGCGTGGGCAGCGAAGTGGCTCCTGCATCCAGTAAGCTCGGTATGTCCTCGATCCTGTCGTATATGAGGTGTCGGACATCCGGCAAGGCCAGTGATTGCTGTGACGTTACTTCCGCCTTGTGGATATGTATGATCTCATCGAAGGAAGTATCATTGGATGAGTATTGGCGGAGCTCGTGTGCTAGGTCATCCCAAAGTCGAGCGTTCGCGTATCTGACAAAGGAGTGAGAAGATCGAAGAGGAGAGGAGACGCAGGGCGCACCGATCGACGAGGGGATCAGGGATTTGGATATGCCTGCTGAAGGATGTAACAATTTGAAGCACTTCTGCTCGATACCATGGTATATTCTCCCCAACTAGAGGCGATCATGAGCTCATGTGGATTACGATGACAATGAATAGACGCACGGAGACACAGATTCTTGCAGCTTTGCCCCAATCAGTGGCCGCTCACATTTGTAGCGCAGGCGAGGACTCACATCCGACCTACGAAAGTGTTCCTGATTTGCTGGTCCGTGGAGGCTATATTGATATTCTCAAATAGCAGATGTTCTGTAGCAACCTCAGAGACGGCAGCGAACCGAGATCTGCTGTGACTTACCTGCGCGTATCCCAGCCATATACATCCGCTCGAGAAGCTGTGCCATAGATCTGAGGTATAGATCTACAAACCTGATCTCTCTACCTTCTAGCTTGTCGAAACTACTAGTAAGCCGAAGTAGCCAGCTCTTGGGTAGAATGACATCGTGAAGATTAATTCCGGTTTGAGAGCGATAGGACAATATCAATAACCCGCAAAGGTGGTCTACGATGTTGCAGATGTCTCCTGCGTCGATGGGAACGTGATTCTCGAGAATGTGACTGTAAACGATGTTACTGACTAGTGAAAGACATCTTCACAATTACAGCTGAATACGCACTCAATGAAGAGGGTTCCTTGCGTCAGCGCCGTCCTGGTGCAGTTGTTCATGAAGGCAAGCAGATCGTGGACGACATAGACCGCTCCCGTAACCCCTTGTCTCATTAGCGTACCAGGTCTTGTCACGCGAACGCAATCAAGACGTGGAACATGGCGGCTGGCATGCGTAGGATGAAAGGCGGCGTATAATGATACAGCTCCGATGAACGAACTCAAAAACGTTGATCCAAATGGCTGCAAATGACGAAGCCAATCGAGTATCCAACACCTAATGGCATGCAGGGCATCTTCGAATTCGGGTATCGTGAGGCGGTTCAGATCTGTAGATGAACCCAACTTGCAGACAGATGGGTTGAGCGTTTCGTATAACCGGCGAAGCCAATAGCTAATTAAGCTTGCTCATTAGAACACAAAGACATTTGTGTGGGTAGTACGCACCGACGTTGCTCGTCGCGTTCATATAGAGGTTCGATGTAATAGATGGTATGGTAGATCAAAATTTGCTGAAGAATGGCTCGAACGCGTTGATTGTAGGCATCATTCTTGTCGTCTTTCGTATCCAGGTGTTCCCGTGAACATTGTCCAGATTCCATCTGGATGCACCTCCCATATACGGTGTATCCTATACAAGGGCGCAAAGCTCTTAGCCTGTAGCATAACTTGTTTTCTTCCCGGACCTTGCGATGCAATCGCTCTCGTAGAATACCTTTGATTATTCTCTCGAGTCCGACACGCAGGACCTGCACGCCTTTCTGGGTTGATCGCAGCGATGGTGTTTTATGATTGTTGCACAGAGAACGCAGATGGGTATCATTGAATACGAGGAAGAAGTCTTGGGTGGAGTTTTGGAATCCAAGAAGCCGCTGGATATCTTTGTCGTCGCACGGATTGTCGGCGAAGGCATACCTTTGCAACCATTGAACGTATAGTAAGAAGTGTTGTAGCGACGTGGTGATTTCAGCCGCCGATGCTCCCAGCAGCTCGGGGAAGTCGGTGAACACATGATCAAGGCATCGTAGTGCTGCTGCTCGATTACCGTGTCGGCGGTGAAATCGATGTCCCAATTCCAGGAGCTTTGCCGAGTCATTCGCGACGATAGCTTGGAACATGAAGAGCTGAATAGAACATCAGCGTCACAGCGACTACGAGATGGCTTAAAGACCGACCTCATCTCGACGTCGTTCATCCAGATCATCAATGCTAAATTCATGTGCCATGCGAATAAGCTCCTGAAGTGTCGCATTACGCCTCGCAATCGCTGACTCTGGTGTTAGACCAAGGGGTAGTCCACGCCAGAGAGCATCGAGGAGGCACTGGCAAGCGCTCCGAACAGAATTCAGATTGTCCTTGTCCTGCAGAAAGGTTTTGATGGCATCGAAAGTGCGACCTTCTGCAAGGTGAATCTCGGCTGCCTCGGAGAATCGCTTCAACTCCACTAGATAAATTGTCTGGACAACGTCTAGGCCATAATCATCCATAAACTCCAGCGCCTCTTCGTCAGATTCGAAGAGCTCTCTTGCCCGTCTGCAACAAATGTTCAAACATGAAGCAGTATCGTATTGAGATGAAACGTACTTCAGCTTGCGGGCTCGCAAGTATTCCAGTCGAGAGATATTATAGATGGAGTCTGCAATCGTATGATCCATTTCTTGACGATGTGACTCAATGACGTTAACAGCTTCATCGAACATCCCCTCCTTGCGGTAGTATTGCGCGGCTAGAGTGTACTCAGCTGCTTGTATGTAAGCCTCTGCAGCTTTCGTATTGTTACCGCTTTCGGCATAGCAACCCGCAGAAATACGAAAGTATGCGCGCTTTTCTAGGACTGTACTTTTGGCGGAATCCCAGAATGCATCAGCCGCAGCCTTGAATGCTGCCTCACGTGATGGGCTATTGTCTCGGAGATTGGCGGGGGTAGAGCGAGCTCGCTCTCGAAGGTAGTACGCATATGTTATAGCTCTCTCCCGATGCATTTGAGCTCGCTCGTAGCAGTGCATGGCTTGTGAATAACGCTTCTTGTTGAAAAGCGTGAGAGCAGTCTTTGCCCATTCCTCCGGTGTCGAAGATACTGCAAGACGAGGAACGTCAGATCCTGGTGTGCAAATCTGAATCTGATTTTTCGAGGCCCAATAGACCTATATTGTGTGAGAGGACGATAAATGAATATATCTGAGACACCCACCTGCATAGGTTTGCCTTTGGCAGAACTATCCACAATCCAGAGATTTTTGCGCGCTCTGGTGACTGCAACGTAAAGGAATTTGAGCTGTGATGAAATCAGTTTCCGTACAGTTGGTTGCCCCTCACAGACGTACATCACGGCAGACACCGTTGTGGCGAGCATCGTTGAAGGTTGGGGCTTTGAGCTTGTCTTCCTGGGTTTCGGACAGTGCATTGAGGACGACTCGCCATTGCGCCATATCAACGGTAGCATCAGCGAAGAAATTGTACAAGAGAACCTAGAATATATATCAGACCACCTAAGCTATATAGAAGTAGATAAAGTATACATCATTGAACTCGAGCCCCTTGCTCTCATACACTATGCTATGAGGTAGTAAAAGAGGTGACCATATGATAACAAATAATAGATAATTAAGTGGACCTACAATATGATCCCTCTATCGCCAACTTGAGCGCGGAGACGTTTTCGCGCATCATCGTCACGAACAATAATACCTGTGGAGGGTGAGACAGTTACCAATAGACGCAGACGCAGACGTAGAACGCACACTGAGTTGCGCCGAAGTCTACGGGACTCCCTCTCAGAGTAAGAGTAAGGACATGATACTAAGGAGTAGCGGACGACACTCACGATCCACCAAACAAGAATTGCTCATATCGCACAGTGTCGTCGTCCCAACCTGTGAAGAAGACGGGCTTGAGACCTTCAATGATGCCTCTCTCAGGCGCAAGTTTGTCGATGGCGTGCGGCCAGAATTGAGTAACCAACTCGATTATAGAATGAGCGCAGTTTACGATGCCGGCATGTGAACGGTAGTTGACTGCAAGCTGGAACAGGTGCGGCTGTGGTTGTTGTCGTTTCCGTGGTCGACCACTTCCCTGTATAGCCACCGCCACAATCAGCAACTTGCATCATGCACAAACTAGAAACAACTATCGAACCTCAATTCTATACAAGAATGCCTTAAGATCATCGAAGCGAAATGCGCTTCCCATCGATATTGTCTGCGCCGTATCGCCTGCCCAGAAAAGCCCAGTATCCGGATTACTACAGATAGTCCTCAAGACTAGTGGTCGATGTCAGCAGTAGCAATAGAGTATATACATTGCACTTTCATACCTAAGGCATCAATGAGCAAATTGTCTTGCGCCTCGTCAATATAGCTGTGGCAGTTATGAATGAAACGACCTAGCACAGAATATTTAGACACTCAACACAAAGTCTATAAGTTGCCCTGGAACGCCTTTGCGAAGTCGCCTTAGAATTGCATGGGTCCTTCATGTCGAGTTGAGAACGCTCAACGACAAGAATAATTGGAGCGAACCTATCCGCCGCATCATAGTCACCACGTTCTCGCTTCATCTTGCAATAATCCTGAAACAGCATGTATACTGTTTCACGCTGGGTAGTGAAGGTGCCTTGAGAGCGATGGCTGAGATCGAAGTATTGTTCTTGGTTCAGATATGTGTTCGCGCCGTTCAATGTCGCCTCAGAACCTTTGAGAACACCTGTCAAAGAAATAATCGCTTTAATTTTCAAAGTGAAGAGTCGCGGTACCGACCTATGAATTCTGCGAACAGCAATGAGGGATCTAGGTCGTGTTTAATTATAATAGCATTGCATCGTTTCACACGGATGGCTTACCCAGTCCTTTCGTTAAATGCTGAGGGAAATGAGGCCAATACGAACTGAGGAAAGTCTGGTAAGAGACGAAGGCCGCCCTATCCTGCTGCATATAATCGTTCGACGACAGTGGTTGACCGTCAGGAGGCTTGATGTCTGCATTCGGTCTCAGATCGGTTTCCGGTGCGACCGCATGTGAAACGTCGTCCAACTCGGCTTCCAGGAGACGACAGAGCTTCATGACTATGTTGAACACAATGCTGACGCAGCCCATCTAAAATAAGACCGACCTGATGATATGTAACAAACATCGGGAAATGCTCGTCTTTCAGGTCGCTGAAGCGCTTTGGGAGGTCCCCTCGCCAATCAATCTCCTCGTCTTGATCGACGAGACCTCGCGCCTGCCGTGCTTGCCGTGCGGCAACGATTGCCTTGATCTCTTCGGGTGACTTGTCCGCGCTCAACAAGGATTCGTGCAACTTCATGAAGAATTCCTTGACTTTCTCCGCAAGGACACGCGACTGTGTTACGAACATCTGGCGAGGCCTATGCATGGCATCATTCTGCATCAGCTGGAATGAGCGTTCAATGCCAAGCATCTTGAACAGCATCGTCGTTGTTTTCCTTAGACATCGATTATTAGATGGCGTGACACTGTGTCCAATATAGAGATATTTCACCCTGTACCACTTCTACCGATGACATAGCACGAAAATGGGTGCTCAATGATCTTTTTCTCCATCGCACTAGAATAAAGCTCAGTCTAGGCTCAGAGATAAGTTGATAGCACGCACGAGACGTCAAAGACGTGGGAAACGTCCGCATCGGCAAGTATGCCTAATTTCAGATCCGTTAATATCTGACTAATACTTTGACGACCTTCGGTGCCTACTGTTGAGAAGCGCCTAGTACGGCGATATGGGTCAGTACAGTTGTACAGGCGTTATCAGATTACATTACGTACTTGTGAGAATGTAACATATTTCTCCAAGCTACGGGCACACCAGATCAATGAGCGCAGCTCCCATATTTACAGGAGAGTAACAAGCAACATACACGAGCATCTCATGCATCTGTTCAACAGAAGGGTTAACAACAGCAGAGATACTCGAAAGTGGGCGCACACCTTCTCCAGATCGTCTTTGTGCAAATCTGGCAAGCGAGATGAAGGAGATTCGACCGGAACCTCTCGTAGTGGCGGGAATATCTTCGGAAGGATGATATGTGCGTGCTCCCCAACGTTTGAGGTAATTCTGTCCAAAGTACACCTGAAGACCGCGTAAGTATAGGTTTTCACTGCTTCCTGGAGACAACGCATGGATATTCGTACCTAGTCCTGTATTCTTTTCCCTTGCGACCCAACTGATATCCGACGCCGTCCCAGAAACGCTTATCAAGCTGTGCATGGGTGTAGATACCGAATAGCTTGATTACTGATGAGAGACGTTATTCAAATCTTACTCAATATGCGACCTATGCGAACCTTGCTGTTCGCTCTAAAATGCAGCTCTTTAGTCATGAGATTTATGGATTACGGAAGGTTGACTTACAGTGCTCTCAAATTCCGGTACACAGTCAATCTGATACTTATGATGCCGTGTGCGTCATCAACAAGCGGGCGACTGAAGCCAGACAAATAGCTTACAGCAAGGCGAGTGTCTCGCGTCATCTTCGCCTCGTAGATGAGTACATCCGTGTCAGGACCTGTCAGGACCTTCTGGTTGTCGAAAGAGAAGTGCCCATTGCTGAGCTCCCTGTGTCGAAGGTACCCGTCAATCAGGCTCTCCAGACAGAGTTCGATGCGTACTTTATCTTCTTGATGAAAATATCGAACATATTAGGAGTCTTCTTCCACGCCTGGCGTAAGTGTTTGTCTGCTTTGGTAGAAATGAGTATGCGCCATGGGCCAAGGCCTTCGGCGCTGCCGAAGTACAGCTTTGCCGCCTGTAATGGTTGTATCGTTGGATAGGCAGAAGGAGCGTCCCTTGCATCTTCTTCGGGTGATACTGCGGACTTCCGGTTGGCCAGTGCGCGTTCAGCGGCGTCAGGCTGTATGCAAGCATCGGGAATGTATCCACGTTTGAACATTTCCGCCAGGGAAGGTCGGCGGAATATGCTCAGATAGTACTGCAGACACACGTCACGTCAATGGCAGCAAAGATACCATGGTGTTGCAAACCTCAAATATGATTTTAAGATGTGTGAGTATCTCTGTTGCAACATGTTCCACTTCCTCCTTGCTAGAGGGCACTCTAACGCCGAGACCAGAGAATAGATTCACATCAGCTCCTGCTGGAAGACCTTGTGTTTGCTTTGCGATGGCCTTCTTCCTGTTACGTTGAGTCATCTTTGGTGATTTGCTGACGACCCCGTTATCTTCGAGCACCGTGGACTGATTTCCCGCGGCGTTTTCACTGAGGAAGGAGGATTGTGATAAGGTAGTCAGCACCGGCAAAGCAAGCTCGAAGTAGCGCCTGTGATCGCGGAGATGTGCTGGCTCATCCTCCGCGGACGGATATGTTGCGAATAATAGAGACACTGAGAAATGGTCCAAAAGCCGATACGCTACCGATGACAAAAATGATTTGGGGGTTGCAGGGAAAGTAACATCGAGGCTTTTCGAAATGATCTCGAAGGCGCCAGGGGTTACAACTACCGCGCCGCAGATCAGGCAAAGGTGATCGACGAACAGTTAGTAGTCACTCACCAGACAGAAGAAACTCAAGAAGCCGAGGACTTGCGCAGAGTTCAATCATGAGGCCGTCGACACTGGCTGCTGAGTTCTCGAGATAACCGTCGAGGACGCTCATGGCGACCTCAAGCGCAATCTCGTCGTCCCTCAGTAGGTCAGCATCGAACTGACTCAGATCGAGTCTTGGTCGAGCCTTGACAGAAATGCTCTGTGTTCGCTTGTCTTTCATAGTGAGCCCCTAGGGTAGAGGTCGATGGGTGGTCGAAAGATAAACCCGTTCAGTTCCCAGGGAACCCTCTGATATAGTTTGCACGCAGTACCTCGTGCCTCAACTGTGCAGAAGGGTCCGTGCAACGGGGCATTCTAGATACGCTATATCCATTAGACGATGGCCTTGTGGGTCTACCGTGAGTAGAAGAAATGCCAATAAGGGAATGCAAGCAGTACTGTGAGTTCCCGAATGGTAGACGACGGACCAGTGACGCTTCCAGGATGTGACATCATTGTTGTACATCCTCTGTAATGTTTTAGGAGCTTCCGACCTCACTACCAGTACTCAGTCAACATACCCAATCTCTAAAGAGTAGCAACTCATACAGAGTGACAATGAGGGGTTCAGGTTAAAGAAGAAGGATATAGGTGCCACCAGATATGGACAGACCCTAACCCTGGGATTTGATTGCTACACCTTCAGCTGAAAGCTTTATGGGATTTCATCCGAAGATGCAAACCGCAGAGCAACCTCTCGTATCAACACCCGCGACACATGAACAGCCCTGTGACTGCTGCGGCGTCAGACACAAAAAATAACATTAATTCCATTTGCTCCTCAGCTTCGTCCAGAACCATGGCAGCACGATATTTGAGTCGGTTGCTAGGCGCGGAATAAGACGGACTGGTAAGAGCTCTATGTACTGTTGAGTTCACTGACAGTGCTTGTCAATGAGCGCTGGCTTGCATTGAGAGGCAACCTAAGTACATGCACATAGATTGTATGAAAAAACATAAGTTGGCTGTGCTCAAACAGGATTGCGACTATTGTTCCCGGAAAGAGTATCTCTGAGGGAGCCATTGAACTCGAAATAAGTGCCTATCACGGATTCAACGTTGGTCACACTGAACCTCGTTGTTCTGACCTTGCGTACAAAATGATCTACAGAATAAACCAGAGGACTGTTGGCTTTTGGGTATGTCGGGCAAGCGTCGCTGCCGGCCCGGGTCACGTGGTCGTGCGCTGGTGTGGGAATAGGACTTATGTAGGCGTCGCGCGCCGTAGGTAGCCCCATCGGTTTGTAACCTAATCACCCATTGATCCCTGTCCATCGAGGACGTTGTCTGCCGGCGGTCTCTCCGGCGTCGTTCTCACAAGGACGGCACTTCCAAATATATCCGTATCAGGTCCGCTATGGACCTTCATCGTCATACCCATAAGTATCCGCTTCGATTCCATCGTCGAGACTCACTTCAGGCTTTGTCTTCTTTACTGGCTGGCGTCTCGGTTCGACGATTCCTTTGAATGCCAACTCAAGATCTTCTTGCCAATCGGACGTCGACATGCGCTGCGCCAACACTTTCACCTCCACTACGCTTTTCTTCAGCTCTTCGATGTCGCGTCGTTTGTGCAGGTCCGCGTCATGCTTGAGCGCATCTTGAAGACGTTGAACGTCCTTGATCAGCGCACTACGACGCACAAGAATTGCGATGAAAAATGTGGCAGAAGATATGACAGTCTAATGCGTAGAAGTACACGATCTCAGTCATACGGGCCTGAACCATCTCGAGGTCATGATGGATCGCTTGGGTCAATATCTTCCTCGCGCTGAATTTGGCGTTGAAAAGGTGATCTCTGAGAAGTTGCAGGCAGACTACGGCATGCGGTATGGGTCCTAAGAAGAGCATGCGGTAGTTCCTGTGTGGCCAATCCATAGCCTTTGAGGCCTCCCCAAAGTCAGCGAACACACGGCTTCTGACGGCGTGGACCGGATTCATTCGTCGCCCTCGCACGCGCTTGCGCTGTATGCTCAGACGCCGGTATGCACGCAGGAGTATGCGCGCCGCATCGAGCTCCTCCTCGGTTGGCTGTGTCGATCCATCAGCGACTGCATCCTCCGCGGACAGTACTAGAGTCGTGTCATCAAAATTTCCGGATTGATCCTCTCTGGTGATGTCCTCGTCAACATCTTCTTCAGCACCTACACGCATGCCACCGTAGGTTGATCCATCCAGGGCGTCTTGCGCACCGGCATCCCGCCTCAACGGTGCCTCGCGTATGTGGGTAGATACAAGCGGGGTCGCATCGGCTCTGAGTGTAGTCTTTGGAAGCGATGTGAGTCGAGAGTCGAGCAAGATGGGGATCTCGTCGATAGTGTTGTAGACGATGTGTAACGAGTCGATCTAATCTAAGACCGGGATCTGATGGGTTTGTCATTATTTGCATTGGGGATTGGTTTCATGGCGATTCACGCCCTCTATCGGGCAGCTAATACTTACTCTATGCCTCCATGTATGCACTTCTGTAGGCTTCTCTAGAATATAGGGATCGGATACAGCGTATACTGGGGACGGGGTGAGTGAAACGTTACACGATGTGTCGGATATTCGGGAAAGCTGGGGAATCGCCTGGATCGTTTCGTCCAGGCGAATGTCCAGATCCGAGTATGACCTGACCCGACGAGCCAAATATTCCCAGGTGCGAGCGATGACATAACTGTATTTTTTTGAGAAGCGCAAAGGATGAATCGATGAAGCACGAGTGAGACCTACTTTTCAAGGTGATGATCCGCCCTGCGCATATGTTATTGCAGCGATGTCACCGTAGCGAGTACCTGATCTCTCAGCCAGTCCTGCCTGATGTTGTTGCCAACTGTAAGGATAATGTCAATGGTATACATCGGCGACCCATGCTGGGTGACTTACAAAGACATAAGTTCTTGCAACTGTTGTATCATCAGTCATGCTCTGGAACACGGTACCACACCACTCACATTCGTGCGGTGAAGACATTCCTGATTTTCCAATTGTTACTTGCCAGGTCACGACGTTCGAAGAGGAGATGGTCTAGAAAACACGGTCTCTAAATGTACCAAGCTCCTGCAGACGGAGTCCAAGCTGCTGATACAGCCCATGCGCATGTTCATCGCGTTGCAGAACGCAGATGCAGAGTGGGTCTGGACACGCATCCAGGAGACCGCGGAGCGCGTCGAGCATGACGACAAAAGGTGCCGAAAAGTGGGAGACAGTACGCATGTTCTCCGTATGTGCGCGCGCGTGCTAAGATACTGCACATTGACCCTAGCCAGTTCCGGATTCTTAACGACCTGCTGCAGAAAGAGTGCGCGGGAAGGGAAGCGTTGGAACATTGATGTTCGCGACGGCAGGTGACAACCCGGTCACAGCTTGAGCCCCCATAACCTATGCGTTACAAGTAGGCGATAGTCGGCGGGCAGACGGATTGTTGTACCTGTATCTGAGCGAGATAATCAAGCACTTCAAAATTGCATGGATTCCAACCGGCTGAAAACAAGAGATCAAGCGAAGAGAGACGTCCATTGAACATGCGCCTATAAATCCTACCACTTCCATGTGGTTCTGTCACATATACTCATCGTCAATCTCATCATCGACGTTCAACTCGGGCTTAGGCTTCTTCGCCGGCGGCTGCCTCGGTTCGACGATCCCTTTGTATGCCAGCTCCATATCGTCCTGCCAATCCTTCGTTGACATGCGCCGCGCCAATTCCCTGACCTCGACCACATATTTCTTGAGCTGCTCAATGTCGCGCCGCTTATGGAGGTCCGCGTCGGGCTTGAGCGCCTCCTTCAAGCGTTGAGATCCCTTCACCAATTGCCTACAATCGTATGGTCAGCAGCAGAACAACGCGCCACCAGACGCCGACGTACACTATTTCGGTGAGACCAGCCTTGACAGCCTCGAGATCGTGGTGTATGGCAATGTTGAGTCGCTTTTTAGCGCTACTCTTCGCCTCGGCCAAATGGGCGTGCAACAGCTCCAGACAGATCACCGCATGCGGTATGGGCCCCAGGAAGAGCATGCGATAGTACCTGTGCGGCCACTCCATGTCTTTCGACGCTATGTGGAAGGAAGCGATGACACGGCGCCTGAGCGCGTGGATGGCCTTCATCGAGCGCTCCTGCTCACGCCGCGTGCGCCGCAGGACGTAGGCCCGATAGACAGTGAGCAAGGTGAGCGCAGCCTTGAGCTCTTGCTCCGATGGCTGCATCGAGACCGCGTTCATCTGGCTGTCCTCCGCCGATATCACCACATCCGCCCCGTCAAACTCTTCCTCCGGCTTCATATCTTCGGCACCCACGTCTTCCGTATCGATATCCTCGTCACCAGCAGTGTACACATCGTCGGGTGACGGTGCCGTCGAGACGGCTGGTATCATCATACCGTTCACCTGCGTTTCGTTGGCTTCGTGAGACTGCGGGAATGGCGTCGCGTCGCGTCTCAACTCCGCCTTGGGAAGCGAAGTGGCACCGGAAGCCAGCAGAATAGGAATTTCGTCGATCGTGTTGTACACAATGTGACGTACGTTCGGGAAGGTGGGCAATTGTCCTGACGTCCGACTTGCCTCGTGGATCTGGATCATCTCGTCCAGCGAAGTATTGGCCGCAGAGTTCTGGCGGACTTCACGAGCGAGATGGTCCCACAAGCGCGCAGAAATATATCTGTTGCCTTGCATATATAATGTTATTTTTGACCCGGATGAAGAAGGCGTACCTTTCAAGAAGGGGATCAGATCCGCGCATATGCTTCCGTAAGGAGGTCACAATAGCCAATATGTCCTTACGTAACCAGTCAAGTCTACTATTATACCCAACTAGATGCAGTATCATGCATTAGCGCGGCCACAAATTCTAGGATGATTTCTACATACGCAGACAGAGGTTCTTGCAACTATTATTCTGTTAGCGATTGTTCAGACGACGCAGCAGCTGATCAGGGACTTACATACGTGCAACAAACATATTCCTGACTCGCCAAGTAATCGTTGATAAATTGCGAGACTCGTAAAGAAGATGATCTGCGGAAGTAAAAGATAAGAAGTTGTGAGCGATCCATGGTAGCACATCCTCCGTGTCACATACCTGCATTTTCTCCTGTGTACATTTGCTTGAGTAACTCCGCCATAGGTCTGATATACACATGCACCAGACGCGTGTCCCTATCTTTCAACTTGTGGAGGTTACCCGAAAGCCGAATAATCCAGCTCTTGGGAAGCGTTACATCATGAAGGGTGTTATATCGGAAATGAGTACACATCACCAGCAATCCGCACAGGAAGTCGAGGAAATTGCAGAGGACCACCACATCAATAGGAACCTGTTTTTGAAGAACGTGGCTGAGCAGAACAAGAGTTAGCGGACATGACCTCGCCAAGGATAAGTATGTTTACTATGTAAAGAGGATTCCTCTTGAGAGGGACGCCTGGGTCTCGTTTTCCATGAACTTGATTAGATCGTGAATAACATAGGTCGCATCGCTAGCGTGCTGCCTCATCAACATCTCTGGCCTATATGCCGAGACGCATCGGACACGTGGAATCTGTAAGCGGGCGACCTCGGGATAAAAAGCGAAGGCCAACGATGCGACTCTGATGAATGAGGTGAGGAAATTCGGCGCATAGCCTGACGGATTATATGGGTCTAATGAATAGAGCCAGTCAACGAGCCAACTTCCGATCGTGTGGACCGCGTCGTTGAATTCGGGGATGGTCAGTCCTCTCAGACTTGCAGGAGATCCCACCTTGTAGAAGGGAGGATTGAGCATTTCATGCAACCGACGCAGCCAGTAGCTGTTGGAAACCCATCAGTCAATATCTGGAAACAAGCTATAGCATACTCACCGCCGTTGTCTGCTGAGCTCGGCCGGGTGTTCGATGGAATATATGGTATGATAAATCAAAATTTGCTGCAGAACGATTCGAACGCGCAAATTATACAGTTCCAAATTGTACGCTTCCGCTGGCAGATGCTCCAGGGGGCACTCTCCAGTTGCCAATCGACTGCAGTGTCCGGATGCGACGAAAGCTAAACAAGGCTGCAGCGATCTCAGCCTGCGACACAGGTCGTTTTCGTCGACAACCTTCTGGTGCAGGCGCCCTCGCAAAATTTGTTTGAACAGCCTCTCGATCTCCCAACGCAGGACCAGTGCTCCCTGATCTGTCGGTCGTAAAGAAGGCGTACTGTGATGGTTGCAACGAGAGAATAGGTATGTCTCTCGAGGAACAAGAAAAAAATCCTCCGTGGCGACCTCGAAGCCAACTAGCCGTTGAATGTCTTCGTTGTCGCATGAATAGGCTTTAGAAAGGAAGCCCTGCAGTAATCGAGCGTACAACAAGAATTGATGCAGTGACGATGTGACTTCAAGGGCGGATGCAACTAGTAGTTTGGGGAGTCCAGTGAAGACATGATCAAGACATCGCAGCGCAGCTGCACCATTCGCGTGCCACCGGTAGAATCGTTCTCCCAATTCCAGAAGCGTAGCAGAATCATCGGCAATTATGGCTCGGAACATGAGAAGCTGAGGAAAATGATGAACCTCAGAGGGGAGTTATTGAGAGTGATTGTCGGTGACCTACCTCATCTCGAGTGCGCTCGTCCAAGGCATCAACATTGAAGTCAGCCGACATGCGAATCAATTCGGTCAATGTGGTGTTCGCCCTGGCTGATTCTGACCGGGGCGTCAAGCCAAGGGGCAGTCCACGCCACAGACCGTCGAGTAGGTATCGACACGCCAGTTGGAGAGAATCCGTATTGGTGTCTCGCAGGAGTGTTTTAATGGCATCCAAGGTACGACCTTCTGCCAGATGAAGTTGAGCGGCGTCTGCAAAGCGTTCGAGCTCCTCCAAAAGGGTTGCTTGAGCTACATCCAAACCGAAATCATCCATATATTCCAAGGCCTCCTCGTCAGTCTCAAAGAGTTCTCTGGCTTGTCTGTTAAGATCGGTATGTCAAGAATGAAAAATCAACAGAGTTTTCCGGTAGGAGACGTACTTCAGTTTGCGCTCCCTCAAGTATTCAAGTCGTGAGACATCGATGATGGACTCTGCAATAGTTGTATCCACGACATCACGATGCGATCTGATGAGGTCGACAGCTTCATCGAACATTGCGCCTTTGCGATAGTGCTGTGCAGCGAGAGTGTACTCGGAAGCTCGCACGTAGGCCGCTGCGGCTAGACCGTCGTCGCCACTCAACGAGTAGCACTCCGCTGAGATACGGAAGTAACTCTTTTTTTCTATCACCGCTGACTCTGCACATTCGTAAAACGCATCAGCTGCGGTCCTGAATGCGGCTTCGCGATATGAGCCATGCTCTTGAGCGTTGACCGATGTTGAGCGGGCTTGTTCTCGAAGGAAATACGCATGAGCAACAGCCTTCTCCCTGGGCATGGAAGCTCGTTCGTAGCAATGCATGGCCTGACTGTAACGTCTATTGTTGAAAAGCGCTAGAGCTGTCTTCGCCCATTCCTCAGGTGTTGAGGACATCGCGAGCTGAGGAACATCGGATCCTGGGGTGCAGTTCTGGATCTGATCTTTCATGGTCCAAAGGATCTATGCCGAGTGAGATAGAGCGGTATCGCGCTATGTGACACTTACTCGCATGGGATTGCCTTTGTCTGAACTGTCAGCAATCCAGAGATTCTTCCGTGCTCTGGTAATCGCAACGTAGAGGAATTTGAGCTGTGATTCCCCCCAGTGAGTGCACATGCAGATACGAAGATAAGCACTTGACGTACGTCGCGACACACGCCATTGTGACGGGTATCATCAAAGGTTGGGGCCTTGTACTTGTCATTTCGCCCTTCAGGAAGTGCATTCAAAATGACTCGCCATTGAGAGAGATCGACGGTGGAATCGGCGAAGAAATTGTACAATAGGACCTAGAAATTGTACTTCATTGTCAGCTCATAGGGTGACTGCAGCCAATGTCGTCTCACATCATTGAACTCGAGACCTTTGCTTTCATACAACGTCCTTGTTTCACACGATGCAGTCAGTTGACCGCAGTAGCGAATATTTGCCTGAGGTAACGTACATGATCAGCCCAATGTCGCCGACTTGCGCTCGAAGGCGTTCCCGCGCTGCATCATCACGCACAAGGATGCCTGTGGGAGGTCGAATGGTTGCCAATTGATGCAAAGCACAGTATGACTTACATTGCTGTGCGCCAAACTCTATCTGACTTCCACTAGAAATATCCGTCAGGAAACGAAAACACAGACTTGAATTTGTACTTACGATTCACCGAAAAGGAACTGTTCGTATCGTGCCGTGTCTTCGTCCCAGCCTGAGAAGAAGACAGGTTTCAGACCTTCGATTATGCCTTTCTCTGGAGCAAGATTGTCGATCGCGTGCGGCCAGAATCGGGTAATGAGCTCGATAACCGAGTGCGCGCAGTTCACAATCCCCGCATGCGAACGATAGTTGACGGCTAGTTGAAACGTTCGAGGCTGCAGACGGGACCTCCCATGGGAATTACTAGTTTCCTAATAACCAAGGCAGCTTGAGTGAACAATCTACAACACAGATATCAATAGATCTACCTCGATCCTATAAAGGAATGCTTTCAGATCGTCGAACCGGAAGGCGCTGCCGATGGATATGGTCTGTGCTGTATCACCTGCCCAAAAAAGCCCGGCATCTGGGTTGTTGCATATGGTCCTAATCACTACGACATTGCCGCATAGTGCGTAAGATGGTGATCTCGGAGTGTTCATAGAAAGTACTCTTACCAAGAGCGTCGATGAGTAGGTTATCTTGCGCCTCGTCGATATAACTGCCATAAATCAGCAGTGGCCCACTGATAGGTCGAAGTAAGAGACTAACATGAAATCAACCAATTGTCCTGGCACCCCGTCCCGGAGTCTCTTGAGAATCGCATGGGTCCTGCGTGCAGTGTTTGAGAGACACAAAAACTAGCTTGCAGACAAGACACACCTGTCTGCGGCATCGTAATGGCTGTGGTCGCGCTTTCTCTTCGTATAAGCTTGGAAAAGCTTGTATATAGTCTCGCGCTGATTGACAAAGGTGCCTTGGGTACGATGGCTGAGGTTCGAATACTGGTCTTTGTTGAGGGATAAACCATCGCTGCTCAATGTTTGTTCCGAGCCCTTGAGGACACCTGCGGGACGGTTATTGACCTAGTCAGAGTAAGAGGTGAAGATATTTACCCATAAATTCCGCGAAGACCAACGCCGGGTCTGCCGAATGCTCTCAGCACATATCAATCGGAGTTTCGGAGTTCGGTGCTTACCCAATCCCTTCGTCAGTGACTGCGTGAAATGAGGCCAGTAAGATTCCAAAAAGACGCCATAAGAGACGAAGGCCGCGCGAAGCTGCTGCATGTAGTCGTTTGACAGTCCATGTTGGCCATTGGTCTCTTCGGCGATGTTCTGGACGAAAGGCTTCGTCGATTGGGAGTTCGGCGAGTTGTCAAGCTCTGCCTCTAGGAGACGACAAAGCTATACGGTGGTATTCAACATGAGAGGTCACCTAATACTCTGCAGGAGATGCGCACCTGATCATACGTGATGAACATGGGGAAATGCTCGTCGGTCAGATCCCCGTAACGCTTGGGCAAATCTCCTCTCCAGTCAATCTCCTCATCAAGATCGACTAGCCCTTGTTCCTGTTGTGCTTGTCGGGAAGCAACAATTGCTCTGATCTCTTCGGGTGACTTGTCCGCACTCAACAACGACTCGTGCAGCTTCAGGAAGAAGTCCTTGACCTTCTCCGCAAGGACACGCGACTGAGTCACAAACATCTGACGCGGCTTGTGCATAGTTTCGTTCTGCATGAGCTGGTAAGACCGCTCAATCCCCAACATCTTGAAGAGCATTGTTGTAGTTTTTCTGCGGAACATCAGTACATTTAATAAAACTGAATCTGCTAAAACCGCACCCCGTCCCACTCCTACCGAGAACATAACAAGAATGTTGGTGTTCGATGATCACTTTCTCGAGCGGTCTACATCTGCATTGAGCGCGATGGTTGTAATCATATCAGGAAAGACGTACGACACGTCGAAAACATGTGCAACGTCTGCATCGGCAAGTATACCTGAACGTCCCAGAAATTAAGAACCGAGAAGCTTCAGGCTTGTACAACGTACTATTCAAAAAAGCCTGTCACGATCATCTCCCGTTAGCGTTGATGCAACAAATGTCACGAAACTAGGTACCTGTGAGAACGTCACATATTTTTCGAGACTAGTTGGTCATACGAGGTCAGGGACTTTACATTTACGAATGATCTGAGTAACATACACAAGCATTTCATGCATCTGTGAAGTAGGGCGGACGATAAGCGACAATCCCTATCATGTCAAAGGGGGCTTACCCTTTCAAGATCATCCTTGCGTAGATTGGGCAAACCTGACGAGGGCGACTCCAGGGTGGCCTCTTGCGGCGGGGGGAACTCTGCGGGGAGGATGACTCCGGCGTGTACTCCCACCTTTGATGGTCTGTTGCGAAATGTGCACCTACGGCCAGCGTAGTGTCAGACGATTCATTTTCTAGTGCGTGCAATCTATGGTTCCATACCTCTTCCTATATTCTTTGCCCTTGCGACCTAGTTGATAACCAACCCCGTCCCAGAAGCGCTGGTCAAGTTGAGCATGGGTGTAGATCCCGAAGAGCTTGATCACTATGCTTGACGGTCATTCGTGCGCTTATAAGAATCAACTGCACCCATACCTTGTCGTTCAGTCTACAGGTCTGTACTCAGCAGATGCATCCAAGAAAACGACAGTATACTCACATTGCTCTCAAATTCGGGCACACAGTCGATTTGATACTGGTCGTCATGAGCGGTTTGTTCAAGGCAAGATCAGTAGAATCTACCCACTACAAGACGAGAGTCTCGTGTCATCTTCGCTTCATAGATCGGGACATCGGTCTCAGTACCAGTGAGCAGCTTCTGGTTGTCTTCGGAAAAATGGCCACTGCTAAGCTCTCTATCGAGTCATATTGGTCAGGAAGGGATCTAGAACGCCCCATAAATCTTACTTTATTTTCTTGATTATAATGTCGAACAAGTTACGGTTCTTCTTCCTAGCCTGCCGCAAGTGACTGTCTGCTCGAGTCGAAATCAAAACTCGCCATTGGCCAAACCCCTCAGCACTGTCAAAGTAGAGGGCCGCCTTCATAGGTTGCACTATGGGGTACGCAGGAGGAACACCTCCCACGCATTCTTCGGCTTTTACTGTAGATTGTTGGCTAACACTCGCTGGCAGAGCAGGATTGTGCTGTGGTATGTGGCTTGAGATGTAGGCGCACTTGAACATGTCCGCCAACGCAGGTCGGCGAAGTATGTCGAAGTAAAACTGACGAACATGTTGGGTAAGCATACTTTACTAAAGGGCCACAGGATTGCGGACCTCTAGTATGCTCTTGTGCCTAGTTAGTATCTCCGTTGCCAGATTGTCGGCGTCTTCCTGATTTCGTGGTACTGGAATATCCAAACCGTTGAAGATCTTCACGTCCAATGTCTGCCTCTGATTACGCTTCGACAGCTTGGCTTTCTTTTTGCTGCGCTGTGTCAATTTGGAAGACTTGATGGCGAACATATCGGGCTCGACCTCCAGTGAATCCTCCTCAGCATTCGCCAATCCCTCAGAGGTGAGTGAGAATGCTGCCAAAGCGCTCAACACGGGCTGGGCAAGTTCAACGTAGTGCCTGTGGTCCCGTAGGTCCGCAGGTTCATCCGCTGAAGAGGAGAACGATGCGAACAACAGCGACAGAGAAAGGCGATCCAACAAAGCGCATGCTATCGATGAAAGAAATCCCACTGCAGTTGTAGGAAATTGATTGCTGATCTGCTGCGATATGATTTCGAAGGCATTTGGACTCGCGACTGTATCATTAGGAATGTCAGGGCGTAGCAAAGTAGTAGCTCACTGGAGTCTCTTACCGGACACAACAAACTCAAGTAGATGAGGTGTGGAGGAAATGTCGCTGATCAGGTTTTCAACACTGACGGCTGAGTTCCCGAGATGACTATCGAGGACGCTCACGGCGACCTCAAGCGCAATCTCGTCGTTGCTCAATCTAGCAGCGTCGAAGAAACCTAGATCAAGTCTTGGGCAAGACTTTAAAGAGATACTCTGCGCTCGTTTGTCCCTCATGATTTGATAGCCACGAACGAGGAAAGACGGGGGTGTTCGAGCAAGAGATGGTCCACGCAATCCTAGGACTGCGGGTTTCTGATATAGTTTGCGCGCTCACAGCACCTCGTGTCCTCGAGATATGCAAGAATTCACGCAACGAGGCTCACTAGATACGCCACACAACGTGTGATTGGTCTTGTGGGTCCACTTCTGGCACAAGAAGTACCTAATCCGCAAGTCTGGGAGACTCAGATTTCGATATCTATAATCCAGACGACTATGTGGGACCTCCCGCATAGAGCGAGATATATAGTGTGTTGATACGAGAGTTCAATGGCGGAGACTGATTAGTCCAACACGATAAAAGCGAAGAGCTCGTCGGCATTCGCGTCGAAGAACAAGCTGCGAAACCACTTCACTGTCACGGTGTATCCCGTGACATCACGATGTGACTGCTGAGAGACCATACTAGATCTTTGGCACGTGGAGATAGACCTCATCGTCCGGCTCTCCTCCTCCCCACGCACAGGCTCCTTTCGACTTCCTGTACATTCATTTGTGGGCCTCAGGTAGTCCTTGCCGCGTGCTTGAACGTACAAGTTGAAACCAAGTCGCCTTATCCAGACCATGCCTCCCCCGCATTATGACTTCTTGATCAAGGTGAGCGCGCGTACCGTTCCGACCCCGCGCGACACTTACAATTGTTACCAGTTGCTCCTCATTGGCGACTCAGGTACTTCATCGAAGCCGGCTGTGGATGACCTGCTAACAGGATACATCACATAGGTGTCGGAAAGTCATGTCTCCTGTTGCGGTTCTGCGACGACGCATGGACGCCGTCATTCATCACTACGATTGGCATTGACTTCAAGATTCGGACAATTGAACTAGACGGGAAGCGTATCAAACTCCAAATTGTAGGCGCTCTTATAAATTCGTGGACGAGGGAACTAAATTTGGCGGATAGTGGGATACTGCGGGACAGGAGCGATTCAGGACGATCACGACTGCATACTATCGTGGAGCCATGGGTATTCTGCTCGTGTATGACGTAACAGACGAGCGATCATTCAACAGTGTGTACCATATCATCTCTGTGTGCAACCCCTGCTTATGGGATTCCACTACCAGACATCCGTACATGGCATGCCAATATTGAGCAGCACGCCTCAGAAGGCGTGAACAAGATTCTCATTGGCAACAAATCCGACTGGACAGACAAGCGTGCAGTCACCGAGGAGCAGGGACGCGAGCTCGCGAACGAGCTCGGTATTAAGTTCATGGAGACATCAGCGAAACTCAACGAGGGTGTTGAGGAGGCGTTCTTCACGCTTGCCAGGTTAGCGCACCATCATGGACACATTACCTATGCGGCTATTGACATCATCTCTTATTTGTAGAGACATCAAGGCACGGCTCATTGACTCGCAACCGGAGGCTGCGAGCAAAGAAGGGAGCTATGGCAAGGATCAGGGTGCCGACGGGTCTGTCAAAGTCAACCAACCAGGACAGGCATCAGGGAGCTGCTGCTAGATGATTAGCAACAACCACCTGTAGACCTTCGTTGCATATTTGTACATAACCTCATGTCCTCATGAATGTTCTCGCTGGATGGCTGTTCGTCGTTATTTATACCCGTGTAATTTGCATTTTGATCCTGCAACACAGACACTCCGCCTGTCCCCTGTGGACCTACGGTAATTATACAACACAAGAACAATTGAAAATATACGCCTTAAACCAAACGCGCTATTCAAGAGGAATAGACGAATTCCAGTTCCCACCCCACCACCGTTTGATTCGCTCTCCACCCCACTCTTCGTACTCTTCCTTCGTGACACCGACCTTCGTGAACTCATCTGTCTTCGCGAAGTCTGCCATTCCCTTCCAAGCATCAGACATCGGGTCTGCAGCGCGCACAATCTCTAGCGGCATTTCGGGAGGGAGAATAGGCCGCAGCATCGCCTGCATCCGCGGAACGAGCTCCGGAAGCTGTGATGGACCTCCGGTGACGAACACATTCTGACAAGAACTTTCAGATGCAACAGAGGGGCTGGAAAGGTGTTGGTGCTTACCTTGACCAGTCGCCCTTTCTCCTGGTCGGAGAACCGCGAGAGAACGTTCTGCATGATCTCTCCAAGCCCGGCCGAGTCGACGCCTGCCATGTTCGGCGAGAACCACGCTTCGCACACCCTCCAACGTTCAATGTTGAGATGAATTCGTGATTTACCTGCCCAGCCAGTCACCTCAGTCCACTGGTGTTTATATAGACGATACCTGTAGCATACCTTCAACATCGCCATCGTCATATTGTGGTCTAAATGCGGTAAGCAGCGCCGACCGTTGCGCAGATAGCGACGCATGTGTGTGCTCATGTGTGAAGGATGGATCGTGCTGAAGCAGCTTCTGCTCTACAGCTTGTAGTGTGACCATATCCTCTTCTTCGTCAGATGAAGGTGCAGCATTGTTCTACATTGGCTTAGTGTAATTGGTTGAGTTCTGGACAATTTTGCACTACTCACGATTTTGCGATATATGGCCCAGTCCGCGTCGTCAGCGCCGAACAAATCTTCTGCAACGATGTGAGTAAATAACGCCTGAAGGCACTCGAGTATCCTTACCACCTCCGCCCTTTCTCCGTTTCTTCGGCACGCGATCATCGGCTGCCAGATTTGCGATGCTCTTCATCCTCGCCTGTGCAGCGGCGCTTTTCCTGTCGTTGAGCGCCGCCCGCCGTCGGTTCCGCTCCTTGATCTTGTTCATGATCGCCTGCCGCCACTAGTCAGCACCGCCTCCGACCATCTACGCATCCGAGATCATCTACCTCTTGCTCCTTCTTAAGTTTGCTCGCCCAACCGGCTAGGTCGCGCTCTCGTTCTTCGACTTCTCGCCGTTCCTCTGCCTCCCGCTCCTCTCGCTCACGTTCCTTCTCACGCTTGGCCCGTTCGCGCGCCTCATAGCCGGCTTTCATCAAGCGTTGCTTGCGCTTTTCTTTAAGCTGATCTTCTTCAAGCTGACAGGTAATAAGGACACACAGCGTGGTCGGGTAATTAAGCAACGTACATCTGCATCCGGGACGTCTAAAAGTGGGAATGATGGCGGCTCGTCCTCTAGTTCATCACCGTCAGCGTCTTTCTTGCGCACTTTCTTGAGGTCGTTCTCGAGCTTTTTGATCGCGCTGTCAAGTTCTGCATCGTCATCGAACCCTTCTTCTTGAAGAGTGTTCTGCAACGCCTCTCAGCATCCATGTTCGCATATTGGGGCGAAGAACGCGTACCGCCCACTCTTTTTTACTCTCCTCATCGCGCCTTTCTCGCAAGCTTAGCATATGCTGCAAGTCATTCTCCTTCTGTGCCAACTAGTACACGAATTGACCGATAGTTCGCAACCGAAAGCGCGGCTATGACATACCTTCTCCTGCCTTGCCTTCGCTGCGATCTCTTGCAGTTTACGACCTTGCTCTCTCTTGCGTTCTGCGATTCGTGCTAGTTCCTCCTCTGTCTTCTCCTCAATTGTCGGGAGCGTGAAGGGAAATTGTAGGATTCGCTCGGATGCACGCATGCTCAGTGGATCCTTGAGCCTACGCAGCAGTCCGGGATAATCGATAGAGAACTCGCAAAAATTCTGTAGCATCCACTGCACAGGCAGACCCCTTGTCAATAACGAGAAAGCGCTACACCATGATAATGGCAGCACTCACATTTGTCTGCATAGTCGTCACGCGGGTCGGAAATGTCGGATACTTCAGTTGGATAAGCTTCAGTAGGTAGTCCGTCGCCTGGCTCGCGCCCCATGGTATTCGTTTTGCATGGCTCATGAGGCCCTTACCGTTCAAGACTGGAATGACGGAAGTCGATGCGGTGTTGAACGAGACTACAAGGCCGTCGGAGGAAAAGGGCACGGGCGGTGACGGCAGGTTGTTGTAGTAGAAGGACATGACCGAGTCTACGCAGAATGCAAGCGACGGCACGCAGTACTGCTCAAACATCAGTTCGGATGTCAGTGAGCGGGAATGCAGGGGCGAGCATAGGCGCTCAGTCATGAGGACGGGGTGTTCAATGGACGGTGTGTCGATCCCGAGCTGTATGAATGCGTAGTCGAGCGCGTTCTCCTACACCTCCCAGTGAGATAGGGCGTCATTTTTGGGTAATCCTCCGCGCATATAGTACCGTTACTCACCAGAGCGTCGAAGTTGAGCAGTACATCTCCCTCCCATGGCGTCTTCACCTGTGACTTTGCTCCGCCCTCCGCCTCGATTCCATCACCAAAGAGTAACAATGGCTTGTTCGTCCTGCGCTCCTTGTACTTTGCCACAGCATTCGACTGGCTGCGCGGACCATTGGATGTGCAGAACCCAAAGCGCAAGTGCGTCGAGCCGTTGTCAATGATAAGGGGGGTGCCCTTCCCCCGATGCTGGTCGTACGAGGCAGCAACAGAGAGCGATGGTACAGTCAGAGGAGGCAAACGCGTTATATTCAGCTGCTCGGCCATGATTTTAGGGGACGGGGCCAACCAGAGAAACGTCAGATGTGAATATCAGAACTTCATTAGCTTGCCAGTTCAAAATGATTCTTCGAAGGTGGCAAGCATCCAAATGCGCGTTCTAAGCGTGACGGCAAGCGCCTAAGATGTCACGTAATATAGCTCAATCGCGTCACACGTGATCGTAACGTCATACATCCGCGACACCGTCGGACTCATCGCCGCATGCCCGCTCAGGTAAGTAGAATCTACGCTCACGAGTCACAGGCCGTCTTCCTGTCCTTCAGTATACAAAGAGTCGGGAAATATTCTAGCATTAGAGTGCTGTAGAGTCATATGGATACACCGTTCTTTAACCGAGAATATGAGAATGATAGCTACTGTGAGCATGTCCTAGCCGTACGGAATAAGAATAGTGATCATGAGCCGTCGACGGTGAACGATTCTCCACACCCGCACGCGTCTGTGACATTAGGGTTCTTGAACGTAAACTTTGCACTGTGCAGTGAAGATGTCAGAGCTATAGTAGCGAATGCACTATCGTCACGACGAACCTGAGTACATCCTCCTGCCAATCCATCTCACTGCCGATGATCGAGAACAACGCCTTGCTGTCGATGAGCACCTTCACTCCGTCCTGCTCGACCACTTCATCAAACTTCCCGGGCTTGTCGACATATTCTAGGTGGTATGAGAGCCCCGCACAGCCCTTGTTTCGGACACCTATCCGGATGAGCTGAGGTGTCGGCCCCTTCAGTAATCCGTGCAAGCGCTCTACCGCCACAGGCGTCTTTAGAGCGAACAAGAAATCAGGTAAGTGAACAGGCCGTGATCACAATGGCTACATACTAAAGAAATAGCGGCCTTAGTTGACTTGATAGTAGGTCTCCGTCTTTCTACCTTTGGGGCCGGCGGTGGTCGCGCAGCAATTTGTGGAGATGCAGCGTCAGCAGAAAGCGACTTGGCACTAGGCTCTCCAGAAGTCTGTGCAGGTATCACAACCGGTGGCGTCTGCCCAAGCACAGGATTTGAAGACGCATTCGGCGTTGGTCGCGACGGTCCCGAATGCGACATTGCAGAGATCATGGCGTGTCTATGGTTGGGGAGGTGAAGTAGACCGCGGCTACATGATGATGATCCAGCGTGCGAGGTGAAGGAAAGGAGCGATTGTATGCGGTGAAAACGGGCTGCCGAAGTTGCCATTGCGTCCTCGTTGTCGACGTCGAGCGGAACCAGCACTAAAGAGTAAGTAGGTAAATAGACCAGTGAAGAGCGTAAGCGCCAAGTTTGTCATGGACTGGGGCTTGCGAGTTATGTAAGCGCATTCACTTGGTCAGCCAATCAGAATGGTCCCGTTTGCATATTTCACCCAGTGCAGTGTATGCATGAACCAAGTCTTGCAACCTGATGCATCACTACTATCGTACTAGCAAATCATGCGCAAGGTCTTGTATTTCGGCTGACAGTACTGAGCGACCTTGCTATTCCGACGAATATTGTGCCTCAGAGGATTCTTCCAATACATCGTCAGTAGCTCCCAATATCATAATGGGCAATGTACAATGTAAAACGGTCTGACTTACCCTGTGCCAAGTCCTCCAGCTAGATTTAGAGACACTGTCTCTGATCTCACCTTGATATCCCTGAATCGCACTCATTGTTCCCGCATACGTCACAGCCCATCAATAGCATGTATCGCCAACTTCTACACAAGGTGCATCTCTCACTGCCGCATGATATGGGTGCCATATGCAGTCATAAACCACAGGAGATTCGCTGACTTCTGGCGCCCCGGACGTGCTCATTGCAGGCGGAATGAATATTGGCGGTAAGACACTCGTGCTGAGCTTCTTGGCCTTGCATACGTGCCATCAACACCGCTGATCGAGAAGCATTGGGATGCACACGGCTACCCCTAACAACGCCCGGTCTTGCTGCTCCAAATGGAATTGCCATGCGCCTCTACATTCTCTCCGCATGCTGGCGGGGCGCTTCCAACAGCAACCCGGCAGCTAGAGTGGGTGTGCATGCGCTCGGAATGTTTCGCAGTTCCGAAGCTCACAAGCGTACGCGTGTCTCGGTTCGGGGACGCAAGCGGTCGAATCCCTTGAGAACCTGGAGGCCATCGCGGATAAATAGCTTTGAATGAAGTCCAGCGAGGGACCCGCCATCGCTCATTACCTTCCTCAATGCTGCCCGTTGGTGTCTTCGGCGTGACGCTCCTGGCCTTTTCCATCAGGGCTGTGTCTGGGGTGGATAACCTGCATAAAGTTTCTTTGACAGCGCGCAAGGTGCCAAAAGGTCACGTAGCGGCCTTGCGCAGGCGAAGCTCTTCTTCCATCAATATCGCGCTCGATGACTATTATAATGGCACTGACCTTCAGTGCGTGCATGATACTTGTGTGTGGAGTATACGTTGACATGTAATTCCGCTAGATGGTATGGCAATATCTCAGGTTCGTATTTTACTCAACCGTCGTAGTGCGCCTCCGTCAATCCAAGCTTCTAGTTGGCACGCCTCCCCAAGAAATCAGTGTCGTTTTTGACACTGGTAGCGAGACTCTCGAGTTCGCAAGCACCCAGTGCGGAGACCCCTGCGCCAACCAACCCAAGTTCGATACATCCCAAAGCTCAACATATGTCAACCATCACCAAACAACCAGCATCTCTTTTGAGACAGGCATCGGCGTGGATCCCATTACGTCTGACAGCGAGTTCGTGCTGACACTTCAAGAGGGCGAAGACACAGTGACCGTAGGAGGTATTGCAGTTCCGAATGTAGATCTGTACACTATCATCGATCAAACGGCGGCGTTCGCGATTGACCCTTTCAGCGGCATCCAAGGTATGAGCCGCTTGGTTTCACCGTCAAAGGCACCATTAACAAGGGTGAATAGGCATGTCATCACAGGCAGCCGGATTCTTCGCTGGCCTTATTGATCAGGGCTATCCTTGTGAGTAGGCAGGTAATGACACATACCTCATGTCTAACCCATAGCGTGCAACTGACAGCGTTGTTTGGCATGTACCTAACACCAAAGTCAGTTGGTAATGCGGAGCTTACAATTGGTGGCATTGATGACTCCAAATACTCCGGTAACGCACTAGCTAAACTGTGAATACAAACGCTAACCCTCTGCGCAGGCGACTTGACGTACTCTCCGCTTCCTGGCGATTCTGAGGGATCGTGGCAGCTCAATTCTCCTACCATATACGTAAACGGGGAGACTACCGGCACCTTGGATCAGCAGCGCACCATCATCTTTGACAGTGGAACGCCAAACGTTTACTTCGACACCGACACTACCGAGGTGAGCACCATTATCCAGCCCGTGCGTGTGGGTTACTTATCGATCCGTCGCGCAATAAGGCCATCTACTCCATAATATCCTCAGACATCCAGCCTTATAGCTCTGAGCAGGGCGCGTATGGCATCGCATGCAGCAAAATCGATCAGTTACCCGCGCAACTCGACATCACATTCACCACGGAGTCGGGCGAGCCGTTTAACCTGACGATCCCCAGCTCTGAGTTCAACGTCGGGCCGTTCAAAGATGATCCTTCGACATGCCAGACGATGATCAACGCGCTCGACGGGCTGGAGCTTGTCGGCGGTAGTCTGCTGAAGCACTATTACAGCGTGTGGGACATTGGTAACCAGCGCATGGGCTTTGCCTCGACCGGTGAGCTGTGTGCTACATAGCTGTTGGCGTGCGCTGACGAGTACTGCTCAGGGAACTGAACCTCGAGGGGGCTGAAGTAGAAGCCAAGCACTGGCGCAATCGTGCTCACCGTTTGCTTCGTAACGGCCATTGTAGCCGTAGGGCTCGTAGAGGGACATAAAAGCACTACGGATTCTAGGGAAGAGTAACTAACAGGTGTCAGAATCTCACATTGGTTTCCGTTGAAGCTCATGTGAGATGCGATTGCCGTCTGCGCCACAGTCCTGTATTGGCTCGAGAGCGCACACCGAACTTTCGCATCTCTACGCGCCTGCGGCTATACCTGCCATTGTTCGTGCCTTGCTTCACAAATTGCAACGAAGTCGTCATAGTCGGGCGGCAGACATGTATCCTCCGCAAAGACCCGGATGGTCGCCTTTAAGAAGGGTTGGTTGTGTGTATCTATCATAGTCCAGCGCGTGGCTCTCTCGGTGAGGATATCGGGGTGTCTGCGATGATTTCCATGTGGTTCCGCCTGCGCCAGCCAAGCGCATCGACTGGCACATGTTCTGTTACCTGCCAATATCTTTTTGGATGAGAAACATCCCACCGCTGCGATCTAGGAGGGGGAATGCCTGTTGTTTGAGAGGATACATGCGCACTGGAGTGAATACATACATTTTCTGAGCGATGTATGCGGTGCGTTGCACTGTATCAGCACTAATAATCGTAGTAGGAGGCGTCTGTGCTGGAGGCGAAGTCAAGTAGTGTGACCTATGCTTCTCAATGAGTATGCGGGCGTGCTATTGACTGTAATATCAGCCAATCTCAAGTCAGGCATCGCGTCTAAACTGGAAATGATGGCTGGGATAACGACAGTCTCGCTGTTCGTGCAAGAAGATTCTCTCGTGCGAGACGTCAGCATTGTCTGGTCTGCGATTGACAGGCATGTTCAACTGTCGCGTGAGCCATGTCGACGTATACGATGAAGGTGGATGATGGACGGGGTGGAACGCGTCGCGATTTTGTCAAAGAAAAGGAAGGGAACCTCGATCGATGGCTGCAGAACAGTCCAAACAAGAGAAGAACAGGATGACTTTTTGTTCTTCTTCTTTTGGAGCGAAGCGCAGCAAACACAGAACGCACCCTTTCAGTGCTCATGGGGAGAAAAGAAAATTGAAGAGAATCGAAGGCGCGTCCTGGGTGCGTCTCGGCGGTCCGTGTAACGGTCACGTGGTCGCGTCCTACTTGCGTTGTAATCCCCATGATTGCAGTTCTCACACCGATCTGCATAATACTGGCGTAAGCATGATGTTCTCGGGACGCAGCCCGACAGCACGCTGCTTGTCGCATCGACCGCAAACATTCCCGTCACGTTTACGACGGCGAGCAGCGGGCCACTAGCCTTGAGACTGACCCGTAACGAGCCCAAAGTTGGACATGTAAGGCCGACTCATCAACGTACCAGTCGATGTCCAGCTCTCTCGACGATGCCGTGCCCACGAACGTGCTTGAAAGCAGTGGGCCCGGGTTCTTCTACTGTGGTGCACGCGTTCCTGTGCTTTGCCTCGACTGCATCCTGAAGGGCAGCCCCATTCCCTTCGCGGTCTCTAGTGATCTCCAGGAAGCCGCACACGCCTATATCGCAACGGCGCTACATACGGTAACAGGACATCCAATCACGCGAGCGCAGCCAGTGCCTTGCCCCTCCTGCCGTCGCAGCTGCGAAAGCGATGAATCAGCCCCTGCCCCACGCGCACGATAGTTTCCTAACAACGCGGCGCGATGCATGCGCTCGCGAGTCTCGACATAGGCGTTCCCGCAAGCAGCAGATTCGCCGCGCTTCGACGCCGGCGCGGGCCCCAGGACGCCCAGCCCAGAGCGCAGAGCTGGACTCCGTGCGGCCGGGTCTCAACGAATCGAGTCGGACGCGCAGTCCCGCCATTCAGTCGCGAGAGGAAGGCTCCATTGCCCTGGCTCATCCAGCGATGAACGTGAACGCGTAGGGCGACAAGCCCACCGCGACGTCCTTGCGAGCGCAGTTCATGTTCCTGCCGCCGCGAGAAGCTGAGATAGCAGCACGGAGAAGGCGAGCAGCCCAGGCCCGGGCCGCAGCCTCGAGGGAACAGCGCCCGGTTCGGAGAAGTGCAGCTGCGCGATGCTGGATGCTGGAAGCCGTGTCTGACACCCTCGCAGCGGCTGTGGTTCCGCTGCATCGGCGTCGCCCGATCGGGCAGGTCCCCGGTGGTGCAGCGGGGACACGTCTGTCGGACGCCCTGCCGGGTCGGCGCGACGGCGCAGCGTAGGGCCGTGCCGGGTGGGTGTGACTCTGTGAGCGACGAGATAAGTACCAAGTGCAGCAGTCGCTGACGAGCGCTGACGACGCGCACGTGCGATAGAAGCCCGATGCGCGCGCGCCAGCATGGATGCCAGGGGCCTTCTTTCCGCCTTCGAGCGATATGGGATGCGCGAGGCGCCGCATTTGGCCGCGCTTCACTCCGCGATATTGGTGGTGCGTGCGGGCAGCAGACCAGACGGATTCAGAAGACGGGATCGCGTCGTTGCATGACTCACCGCCACGGAGGTTCATTACGCACGCAGGATGACGGGCGCTGCGCCGCGTTGCAGCTGTGCGCACACGCGAGGTTATGGACAACCAGACCAAGGAGCTGGCGGGCGGGATTGGATTGGGGAGGGCAGATCAGCTGCAGTCCCACGCTATCTACGCCGGCGCTGTGTGGCTCAGTCCTTCCCTGCTGCGCCTAGTCTCCCGGGGCAGCGTCGCAGCGGGCCCCGCACGCCATGCCGCGCATCATGGGTGCGCGATCCTGATGCCATCGTCGAATGGCCGGCGATGCATTTCGCATTTCTCAGGACAGTGCTGGATCGATGCGGGTGTGTGCAGGGAGGCAAGACCCGGAGTACCTAGTCGGCGGCATGCCGGACATGCGCGAGTAACGTATACATGCGTCGGCGCTGCTCCGTTGTGCAGTACTAGTCTGTCAGCTGGGCAGGTGCCCGCGCTGTCGGGCTGGGTTACCGGGGCCAGACCAGGCCGGCTCTGTGGTGCGAATCGGGGACGCCGGGGCGTTGGGAGAAGAAGGGCGTATGGCGTGAGATGGCGCGGGCGTCCAGCGGATCAGCGCGCGGTGACCCTGAGAAGGACTCCGGCGCTGGGATGGAGGAGTTGGCGAGGCACATCAGTACTGAGTGTGCGTAGCGGCGCCAAGCGCGTCATACCGGCCGATCGAGTGGCATCGCGCGCGAAGGCGTGGCGAGATCGAGCGAGGGGGCGTCGGTGCCTCGAATGCCTGCGGAGGTGTATTGCGTCCGCGGGTGGCGGTGCAGGTGTGCCAATCGACACGGAAAGGGGCCGCCGGCGTTAGCGGTCGGTTGGCTGGCCTGCGCAATTTCGGGCCCGGGAACTGTATTGTCAGTGTGAGCGGCTGAGGCGTTCCGCGTTCAGCATTAGGGGCGGGGTGGGCCTGCAGGCAAAGAGGGTGCACGGTATATCTCTGCTGGCACCCCGATTGTTTGGATTCTGTTTGAATGTGATGTCCAGCTTAAACTTCTTCTGACCGCCGAAGGCCCATAGGCTCCGGAATCAATAGGCACCGGGTAAGGCCGAGTAGGAAACGGATCACACGGCAGCTGGTCGTGCAGCAACGTATGCACTGAGAGCGGGATGTTTTGTAGTGTAGGCATCTGTAGACAGTCCAAGGGATTTAGGAAGGAGACATACCATACCGCATACTGGAGTCAACGTGGCCTCGTTGGCAGAAAAGCCCCGAGGTGCCGCGGAAGGAACCAGACCATGGTTGACGTTGAATTACCAATAAGATGACGAAGCTTCTGTGGCAGAATAACATTTACAGCAGTGACGGCAGATTAGAGGGGCCTGGACTGGGCCTGGGTGCTTCACCAGAGAATGAACTTGGGAACGCGTTGTGGATGCAGTATAAACAAAACGAACACGTCGAGCGGTGCCAGTACTTGTCTGCAAGTCGGGCCGGTCTGAATAAGTCTGGCCGAGGGGCGATGAAGTGTGTGCGGGTCGACGATGTGTTGAGACTGCAGAGAAGAAGGGCGTCTAATACCAGGGCGGGACGATCGACGACGTATATGGCAGGCACATTTCCTAACACGAGCTCCAGCTTGCTCTTTTGTTCTTTCGACGTACTGTGCTGTTGCATACGCCTAGTGCGGACACCCTGCATGACGTTTGTGCTCAAGTCGCTGACGTATAGCGTGATTATAGAGCATCGTGTGATGCAGAGGACTACGTCCGAAGCGCACGCTCGATCGAGCGGCCAAGTGAAGACAATGTGGGCGTAGCCATGCAGGTAGGATTAGTTTACGGGGGGGGCGCGGACGGGGAGGGCGGGGAGGCGGTGCCCTGGCCCCTGCGCAGAGCGATCGGTTGCCGTAAAGGGCGCGTGAGAGAGGGTGGAGCTGAGAAGGCGCGGAGGGTGACGTCAAAGGGCTGGGCCTGGTGGCACGCGATGGGGGACGGGTTGTGCAGCCAATCGTGGCTCGGAGACTCCACCGGGCGATGATTCGAAAGCTTTCTCCTGCGAGAGGATGCCTGACCCTGCCTGCCTCTGCCTTTCCTCGCATCCACTCACCGATTCGCCGGTGCCCCCTCCACTGTCGCCCCCTTCCTCCCCGAATACGCTTCCCACCACGGACGACAATATCCACCGCCCTGCCCCCGACGCCAGCACCGACCAGCGTGTCGACAGTTTCGCCGCTGCCGTCCATGCCCGTTTTGCACAGCGTCCCACCCACCTCACCCCAGGGCCTCTAATGCCGGGCGCATATCCCTTCACGCCCTTCATCCAACCACCACCATCTCACCCGTCCGCCCTGTCCTTCATCCCACCCACAGTCCCGTCCTTGAGCTTGCCTACGCCTGCTCCCATGCGGTCTGTGAGCATGTCTTCACCCCCGGCTGCCTCTGCATCGCCCACCACTTCATCGCCCGCGACGCCCACATCGCCGTCCGCCTTCCCCGCACTTGCTACCTCCGCGCTGCCTGCAGTCCTCTCAGACCCCCAAGCCCTTATCCTCGACATTCGCCCACACAACGCCCATGCCGCCGCCAGGCTCCCCTCCGCCCTCTCCCTCTGTGTCCCATCGACCCTCCTCAAGCGCCCGACGTTTCCACTCGCACGTCTTGCCCCGATGCTCCCATCCACGGCAGCCCGTACGAGATTCGCGGCTTGGCGCGATGCGAGCCGGATCGTGGTCTACGACGCGGACGCACCGGCCTTGAGCGATCGACCGGCTCTGTTGGGCCTGCTGCGAAAGTTCCGCGCCGAGGGCTTCGAAGCCAGCAAGGAGGTCGCCTGGGTGCGAGGAGGCTTCAACGCCATCTACCGAGAGCGGCCTGACCTTCTCGATCGCTCGCCGATTGTTGACGAGGATGGCGAGGAGGAGGATGAGCTCGGTGACATGGCGCCGCCAATGGGGCTCACCGCGTCGATGAGTCTCGCTGGGTCCACCCGCGGGGTTCCGCCAGAAATGAGCAAGACCGCGAGTGCACCAGCGAGCATCACAGGCTTCGCCATTCCCCAGAAGGCGTTGCGCACCAAGGCCCTGCCTATCAGCGCATTCACGAGCGCGTCGACCCTGGCCCCGCCGCGCGCCGCACACGGACCGCTGTCCATGTCCATGCCGGGCTCTATGGACACGGTAAGTCAAGTTCCTTCAAGATTGGGGGTCCAAGTGGAGTTTGAAGGACGGGTCGCTGATAACGTGATCCGCTTGGCCCTTGTGAATTCACAGGTTGCAGGTGCTCCTGGTCTTATGCCCCCGACGCCCGCAGTCGGCTCGTCCATGAAAGACCCATTCGCCTCGGCAACGGTGCCCTCGACCCCGGGGCCGAGCCTCCTCGCTGCGCGGAGCAGGTCAGCGAACCCGCAGACGACCAACGCCGCGGCGTTCAACCTGCGCCTTCCCAGCCTCCAGCGCGGTGCGAGTGCTCCTTTCCAGCCTCCACCACAGACTGGCGTGCTAGGCGGGCTTGCGGGTGGGACTGCTGCCCAGGCTATCGCAGGAGCGGCTAGGCAAGAGACGCACCCCTTCCCGCCGATGGTAGGAGGGAGCAGCATGCCCACGCTGAGTTTGAGCCCCGATGGATTCCAGACATCGATGGGAGGCCCGAGACAGATGCATCATTCAGTACCACATGTCAGGCCGGTGAGTGCTCCATCTTTTCCCACCTGTATCTTCCTCCTGACATGTATGCGCACACAGGTCGCTGCCAACCCGTTTTTCGATGCCATTCGACAGAATCTCGAGCTCGCGCACGGTGCTGGGTCATCAGGAGAGCCAATTGTCTTGCGGCTGCCGCGGAGGGTGCGGAGACGCGTGGGCGACCTGCCCTTCGAGTGGCTGCGAGAGATCGCACGTAAAAGTGGGAGAGCGAGGGAGACTAGCAGTAGCGAGGAAGACGACGATGACGACGATGACGAGGAGATGGGTGATGAGGAGCAGCGCAGATCCGCTAGGCAGCGCAAGAGCAAAAGCAAGCAAGCTACGAGCAAAATCGGCAGCATGGCGCTTCACGAGGAACACGGTCGCAGCCAGCACCATCCTCATCCGACTCAACGCGGATCGCCGATGAAGACTCGCTCAACGGAGCTGCGTTCCACCACTCCTCGGTCATCGGAGTCGCCATCACCAGAGCTCTCACCTCGCACGCCGCGTCCTGCGCCGCACCGGTCCTCGCGCTTCCGCAAGGCAGCGTCCTCCGCACACGCGAAGCCGTGCTCGGGCGCGCCGCACTCCAGCAAGGCCAAGCTCGCCGCGATCCTGGCGTCCAGCGCCTCGCGCTCCCACTCGAGCTCGGACTCGGAGATGTCGTCGGCCGACGCGGCCGGCGAGTCACAGGAGAGCTCGGGCTCCGCGTCGGCGGAGGGCTCGGGCTCGAGCAGCCAGAGCCCGTCGAGCGCGGAGGACCTCACGCGCGCGCTGGAGCTGCAGTTCTACAAGATCGAGCTCGGCGAGCAGCGCCGCCTCATGGGCGTGATGGAGCACCACAGCAAGGAGAGCGGCACGCAGGCCTCTGCGGGCGGGATGTCTGTCAGCTCGGCGGGTGTCATCGCCAGCGCAAGCCGCAGCGGCAGGAGCCAGTGGGAGCGGGGAAATAGCCACGATCACGACGATCTGAGCAATGAGCAGTTCCCGTTCAGCATCACGGCGGGCTTGGAGAAGGGCAACAAGAACAGGTGCGTAGGCTGCAGTTTGCGTTGGTGCGGAGGCGCTGACACTCGCTCGGGACAGATACCGTAACATTTGGCCGTTCGAACACGCGCGTGTGCGGCTGTGCAAGTCGCGCCCCGACGATGACGACTACATGAACGCGAGCTATGTACAGCCCCTCGGCACCACTAAGCGGTACATCGCGACACAGGGGCCGCTTCCCGCGACGTTCGCAGACTTCTGGACGTGAGTGTTCTTGTGATGCCCCGATGTCATCTAGTCCGCATATACTGATGGCCTGCATTTACTTTCCGCTTGTAGACTGTGCTGGGAGCAGAACGTCCACGTCGTCGTCATGCTCACGCGCGAGATCGAGAGCAACACGGTCAAATGCGGCAAGTACTGGGACGACGGTGAATATGGCCCGCTCCGCCTCAAGCTCCTCGCCACGGACGACACGCCAGAGCAGGAGCACAGGCGCAAAGAGAGCGAGATGAATGCCGGCTTCTTCGCCGCGCATGTCACGCTGCCGCACAAAGCGAAGGGGAAGGGGAAGCGCGCAGGCAAGGAGCGGGGCCGCGCGAACGAGCATCCGAGCACCGTGCGACGCGTGTTCCAGCTGAAGCACACCGGGTACCCCCGCGCGCCGCCGCGCATCATCACGCAGCTCCAGTACCTCGACTGGCCGGACTTCAACGTGCCTAGCGACCCGCGGGGCGTGCTCGAGCTGATCCATGAAGTCGAGGAGGCCGTCGCACGGTCGCGCGCAGCGGGGGACAAGGACTGGGGCGAGGGCCCGCTCAAGCCTGGGCCCTGGCCAGCACCGTTCGCAGTGCCGACACCCTCGTCACCGAAAGGCGCAAGCGGCGTGGGCCATACGACACTCGACGGCGTATCTGAGGAAGGGAACGAAGTGGACCCGAGCACGGGCATCGCAAGGCACGCACAGGGGAACCCACCTGTTTTGCTGCACTGTTCTGCGGGCGTCGGACGCACCGGCGGGTTCATTGCCGTCGACGCCGTCCTGGATGGATTACGCCGCGACATGCGGAAGCGTCGGGAGGAGACGGAGGCTGGTGCGGCCGCCGGAGGGTCCGCAAGTGTTGGGACCGGCGGGAGTGCGCGGACGGCCGACTCACGCTCAAGGTCGTCGCCGAGTGGCACAAGCAGCCGCGGGGAGCCCATGGAGGTGGATTCCAGCCCCAGCCCGCCATCCGGGGTCAGGGCGGCAGCCGCCTCGTCGGTGCCCGCGCTCACCGTCCCGGTGCCGGTCGGCCAGAGCGAAGTCCATGTACGTGTCGCAGGCTTCGATGCGGTGGCGATGGAGGTGGACGGAAAGCAAGGACAAGAACAGGCGAAGCCGCCTGCTGCATGGAGAGAACGGCCGGAGCGCGAATTCGAGTCTGCAACAGGTAGCGCTGCTATTATTGCTACTCCGGGTCAGAAGCAGCTTCCTCGGACCGTGCTTCCGGCGTCACCGCAGTTGCTGGGCGAGGTTCGGCGCGCGGCGATGTCGAGGTGGCCTTCGACGTCCAGTGCATCGACTGCCGCGGGCCATAGTCAGGGTGCGCGGAACAAGGACTGGGAGAGTAACAGCTCAGATTCGTGTCCTGCGCGGTCGGGCGTGGATTCGGGGTCGGGTTCGGGCGCGACGACTGGCACTAGCGCTTCGACCATGCGGTCGCACTCGTCGTTAAGTCCGTCGTCTAGTCAGGCAGGCAGCTCGACGAGCTTGTCGGCGACGATGACCACCCAGGCGGCCAATATGACGCTGCAGAGTCCGGCGAAGAAGGCCGCGTCTGGGTCTGGTATGCCTCTTGTCGGTACAGGTGCCGAGTTTTCTCTTAGCCCGACAAGTCCCCTTGGCGAGCGGTCGGGTGAGGAGAGCGTGGACATCAGCCGGCTGGATACTTGGCGATCGGAGGTTGGCACGTCCAGGACGCCGCCGAGGGAGGAGGACAGCCGGTCGTCGAAGTCGCCTGAGGTCCAGGTGGGCGGGCTTCCTCACGGCGATTTGACGCCAGACCAGGACCCCTACTTCCAGCGGGCTCCGTTCGACTATGCGCAGCCCCGGCGGCTGCATAGGGACCTCTCGCCCCCGCTGCTGTCTTCGTACGATGAGCCCATCCGGCGGGTCATCGAAGACATGCGGGAGCAGCGCATGAGCCTCTGCCAGAGCCTGCGACAGTACGTCTTCGTGCATCGGGCCATTATCGAGGGTGCGTTGATGATCATTGACGAGGAGAGGGAGAGGGGGCGGGACCGTCGGAGGAGAGAGGATGGAAGGATGGATGACGTGCTGTTGGAAGGACTGCATGCTGCCATGGACGTGGTGTCACCTGCGCGCAGGCGCGAGACTGCCAACGTGGGGGTGCAGAAGGCCGCCTTGGCGGGTGGGCCAACGTTTCCTGGTCATGGACAATCTCTAGGGCCGGCTTTCATGATGAAGGGAAAGGAGGCATCGCGCAAGCGCAGTCATTCGGATCTTATGCGTGAGGCTCGTCCTATCGAGGACCATCATGCAGTAGCTTCGTCGTCCACTATATCCCCCGGCGGGACCAAACGTGGCGCGAGCCCCACTGAGCTGCAGAAAGAGAGCAAGCTGGGCGAGGTTATGCTCACCAAGAGGCCGAGCGTGAAGCGCAAGCCGCACACCGATTCAGAGTCGTCTGTCGAATTTGACCTGCCGTCTGGACGTCGGTAGCAGTATAGGCTTGCCCTTCACCCGGTTCGTCCCTGCCGCCCTTGCGTTCAGGGTCTCTCGGCTGCATCTCCACCTGCACAGATGCTCCCCGCTGCGCGCATGACCTGACGTGTACGTTGCTCGTCAGTCACTTGCTGTTGGCTGCTGAACATTTCCGCATTCTGTTACGTATCGTCATCGTACTGTGGCCGAGCTTATCACGCTTGCGATTGACTTCGTCATTTCTCCGATTGAGTTTGCTTATCAAGGACTGCTGTATGCATCTTTTCGCTTTCCTTCATGTCATGGGTTGTACACTCGTCTCACATCGGGCTCATGCATACACGATTTCCCTCTCATGTCATGTAATATCTATGGTTTCCAGGACATATGTAGGCTCCCAGTATCATTGGACGCCGTCAGTAGGAAGGCAATACAATGTATAATCATCTTGCGAGACGTGCGGATGGCTCCGCGGCTTTCCTTCAGCGTCCTGGGATGTCGTCAACACGGAACATGCACACGAGCATTACATACGACAGCTTCGAATACCCCGTGCCTTTTGCATCACCGCGCTTGACGGGAGCATTCCCCTAAACTATCGTCATCGGTGCAAGCTGATCATTTATATAATTTGCAAGGTTTGGATTACGTCTGCATTAAGCGCCCTGCAGCAGCTGTGGGAAGCACTGACGCCTCGATATTCGCATTGAAAAGGCGATGAATTGTTGAAGGAGGCACGTTGTAATGCCTACACTGTCATGACGAAGGCTGATGCCAATTCAGTTCTGCACGTACTGACCAGGTGTGGGTCAATCAGCTGGTGAGATGCGCCTACTTACTCTCTTACTCCTTTCAAGCAAAGTAGGCTTGTTACTCGCCTTTACATCTCCGCGGCCGTTCGCATCGCACCAGAGGCAGATGCCCTAAGCCCGCGAAGGTTTGACCCCGTGGACGTTATGCCCACGAGAGACTACGTACTTACTACCTGAAGCTTTAAGCTTGAAGTCCTCCTTGCGCACTGCTCTGACGTCTCGACGTCACGCCCACAAATATATAGACTCCATGGGCGACTGCACCCGCTCATAACGACTCCACTCACCACAGCCTCCCTTGGTATATTTTTACTCAATTCAATTCTCGCCACATGCAGGAGCGACCTTCCTGGCAGCTCCATGGGTAGTCTCACCTGAGTGTGTCCTTGTCAAGTCGAGTGTTCCTGTACTTCCAATAGGGAATATAATGGCCTCGTGGCCATGTTCTGTGCGCAGTTGTAATGTGGGGAACACAGGCCGAGAAAGCGGAAGGTTAGGGAGGAAAGTACACACAGTGTAGGTCAGGAGACCGATCTTGGCGATCGCCTGGCGCGTCACTTGCCCACCTGCCTCCATTTGCTCTGCGCTACTCCGCTTCTCACCGGACCCTCATGTCTCCCTAAACCTGCTCGACACTGCGTTACGAACCGTCGAGAGTAAATTTCCAAGTGCCTCCAGGCTGTGCAAGTTTATAGGATCTAAGATAGGGTCTAGGATTGGTCTGAGCGAAGTCTTCACTGTCGACGTGAGACTGTTTTACACTGAAGGAGAACCTGCAAAGCGTCGAGGTGAGTTTCCTCTGCCAACCAGCTGGTGCTGTAAAGTGGAACATAAGGCTACGGCCAGATGCGGAGGGCATGAAGACACATGCGTTTCCTGTGTTCAATAGTGGACTATATGCATCAGAAAGGGTGCATGACATTAGTCTTTATTGATCTGAGGTTCCCACAGTGCAGTAACCGGTCTTGTTGGGCAGGAAGCATTAGCCTAGACGGCCTTGAAATAGTTCGTCATTGTACGAGGCTTGGCCTGCGGTCTTCGTCGGTGTCAACAATGTCTGCCCGATCCTCACGCTCAGCGAGCATACCCATCCCAGCGGCTTCAACAGCGCGCAGCCTCGAAGACGCCATAAGCATTCCCTTCACCCGTCAGTCTGCGATTCCTGCATCGCCCACCCGTACCCGCCGTGCAAGCATAATCACCGACGGCCACCGACCTCGTGGACCGAGCATCAGTCCGGTACGCGGTATGTCTGGTACCTCTCCGTCAGCCCGCCCCCTCGTTGGTAGCTATTCGTCCATGTTGTCGCACAGCCCCCTCGGCCGTGGGTTCCCATCCATGCGCCATCCCAGCTCGCCTACCCATAGTGCGCCACCGCCGTTTCAGCCTCGTATCATCCGTGAGACGAGCTCGGCTAGTCACCCACGCGATGCGGCGGCATGCGTACCTTCGGGGCCTTCATCCACCCTCTCGACCTCTCCTACTCGTCCACGGCGCCTGAGCGCCACGATGCGCTCTGTCACGACACCCGCCGCTCCCCGGATCTCCATGTCCCTCTCTGCAGGCGCTCCCTCGCATCCCCCGTTCACATACTCGACGTCGACTCCCCATGTATCCACGGCCGCCACGCACGGACAGGCCTTCCCGCTTCCCCGGTATCTTGAATACTCCGCGCTGCGTGACTTGCTGCATCCTGACGATACCCCCGCTGTGACCCCCGCTGCTGTGCGGAGTACCGCTGCGGCGTCCCTTTCACGCGTCCAGAGCCACGCTCCTGTGCGGCCAATCCCAATACCGTATCCATATCTGCGTAGCTCGCTGACGCCCGTGGACAGCGAGTCAGAAGGTAATACACCGAGCCCTAGTCCCCCACCGCGCCGAGGTACATCGGTTCCAGTAACTATAGCTCCAGCACCATCCACATCGGGTCTTCGCATACCGACAAGGTGGGGTGAACAGTCTAAGAGTTCACAGTTGACGCTCTCCGCCGATGGTTGCGAGCTAACGTTTTGCGGTAAGTCCGAATAATGGTCTGGGTCTTCTTCGCTAGTTGAACCGGCCCTATGTAGGCGCTTCGCTTGCGGATCGTGATACTGCCGCCTCAGCGCGCACAGCCTGTCCGATCCCCCGCGCTTGTGGGATCTATTACTTCGAAGTTGAGATCCTTGAGCGTGGGGCCAAAGGGTGAGCCGGACATCTTTCAATGTGCTGTGACCTGAATTAAGTGGCAATATGTGTAGCAAATCCGTCAGCATCGGATTTTCGACAGAGAAACTACGTATGTCGCGCATGCCTGGATGGGAGCCGTACTCGTGGGCCTACTACGGCGACGACGGTCGCGTGTATAGCGGTCAGAAGGAAGCCTATACTTTTGTCGAGGAATTCCAATGTGAGTATTAACGGAGTCGGCGCACATGCTCACTACTAATTCCCTTGTGAAGCTGGGGATGTCATTGGATGTGGCATTGACTTCAGTCAGAATCGTGCGTTCTATACGAAGAACGGCACGTTCCTGGGTATGTATCACCCCCAGCTATATCGGCATACGTGTGTTCACGTATATACTTTTGACAGGCATGTTTTTCGAGGGCCTTCCGGCCGATGACCTCTACCCCGCCATCGGACTGCGCCATCCGCACGAATCTATTCGAGTGAATTTTGGTTCGGTACCGTTTCACTACGCTATCGCGGACCATGCGCGTACGCAGCGGGACACGATCTGGGAGCACATCATGCACGGGCCTGCCGAGGATGAAGCCGGTGATCGCGAGAGTGGGGTTGAAGGTGCCGCGACGCGTGCGACACTGCAGCGACTGGTGATGTCATACCTTTCTCATCATGGGTACGTGAGCACACTCCGCAACTTCCGAACACAATGCGCGGATGAAAGCGTAATCGGATCCTTGTCTCCGGCCGTGAAGCGGGAGGACGGAGACGTAGTCATGGAGATCGACGATGCTCCGTCGGCCAGCATGTCAGTGTCTCCCGGTCGGCAGGCGCAGAGCAGACATTCCGTAGATGAGCGCGGCCCGGACCCGACGGACCCAGAATCCCCGGATTTCCAGCGGCGCGTGGCGATCCTGCACGCTGTGCGTGAAGGCAACATTGACGTCGCGTTGGACGGCTTGCGCGCGTATTATCCGCACGCTCTGGGCGCCCAGAGCGGATTGCTGCTCTTTCGATTGCGCTGCCGGAAGTTCGTCGAGCTCGTGTTGAAGGCGAGCGAAGCGCTCCGCCGCGTGAAGGATGTAGAGAAGGCGCAAGGCGGCAGCGGCGCTGCAAGCGAAGCAGTCATGGCTTCGGATGAGGACGTGTATGCCACAGGCAAAGGGGAAGACGCGGATGGAGAGGGCGCGATGGACGTGGACGACCCATCGCCTGAGGCCCAATCTCCGTCCGCTTCGCAGGAAGAATCGATCTCGTTGTTTGGAATCGGAACTCATTCGGGGTCTGCAAGTGATGCAGCGGGCTCTACCTCTATGGCTATGCGCGAGTTGTCCGAGACTGCCAAGGCCGCGCTGCACTTGACGCTATCGTATGGCCAGGAGCTCGAGGCGGAATACAAGACGGACGCGCGACCCGAAATACGTGTACATCTGCGCCGCACGTTCGGGATGGTAGCGTACGACGATCCCGAGCATGAGGATGGTGAGATGGGCGCGATGGCGGGTCAAGAAGCGCGAGTAGAACTCACCGGCGAGGTTAATCAAGCCATACTCGGTGAGTGTGCTCATTGCTGCTGGTCATTCTTTCCTGACGTGAGGGCTACAGAATCACAAGGCCGCCCGGTGCACTCCTCTCTTGAGACACTCTTTCGCCAGACTGGCGCGTGTGTTGTGCAACTTGGTGTGCTCGGTGTCGGTGCAGCCGCATATGCAGATGTTCGGCAAGAGTTCCTCGAGACCTGATCGATTCTTTCCTGTCCCTCGCTCTCCGCTTTCGGGTCTCCATGTCGCCTCTGGTGCGTGTATGTACTAACAATGATGCAAAGCCTGGCTGTGACAAGTGTACAATTGTGCTAATATGCAACTATGTAACAACATTTGTGGGGTTGCGGTCCTCGCCTCTTCTTTTCAATGACAGCTGTATTTCACACCCTCTACATCGTCAATCGCTATGCACATAGGTATGTACGCAGCTCCGTCCGTGTATCTCTTTCCCTCTTGAAAACGTCAGCAAGACAATACTAGTTGTTGAAACACGCCGACCCGCGTGGTCAGGAACGAGCTCGCAAGCTCGGGCGCGCGAGTAGCCGAGGCCGGAGGCCCCTATCGTAGTATATAATGACCCTGCGCGATGTACGTACCGTACGCGATTGTCCCTTACGGGCATCGCTACACTTGTGGACAAACACGCTCACCACCCCATCGCACCGTTGTTTCAACACTGGTGAGGGTGAAATCGTCGGTTACGAAATACCTTGGCTTAATTCTTGAACAGCTTGTACTGAATGCCTTCCCACAGGATCTGGACGGTTTGCAGATGCAAATTGGATTTTAAAACAGATCCGTTATGTAGGTCCGTGCCGTTTGGCAGAAGAAAGGCGCTCAGGGAGTGGGTGTGGCACATTGCGTTTTCGCCCACCTCTTGGATTTTGAGGCCAGTCAGATCAGCCGCCTTGCCGACAAGATTTATTAGAGGTCGATTCTATTCTGCAATCGCGTCCAGATTTTGCGGGAAAGCATCAAATTCCATTGACGACCATCCAGACCTACGTTGCACGCCGTGATGTCACGGTATACACCGTGACGGTGAAAGTGGTGTTGCGACTTGCTCTTCTTCGCTTGTGTCGTGCTGGACCAATCCGTCTCTGTCATTGAATTCACATATCAATACACCAAACACGCTCTTCTATGTGAGAGATCCCCCATAATCGTCTGAATTATAGATCTCGACATCTGAGTCTCGCAGACTTGCGAATTGGGTACTCCTTGTGCCAGAAGCGGACCCACAAGACCAATCACACGTTGTGTGGCTTTAAGTATTACATCCCGCGGTCTCAGGATTTTGTGGCCCATCTCCTACTCGAACATCCCCGTCTTTCCCAACGTACCCCATAGTGCGATGCAGGCAGCTCTCTACTTTGACAGTGCGAGGTCTCTACTGGGCCTCAGCGATCGATTCTCCAGATGGCATGAGGACCACGGTGCAGCATTACGGTGTCTCGATCACGTCTTCTCGAGTCTCCCAAAACTGCAGGTTGCTTCGGCATCCGAGGTAGCCACTTCGCTGCAACATTTCCTGCTATACGCCCGGCTTTTACAAAAGTCCGCCTCCGAAGCTGAGACGAATCCGTGCGACAACACGGATATTAAGCGATTACTCGGATTCGAGGTTGCAACGCAGAATCTGTTTCTCGTTTCAAGGGACACGCAGATGTTTGTCCATTACTCGTTGGCGCCGAGACAGACAGACCAAGGGGCCTTAGTTCATCGCTGGGACTTCGAGAAACCGGTCACCGACAATCTCAAGGAACGCCTTCGCAGCAAGGTTAACGGGCTGAATGAGCTCTGCAGCAGACTCAGAGCACTTCAGCCATTTATAGCTTTTGCCGCTTATGGTCATTGCGTTCGTTCCGAATCCTCTGAATGCCCACAAGAGCATCTGAATATGGACAATTACGACACAGATGCCTACAATCTTCGCGTTCGCATTGTTCTGCAGCAGATACTCATCTATCAGACCATCTATTCTATCGAACAAACAACCGAAGTAGGATTTCAACGTCGGTGAGTGATGTTTGACGACGTGGTTCACATCTTTCTTACGAGAGTTTTGGACAGCCATTGGCTACGGCGACTGTACGAAACACTTCATCCTCCCTATTATAAGCTGGGCTCCATGACAAGCCTTAGAGCAGGCACAATCCCGGAATTCTTGGACGCCGTCCACGCAATTGCATATTGGGCTATCGATGGACTCTACTGGCTGGACGCGAAGCCGTCGACTTTCTTGACCTCCTTCGCCAGGGTTACATCGCTAGCCTTCGCTTTCAATACGCAAGACGTATCTTCACATATATGGCGCGCCCCTTGCGTTTCCACACAAAAGCCGAACGACTTGGTGAGGCGGAGCGGCTACGAGGAGGCATATGTCGTCCACGATTTCATCGCCTTCATGCAGAATCATAACAAAACGGCTCTAATGAGAGGCATTCTCTTCCTCCAGTAAGGCAATTTTTGCTTTTGTGTCCTGGACATCGTGACAAATCCTTACCACAGTCACGTCCTCGACAAGCGCATTCCTATAGACGTTGGAGCTCTCTGTGACTTGCTTGACTTACTGTGTGGGTTAATCGTGACGTCCTATCGCTTCAGAGGCAGGGCTACCCTTCACGATGTGACGCTTCCCAAGAGTTGGTTGGTTGAGCTCACAAAGAACTTCGACAAACTCGAAAATAGAGAAACGAAGCTTTTGAATTTGTACATGGCGCCCATGCAGAGCATGCTCGAACAGATGTACACGGGTGAACACGCTTGTTAGTCCAATCACCTCACTAGTGAACATGAGTATGTTAATCAGTCTAATCATCATATTTTCTAGACCATCTCCTCTTCGAACGTCGCGATCTGTCAAGTCTCAACTGGCAAATCAGGAACGTCTTCACTGTGCGAATGTGAGTGGTGTGATACTGTGTTCCAGAGCATTACTGATGATGCAACAGTTGCAAGAACTTATGTCTTTGTAAGTCATCCAGTACGGGTTGTTGATGTATGCCATTGGCATCATCCTTGTAGTTGGATACAACATCAGACAGGACTGGCTGAGAGATCAGGTACTCGCTACGGTGACATCGCTGGAACAACATATGCGCAGGCCGGATCATCACCTTGAAAAGTAGGTCTCACTGGTGCTTCATCAATTCATCCTTTGCGCTTCTCAACAAAACACAGTTATGTCTCCGCTCGCACCTGGGAATATTTGGCTCGTCGGGTCAGGTCATACTCGACGCTGGACACTTCCCTGGACGAGATGATCCATGTTCATGATGCTAGCAGGACACCAGGTGATCTCCCAACTTTCCCGAATGTCCGACACATCGTCTACAACACTATTGACGAGATCCCTATCTTGCTCGACTCCCGACTCACATCGCTTCCAAAGACTACACTCAGAGCCGACGCGACCCCGTTCGTACCTACCCACATACGCGAGGCAGCGTTGAGGCGGGATGCCGGTGCGCAAGACGCCCTGGATGGATCAACCTACGGTGGCATGCGTGTAGGTGCTGGAGAAGATGTTGATGAGGACAACGCCAGAGAGGATCAATCCAGAAACTTCGATGACGCGGCTCTAGTACTGTCCGCGGAGGACGCAATCGCTGATGCATCGACACAGCCAACCGAGGAGGAGCTCGATGCGGCGCGCATACTCCTGCGTGCATACCGGCGTCTGAGCATACAGCGCAAGCGCGTGCGAGGGCGACGAATGAATCCGGTCCACGCCGTCAGAAGCCGTGTGTTCGCTGACTTTGGGGAGGCCTCAAAGGCTATGGATTGGCCACACAGGTACTACCGCATGCTCTTCTTAGGAACCATACCGCATGCCATAGTCTGCCTGCAACTTCTCAGAGATCACCTTTTCAACGCCAAATTCAGCGCGAGGAAGATATTGACCCAAGCGATCCATCATGACCTCGAGATGGTTCAGGCCCGTATGACTGAGATCGTGTACGTCTACGCATTGGACTGTCATATCTCCTGCCACATTGTTAATCGCAATTCTTGTGCGTCGTAGTGCGCTGATCAAGGACGTTCAACGTCTTCAAGATGCGCTCAAGCATGACGCGGACCTGCACAAACGACGCGACATCGAAGAGCTGAAGAAAAGCGTAGTGGAGGTGAAAGAGTTGGCGCAGCGCATGTCGACGTCGGATTGGCAAGAAGATCTTGAGTTGGCATTCAAAGGAATCGTCGAACCCAGACGCCAGCCGGTACAGAAGATAAAGCCTGAAGTGAGTCTCGACGATGGAATCGAAGCGGATACTAGTGGGTATGACGATGAAGGTCCATAGCGGACCTGATACGGATATATTTGGAAGTGCCGTCCTCTGTTCTGTTCTGTAGTTCATTTTTGTACGCAAGGTCAGAACAACGAGGTTCAGTGTGACCAACGTTGCCCAATCCGTGATAGGCACTTGTTTCGAGTTTAATGGCTCCCTCAGAGATACTCTTTCCGGGAACAATAGTCGCAATCCTGTTTGAGCAACTTATGTTTCTTCATTTAATCTATGTGTGTGTACTTAGATTGCCTCTCAATCTAGCGCTCGTTGACCAGGACTGTCAGTGAACTCAACGATGTATGGATCTCTTACCACTCCGTCTCCTTCCGCACCTAGCAAACAACTCAGATGTCGTGCCGATATGGTTCTTGACGAAGCTGAGGAGCCATTCAAATTAATGTTATTTGAGTCTGACGCCGCAGTAGTCACAGGGCCGATCATGTGCTACAGCTGTCGATACGAGAGGTTGCTCTTACGTTTGAACTTGATTCGAACGTAATGCACCTCGCATGAAATCCTATAAACTTCTTATGCCGGTAGGTCTCCACGCGCGTCCTTTACAAGTCGGTACTTCAAGTTATTGGTTCTCAGATTGGCAAGCGAGCCAAACAAGGCACGCGCTGGGGTTGAGGTCAAGTCAATCATTTGCATGAATTTGAAGGTTCGGTAATATGGCCATCTCTTATGTAGATGTTACTGCAATTTGTCTTCACTAGGTCAAATGTGCGTTCGACTTCTCACACGATAACGCATTAACTGCAATCCAATCATGCTGTCGGTGGATCATCCTGTAACCTCGACGTTTGCGGATTCTCGCTACTGTGAAGAAACAGTTCAGATCGGGTCGGCTGCGCGATAAGTAAATAATCGACAAGACCTGCCAGGTGAGTGAAATAGGCTCAAGGAGAACACCGTCTTGACAGGAACACAATATTCACCATAGAGTGAGTTTAGCTAAGACCACAGACTCGGAGAATCACGAAGGTGTCAATCTCGAGAGTGTACTGTTTGACTTTGATGAAAAGCATCGGATTGATTTCCCATTAAGGATTATCTATCCAGCTCTTCCTGAAATTCAATTAGTATGCGTAGCTTAGAATTCGTTTCTTCAGTCTCTGAGAGTCCACGTATTGATCGTTTGGGAATCCAACGCAAAGAAGATACATCTTACTGACTCATTTTTTGCCGAACATTTGTGATGTCACCGCTATAAACAGATCACTGGTGTGTGTGTTAATTGGTTTGCCTTCTAATTCAGAATCGAACATGTGTCATCGGTTGGACCCACAGTCGTATCTGAGCGCCCTACTGTCCTGGGCTTCGCAGCACGAGGCCGGCTACGATCCTTTATAGGAGGCCAGTCTCTCGATGAGACTGCGGAAGGTCTTATCACCCCTCTCTTCCTGTACCTTCCCGATAGCTACAGTGCATCCTCTCCAGTGGAGCGATGAAAAATCAGCATATGCCCGTCGAAATGGCACGGCATACGAAACAGTTCGACATTCGGGTGTTCGATGCAGATACGCTGAGGCACGAGGCTGCGATTGAGAGCGCGTTGAGCGTTCTCGAGAACTTCCTCGCAGACTCAGCGTACAGCATCGATGCGCTAATTCACGACTTCCTGGCTATTCCAGGGCTTACAGAGTTTGTTATATCCGGTGGGTTTTGTCCATGAACTACTGTGCATTGTCTGACATATAGGCACAGCCCTTAGGGACCAGAGCGCACAAACACTGATCCGTGTAATCCTTGACGGGTTTCCCTCGAAAGCTGAAACGTTTGTTACATCGTGTTCAAGACGCCTCCTAGAAAGGCTCTCTGTCTTTTTCACGCTCGAGACCGACATCCTCGCCGAGGAGGACGTGAATCTCCTCAAGTCACATAGGCGATATATCGAGCTAGCTTGTCCCATGGTTGAGCTACTCGCCGTATACTGGATTTCAGTTAAGGCGAGTTTCTTCGGTCGTCTGTATCTCTATCCCTTCTAAACATTAGCAGTCGTCGTCGAAGCGGGCTCGTCAAGCACGACGTGAGCAGGGCGTTGAACTCTTCGAGAAATTACGCCTGCCGGTGCCAACCAATACACAAGAGGCTGTCATGTTGGCATCGCAGGTCCTCTCTCATCAGAAGGATATTTTGAACGTATGTCAAACATGTGAAACTCGAGTTAGCCAACTAATGGGATTGTCTTGTTAGTATTACTTGGAGATTCTGCGGTACCCGCATCTCAAGGATCACTTCAAGAAGACTTACGTACCTGAATTCCGCCAAGGCGAGGCTCTGGCATCTCCCTCGGGGGTTCTTGACATACCAGTATCAGAGTTTCCGGACGCTGCAAGCGACCCCGACAAAGCGCGACAAGATGACCATTATGTTCAGCTGAGAAAAGCAACGCTGTATTTTGACAGCGTGCAGGGCTTCGGTGCCTTGCGTATACTAGTCTCGCACAATACTGACACAGAGCTACGGCTACACGCACATAGCAAGAAATCTAATCTCTTCCACAAAGCCATCGATATATTGAGGTGAGGTTTGAGATAACGAGTCATCTCCCATTACTAAACACTGAGCATCCAGAGACATCTCGCATGCTCGTTGGTCGCATCGCAATTGCAGGCGGTTGAAAGGTACTGGCAACGGTATTCCGATATATGAAGCTAGAGTGGATATCGATTCGCGATTGCTTGTCTGTACCTCTCTTCAAATGTCTTTGTGATAGTGATCTTACTCGATATGAATTTGCAGTATCATCTCGATTTCGTGCCAGAATTCGAGAGCGAGGTATGATCCTATGGCTTCGTATCTACGTTCTATCGCAGCTGACAATGCATTAACATAGGCTATTGTTAAAGGTTTGAAACACCCTTCATGAACGGGTTATATCCATAGTCTTGTTTCTCATGACGCCTTAGTCGTCAAAGTCATCGGCATCTACACTCACGCCCAACTGGGGCGGTACTCATGGCAAGCTATCAGTCGTGCACTTAAGAGGCGGACACGAGAGCATGCATTTGAGTAAGACTCCGCGTTCGTCATATCCGAATGCATAATATCATGACATTTCGCAGGCACTCCCAGCATTTACCGTCTGAGGATGAACGTCAAGTGTCCTGCTTCGTTCCGGACGAGAGTGATGCTTATGTCCCCCTTGTACCGACGTCGCCATCGTTTGACGAAGATGAGCAACTAGCAAAGGTATGAAGGGAGTCCTGTTTACGTAAAGCTACGGCTAAGTCATTCCCGTACGTTGCAGCTACATGAAATGATCACGTATGGTATTCTGGCTGGTCAACAATAACTCTTTCTGATGCACGTGTAATCAGACTCGAGCACTATGTTGCATTCTCCGAGGTAGGTTACGTTGTATAATACAGAGATTGTTGTACTCTAAAGGCACTACTGCGTCTGAAAAGACCTTCCTGAATAGTACGTCGTTTATTGGCCGTGCCGATGAATGCTGCTCATTTAATTATGGATGACAGATATCCTGGCAAACAAGGATGTCTCACATGTCTTCTACGTTTCGTATGTCCTGAACCTGAATTGGAGTCATTGGTTCCTTCTGATGTACTGACTCAGGCCGAAAGAGAAAGCCGTTATCGAATATCCGTACTCTTGCTATGTCCTCGGGAGGAGTGGCACAGGGTAAAGTTTACTCGGAAGGAAACATACGACTAACTAATGTGATCGCAGTAAAACGATGGCCATATTATTCAAAATCCTAGGCATCGAGCGCGCCTGGCATGCTCTCAGGGAGACAATACCGAGACCGCGACAGGTCTTTGTTACGAAGTCTCGAGTGTTGGCGACAAAAGTACAAGAGTCATTCGACAGGCACTACGCGTCGTTCATCGATGACCTTCCTGGAACGCCGGAGCGACGAACACGTCTTTACGGTCAAGGGCAGTCATATCGTCCAATGATCAGCGCTGAAGAACAGGCGGAATGGGACAGTGATCTTCCAAGACGTTTCTCTGAATTGGAGGATCGACATTTTCCTTTGTTCATCACATTCAACCAGGTTTGTTGCGACGAAATGCGTCCCGTGCTGAACTCTCTGACATATCCAATGTCAGCTATGCAATCTGTTAGAGGCAGACTTCGGGGATTCTTCTGCTGAGCAGCAACCAGCGACTGGTCTTCGGCCCGTCAACAAACGACCCAAGCCTCAAGGAGTATTTATTTCTTTCCACGTTTTCAGGAGCTCCTACTGGGCGCATTTTCCACAGTCATTGATCAAGGGCTTAGGTACGCTTTATTATATTTGTTGTGTCATATATGTAAGTATTCACGTGGATTCAGACTCTGCTATGGTCTTTGGTGAATTCATGGGTAAGGAAACAGCGCAGGGGTCATGAGGATGCTTTCTAACCTCGTTGTCAGGCGTACTCAAGGGATCAGAAGAAGCATTAACCACCAAGACCGGATACCTGGATAGAGAAGAATATCTCCGCCTCAGCCCGCGCAGACAGGTCATGTTTGCGGGGCAGCGTGAGGTGATATATGATCTTTTTCAGGTGTTCCTAAAGCGCAAAAAGCTCCGAGGCGATTACGATGTGGCCGATAGGTATACACACATTGCGTGGGTACTGTACCAATGCTCATGTGGGTCGTAGGACACGCGCGCTCTTGCGGAATATTGCCGATCGAGGCGTTCCAGGACAATTCATTGACTTCATGTAAGTCGCCAAATACTACCGCTTGGGCTCGCTGATAACACGAGAATACCAGCTACGTTGACGAGGCACAAGACAATCTCCTGATTGATGCTCTCTGTGGGTCGTCAATCCCGCATAATCGTGCCCTCCAATGTCTCATTGTACTATCAGTGTTAAGGAGATTGTGCAGACATTCAGCGAATGGTCTGCTTTGGGCAGGTGACACAGCCCAGACCATATCCGCCGGGAGCGCCTTCAGGTTTCACGACTTAAGAGCATTCATGTGGCGTACGGAGGTCTGTCGATCTGCTTACTGATTGCTCTGATGACCATCAGACTCATCAGTTTTAGACACGGCGCAGTGCAAATCTAGGCCCTCAGCCGCTGTTGTTCCAATTGGTGACAAATTACCGCTCGCATGCAGGCATTGTGAATTGTGCACGTTCAATAGTCGAGTTGATCACGACGTATTGGCCTGGCGCAATCGACATCCTGGACAGAGAAAAGGGTTCAATAAATGGCACGAAGCCTATCTTCATCAGCTGCCTAGATGGAGACATCGACAAATACGAGTCTTATTTATTCGGCACATCGTGAGTGTCGTCTTCAACATTATACTGTATACTTTCACTCTAATACGCCCACTAAAACAGAGACAATCCTGTCGAATTTGGACACCAACAGTGTGCGTTGTCCAAGACACTCGCGGACTATGTGGCATGCGTACCAATGTGATATATTGATAGGTATTCTTGTCCGTGATGCGGAAGCTCGAGACAGGTTGCAAGAGCGCCTCGGGGGTGCTTTTGCAGCAACTGTTCTGTACGTCAATTCTTGCTTCGTATTTTGATTCACTTGACATCTCCCTTGCATCTCAGGACGATATATGAGAGCAAAGGTTTGGAATTCGATGATGTGAAGCTTGTTTTTAGCATGCACACGTCGTTCTGACCACCCGTAAATCAGGTCGTGGTTTACGATTTCTTTGCAGACTCTCCCGTGACGTCCGGACAATGGAGGATGCTCCTAAGCATTGCAGGACAAGAACTTAAGCAGGACTCTCGGAAGATGACTCGTGATCTCGACGCCGGACGTTTGAGTCACATATGCCGCGAGGTCAGACTTCATATGCAGGTCGTAGTACCGTCCGATACTGACTTGTTCCCCAGCTGAAACATCTCTACGTCGGAGCAACAAGGGCGCGTCGGAAACTCTGGATTGCAGATCGATCTGTTTGTGCATCTCCGATGAGAGTACGTAGTTCTCGCGAGGTGGCCTGACGGGACTAAATGCGATAAATCAGGAATATTGGCAATCACGCGGGATCGTAGTAGCATGTGATGTTAAGGAAAACATCGCTCATATTGCAAAGGCGTCAACCCGGCAGCAATGGGAGGAAATGGCCGCGGTATTCTTCCAGAGGGAAGAGTATGAGCTTGCCATGCGTGCTTATGAGCGAGCATCCCTGAGTCGTGAAGTAACCATCGCTCGGGCGTACCACCTACAAACCTTAGCAAACCTTCTCCCCGAGAATGCGACAGGGAACGCCAGGACCTGTTCATTTGCATCCGCGGCCAAGACATTCCGGAAAGTCGCAGACGTGGCAACTGTCCAAGAAGAACGAATCACGTACCTCAAGAATGCTGCCAAATGCTTTCTGCAGAGCGGCGACAATCGGAATGCAGCAGAGGCATTCTACCTTATAGAGGATTTTGAACGTTCTGCACAACTCTATCGCGCTGTTGGGGATTTCGACGACGCTGTGCGCGTGGTCACGTCCCACAGAAACCGCATTGATAGAACCGTCGCGGACACTATTATCAGCATTTCTCAAACAGTCTACCTTCGAAGTTGTCAATTCACGTACGTACACCATCTCACCACTACAGTCTTGGTATGCTCATTTACATACATGCCCTACAGGAAGGCCAGAACGCTTTTCAAAGACGATCAAGAGATGCTAATATGCATGCAAGAGTATGGCTTCCACTCACCTCAAGCGCAGTTCCTCGAAAGCAGGGGCAGATTGTCGGAGGCTGCAGAACTGCATTTTACCAACGGACGTACGCTGGAAGCCATATCTCTATTGCTGGCTGACGAGCGAGACCACTCATCCGTGAGGCGGGCATCGCAGTATATCCTTGAAGGTCTATGGCAAAACATCACATTGGGAACTGAGCTTCAATCGGATGCGGCGCTCTCAAATGGTGTGCTGCTAGGTTTGCTCGACTTGTCGAAGAGAGTGGACACGTCAATGTTGGAAGCGCGAGGTCAGGATGAGGTTCGTGACGACCTTTTGAAGGTGATCTGGCCATCTAATGTTTGTTCAGTTGACCATGTTTCAGGCTATCGAGCGGGACGACTATGCGAAACTTCTGGACCTCAGCGACACTTTCATGAAGCGCCATAACGACACCGCCGCGGCGCTTATGTGCTTGCATTACGCATACTCCATACCGCCAGACCTTCTACGACAGTCTGTGTCTACGGCCCTTCCGAAGCTTAAAGCATTCCTGTGGTACGCGCAGGAATTACGAAGCATAATTACAGATGCGGACGCTTGCAACCGTGACTCGGTCCAGAAGCTATTTGCATTGAAGCCAACGAGTGGGAAAGCAATCCTCATCCGCAGAAGAACCGTCCATTCACTCGATCCCCATTCTGAGCTCGCCACATCGAATCAGTCGATCGACCATGTAGTAAAATTCCCGCAATCCCTGTTCGTCCCCATCTTGTCGAAATTCCTTCGCGACTACCTGGTGCAAAGAGTTACTGCCCATAGTCAAGCCTGTCACAGATCCAGCGCATTTCAAACATGCATTGCGTTTGCAATCACGGGTCGCTGTAGGTCTGAGTGTTACAGAGGCCATTTTAGCACTCGGGACTGCATCCGCGATTATAACTTGCGCGTTCGTCTCCTCCTACAGCAGATCCTAGTGGTTCATACAAAGTATCTCCTGGAAGATAGACGAGAACACCTGAAGGACCAACGGTGCGACTAGTTGTGTGTTCCATAGATGATTGCATTCACAGCTATCGTTCTCTAGGTATTGGCTGCATCGGCTCTACGAGGCATTGATGCCTCCAACTCCTGCATTGGGTGGTCTCCATATGCTCACACAAACAATGATTCCTGAATTTGAGCGGGGTTTCTCAGTCGTCAGAAGTTGGATTTTGGACGTCCTCTGGTTCACTACGCCGTACAGGCCAAGAACTGACAAGCTAGGAGACTTCCTAACCCCTCTCATGCGCTTCACCTCGCTGGGATTCGTGTTCAACGTCGCGGATATTGCTCGCCATAGCGTCTGCGTTCCCTCCGTATCAACGTCTCGACCTTTACAGCTGCGGAACACTCATGGCGAATATGTGGTTCAAGATATCGCTCGCTTTTATCGCAATGACGGTGATGCAATCGTGAAAGGTATCTCCTTTGTTCGGTTCGTCAAATTCTTCCATCAAATCGTCCTCATCACTGAACGGGATTCTCAGTCACCTTCTGATGCACAAAGTTGAGGTCGATCTCTGGGTTCTCGGCGACTTTTTTGATGATTTGTGTGCTTCACTTGTGATTGCAATGCGTCTACGCCAGGACTTCAGCCTCCACGGTGTTTGTTTGCCCCACAGTTCACTTCTCCGTGCCGCTCGCGATTTCGATGGCCTACGGCGATGTCGGACCTCGGCAGCGGTAACTGCATACATCGACGCAATGACGCGTCTATTGCAAACACTGTCGCAGGATGATGCTTCTGGTATGTTACCATCGCACCCCCCTACAAAATTTATTTGAAGCCAATTCATTTGTTGAAATGCTTAGCGGCCCACTTACTATTCGAAAGCAAAAGCATTCGCCAGCCCCAGCGTAGAGTTGCGTATATTCAAGATATGTTCACTAGTCGTATGTGAGTCCGCCTTCTCCTTCATGGATCAACATATGCCTAATCTCTCATAAAAGCTGCAAGATTCTATGCCTTCGTATGTGTCAAATAGCATGCGGATGTTTGTTGCTTCTGATATATCTTCACACAAGTCGGTATCAATATACGTGATAATCGGCTGGAAATCGCTATCTTGAGTAAAATACGGAGCCATGGGTTTCCTGATGCGACTGCCGGTATTACATCTCGCGAAAAGTTCGTTCTCTACGCTGCGATTTTTAGTTCCGCGCCTAATGGTATTCACTCAGTGTACAAAAACAGCTGGTCAAGGCGCTTCGAGTATTCTCCACTGCCAGGGGCAACTCAGACGAGATTGTTCAGCTCCAATGCCGGGATCGTTTGTCGTTTGACAGCAGTCCTCCACGTCCTCCGGCGTATGCCCGAGTCATCATCTACGATCATCTCGATGAACTCCCTAGTCTCCTCGGTCCTAGAGCCCCAGAGACAACCCCTTCACGCAGTGGACCTGCGTCTTCAATGCTAGCAGTTCCTCCTTCGAATAACCCAGGAATGCAATCACGTAGCGAACAGAAGAATCGCGGATATGGACATATAGATGGCCTCGTCGATCTTGACGCTGATGTGATCAAAGCCCACGAAATGCGTGCAGGGCGCATCATTATAAACGCATGGCGTCGATACCGTCGCCATCGCGAGACTGTCACACAGCCCTTGTACCTGATGAAGATGCGCTACCAAGAAGCATCAGAGGCAAAGAACTGGCCTGTTGGACAGCAATATCGACTCGTTTTCCGCGTGTTTGTCCCACGCTTAATCGTCGCTCTGGAACGTGTTCGCATGTATGCAGAGGAACAGCGGAAGAGTCTGAAGCGTAAACTTGGTCAGGCAAAGCATGAGGCGCTCGATGCCATACACGAAAAATTAGCCTGGACGAGGTACTCCTCTTCTATTGATTTAACTGAGATATTCTGATACGACGTTTCTTAGCACACTAACCGAGGAGGCGGAGCGGTTGCAACAACTTCTCGCGCCCGACGCCATCGTGCACAAAGAGTCCAAAATGACCAGGCTGCGTGAATACGCACGAGAGGTTGAAGGGCTGGTGCAGCGTCTACCTCCCGATTCCACTGGGAGTTGGCGAGTGGACGTCGACCTGGGCGTCCGGGGAATCTTGGCGGGCGAGTTCGGACCGCGGCAAACGACGAAAGCGAGACCTTTGTTGAACACGAGTGATATGTATACATGATAGGCGAGCGGTAAGGCGTAAGGAGTCTTCTTGATGAGAGTTCCAATTTAGCAGTGTTGCGGAAATGAGGCCTTTGTTGTAACTATGCATGCATCTGAGCGATATCTACAGTCTTGTCTGTCAACGCACCGAAGCTCTCGTGTCGTCAAGCTCTTTGAGAATGTGGAAACCTTCGAGAGGTACAAGTCTCGAGGCTGCAATAATCATAAGCGATATTGATATATCAGGAGAACGTAACTTTTGCTGGACCAATTTTGCATTTGTGAAACTCAGCAAGTCGCACACTGAGTGCTCACTCACAACTTCTGGCACCTACATCCTGGTATATATCAGTGCGACGTTGCTCGCAGCTTGTCCGGTTAGACCGACGAGTGTCCTTCAGATGCCGGTGGCTGAAGTGGTTATTTATGAATAAGAGCGTAGAAAGCGACCCTGGGCGCTTGATCAGTAATCGAGCAGGACGAACTCATCCGACGCCGAAATGGCTCATCAAGTGACTAATAGTCGTGCTGTTCGCGTGCTGTCCACCGTATGCTCGTTGTAGTCTAACCTAAGCAGCCTACAACAGAGCTCGCATTCTGGGCGAGCAGCTAGCGTGAGTCTAACCCACCTTTCTATGGTGTATCTGGATATCACAAGACTCGGCAGCTTCAACGGAGGGCGGAACATCTGAGAACGGAGGCGCGCGCCGGAAGCCCATCGTCGATTCATTTCTCTTTTTGTATACCATATCGCATATTTGACGACAAGCCAGAATGGCGGCTCAACCCGGAAACTACTGGATACGGACTCTCGACGTCCAGACCAACACGGATATGTCCGATATGCACGATGGTGTGAGTACCTACGGCACCCGAATTGTGGGCTGAGTAGAGTACAGAATCTTAATCAGCTTGGAAGACACTAAACCTAGACTCGGATGCGTATCTGCATACATTGTTAATCCCTCCCGAGTCCTCCAGTGGCAGACTGAGCCTGCCGATGAAGTAGGGCGACATGTGGAAGATCACGAACGCTGCGAAGTGGTGTAGCACTAGTGAGTACAGGACTCCGCAATGAGACACAGACCCTCTGCTTGCTAACTCTCGGACACAATGTCGTTAGCTGTAAAGACGGCACGCAGGTATGCATCAATATCTCTCCACCGGGTTTGTGACATTTCTTAGCTACTCCGAAGAGAAACCACAGGTCATCCTTCGAGTTCCCCGTCAGTTCTGTACGCAGTCACTGATGAGTGTGGCCCATGAACTCCGATGCCGTAGCCGGGAAGATGGGTGCGCTTCAGACGCGCTACTGTACCTGCTGAGGTCGTAATCGGTCGAGATCCTGAAATAGTCTAATCAAGTCCAATTTTGAAAGCGAATAAGATCGAACTCGTGACAACCACCCAACACGGCTCATCTAGCGCTTGCCACCACTATGTTGCCCGCAATCGCTCAATCGCTGATTCTTGAATGTCACTACAGAGCATTGAGAAGGGATGAAGCTATATCGGTTTTTCTCACGCAACATGATTCAATGTACGTCAGCGTATCTCTAGGTTCTAGTTCAAACGTAGCAGGCTTGAGTTTAGCCCTCTAAGACTGCTATGGTCTAACTGCATATGACAAGGGCATGAAGGTTTGAACACCTGAGCGGGGCATCTGATTTGATGTGTCTTAGAGGCGCGAGACACCCTGCGGAGCGCCAAGCTGCCTGTCATTCGCTTGTTGGCCTGAGGGTGACGGTCTGAGCCTTCGACAGTCCTGAATGCATCATCGCGCATCTTAAACCCTTGTTAACCTCCTTGCCTGTTTCCGCTGCTGCGATCGCGATCTCAGGCGGGTTCTCTACGTGAGTCGTATCTCCTGGTGCTATCGATGATTGTCTGACCCCCGCGATGGTCGCGATACCAACTCTATTGTCGATACCTTGCGATCGCTCGTATTGTAATGGTGGCATAGTGCCGAACGCCAAAGTACAGCATGCGGAGCATCCCTGTAGCCTTGACACGAGGGACATCTGAAGGACACCTTGTGTGAGAACCAGCCGCAGTCACCTGCCATTGCGACCGCGTTCCCGGAGAGCAGGGTGTTGGCCGTTACTCAGGAAGGGAAGGTCAATTTCGCAAGAGGCGCGGGGCTTGTTTGGAAATGCTCAATGTACCAGAGATCAACGTCCGACGCTCGGGGCTGTCATCCGACCACGGACCATCTGCGTAGGCACGGAACCATTGCGTGAGCTCGAACGTTATCGAGAAATCCTATTCATGGCACCGGTGACCAATCGAAGGCGATCCGGTACAGTATCTCTTCGCAGACAGGGGGGGGGGGGGCAGCGCAGGACACGCGCTGGTTCTTGCGAGGGAGGAGCTCATGGCACTTGCGTTGACTGGATGCTTGTCAGTGAAAATACGCAGTTTACTTTGGTGGCCGCGCAGATTGCTGCAATGCCTTGTTATGAATATCGTATTCACGTCAATCGAAGCCCCTTAATATGTCCGCAAGTCTGATTTTGATAAGTGCGCCTTCTAATAGCACACCGCGCATATGCGATGCTGCGTATATGGCCCGTATATGTACGTAGTATCCACTACTTCATCGTTGAGCAATGTCGTGGACCCTGATCGTCAGCACCTCAAATCTCCTCTCTCGTGGTGTACAACGCTTATCAATACGCAACTACTCCCATAGCTGTCTGACTTGCAGTTGACAAAGCACGGCGTATGTAGACTGTGCCCTGTGTTACCTAATAACGCAGCGCTCAGGAGCCTTATGGCGAGGGCATCCTGCATATTGGCAATAAGAGCCATCGCCCTCCGCGTACGATTTCCATCGCATATGCGGCCTGTGTCATGGTCGACTATTGTTCTTAAATGCGAATCGCTCGCGCGAATTGTTCTACGGTTGTCTAGAACAGGCCGAAGTCAGAGGAGGCCAGACAATCTCTACGGGGACAATAACCCAGCATAAGATGTGTATACGCGCGATTATAGCTGCCCTCGCGCGTCGTTATGGAATGAACAAGGCATGGTAGAGCCGGGAGGCCGAATATGGCAGGTGGTTATCCATAACGGGCGGCAACGCGTGGGCGGGGACCGCGTCACAGTGATGGCAGGTTCATGTTGGGTCTGCTGGGTCAGCTCGCCTGTGCATGTGCATCGGTGGGGGTCCAAGTACAACAGCTCTTGCACACCTCTTCTTGAGGCACTACAGAGTTCTCAGTTTGTGTCACACTGGGCCCTGAATAGTGCACCGCCTTGTCTCCCCCCACAATTGGAAGCTCTGGCTTCACCGCTGTTGTCCTGCCCCAGCCAAACTGCGAGGACCTTCTCTGCCTGCTATTTCCGTTTAATTGTGTCCCCTGGGTCGTGTCCCGTACAGCGGAGAGCGGTGTCACGCATCAACCGAACCACCACAATTATCGTAGGAACGCGCACGGGAAGTCGGGCCATAGCACGTGTGCACACAGCGACGCTCCCAGGCTTGGCCGGTGCCCTGCCCTTCCTGGCCTTCCCTACGCTATATAGTCAGCTGCCCTTGCCTCCTGCCCCGCAACTCATTCTCTAGTCTTAGCCTCTTCCGTCGGTCCGCGCGTACTGCCTCCCCGCCACCGCCCCCGCCACAGTTTACCAATACACCGCCCCACGATGCCGCCACTACCACTCTCGTCCACCTCCAAGCAATCGCGAGTGACCCGCCGCCAGCCGAAACTAGCGCCGCCACCCGCCAAGCGCGCCTCGAGCGACGCCACCTCCAGCTCCAGCTCTGGGGACGCGTCTGATCTCGACGGGGACACCCCCTCCTCGGCGGCATACGTCCCCGATGAACTCGACGAGCCAATATCGTACCGCTTTCAGGTGCGTCCCTGCCTGCGCTTCTCTGCCCCCTGATGTGCAGCGGCGGCGCCGGTGCTGACCGCGAGCCCTCCGCCACAGAATGGCGACGCGGTGTGGGTAAGAACCGAGGACGGCGAGTGGATACAGGGCACGGTCTCCGGCTCGAACACCCGCAAAGGCGCGACGCGCGAGGTCGGTCGCCTCTCTCTTCCTCCTTGCCCGACTGTCTGACGCGATCGGCTGCACGGTCCCACCCCCACTCTACTGCCCATGTCCGCATTGCCAATGCGATGTCACCGCTGACGTCGCGTCTTCCCACGCGCGGCGTGATGCATGATGCATGATGCGCGATCCGCGTCGGGATCTGCCCGCCGGCGCACAGAAGGAGGGTCTGTTCTTCCCCGTCGCGTTCGGCCACAACGCGCGGAGATACTTCGCCCCCCTCAACGGCGACATCAAGCCCGACAACGCCGAGGTGCGCAGACTGCTCTCCGAAGGCGGCTGGCTGTGATCTCCCCCTCTCCGACTGCCCTTGTCTGTCGACGCAAAACACCCCTTGCCGTGACCCGACACCTTGGGTGAACCGGGTGGGTGGAATCCCGTGCGACGTGAGGATACAAATAGCAAAGAGTGACCATGTAGTGTGTAACTGTAGCTTCTCAGTGGACGATGGACTTCCTCGCTTCTGTTTATTATCCATGATTCCATTCTCCCTCATTGTCTTGGGCCCGTTCGAGAGTGCACAGTGAGACAGCTAGACGATGGGGTGGGTGAGTATTGGAAGTTGAGCACCCCATGTGTTCATTGACAGCGGATTGGGGAACAAGCCACCTACTGCCGGCACACTGCTGCCGACTGCCTTTTCACGTCGCAGCACTGTGACACATCAAACGCATTTATCATTCAGAGGATACACGAAGGTACAGGACTCGTCACTCAGTATGGATACATGCGCTCGTAACGTCGTGAGAGGCTCGTACGCGGCGTAAAGGGGACGTACAGGGGGGATACAGGGGACACATTGTGGATAGGGAGAATCAAGAGAGGGGAACGGTCCGACTGTCCGTGCCCGAAGCCAGCGTCACGCCGTGCCCGCTTCTGCTTGCACGGTGGGCGGGGCGCGGGTGAAACTGCGGGAATCCGAAACGGGGAGGGAAAGAGGGGCCAGGGCAGGACGGAGATCGCGATTGGGGGAGGCGAATAAATATAGACGTAGCGTAGGGAAAGGAGTGACGCGGAGAATGAAGTTGCGGGGGGAGGCCCTCCCAGCTTGCACTATGCGCGTTATAGCCAGCCGCCGGCGCGGAGGAGCGCGCGCACGTGCGGCGTGTCGGGCTTCATGTCGCCGTTGAGCGGCGCGAAGAAGCGGCGCTCGGTCTTGTGCGCGCGCCCGCGCCCGGGGCAGTAGGTGTAGTGCACGGGGTAGTAGACGCACTCGACGAACTGCGGGTGCGCGGCGGGCGGCGGGCGGGAGCGCGTGCACAGTGGGATATAGCGCCGCGTGAAGGTCAGGAAAGAACGGAGGCGGGGGGACGGCACGGGGGATTGACTCACGTCGTTGCGCGCGGGCCCGATGTGCGCAGGGATGTCCGCGACCACGCCCGGCGCCCACGCGCCCGAGAGCATCCTGACCCAGACGTGCTCGCGGCGCTGTGCAGGGCAGCGGCCGGTTCTGTTAGCAAAATCTATGCGTGCGTCAGGGACGCGCAGGACGCACCTTGAAGATGTACTCCCAGGCCGCGTCGAGGCGCGGGGGACGCGCAAAGGCGGCGTCGCCCGCGAGCGTCTCGGCATCGCTACCCTCTTCCGCGCGTGCGCCGCCATCGTCCGCGTCGTGGAAGACCTCGTCGGCGCCGCCGTCGTCGCCGGGGTCACTGCCGTGGTCACTGCCGTGGTCACTGCCGTGGTCGTTCCATGCGTCCTCGCCGGTGTCATCGGAGGTGGGCACGAAGACGATCTCGGCGCGCACGGGGCAGCAGCGGCCGGCGAGCGTGCGAATCGCGAAGGGCTCGCTGGGCGCGAGGAGCGGCTCGAGGCGCGCCTGCTGCGCGGCGGTGGTCGGGAGGTAGACGCAGATGTGCGCAAGCGCGCGGCGGGAGTGCGGGTGCGGCATTATTTGTGCTGGAGGCGGGATATTCGGAGTATGGCGAAAGAATTCTTGAAGGGAAGTGAGGCGCAAGTCTGCCGAGGTAATCGATCAAAAAATAGGTGGAATCGAACGAAGAGAGGGAGTAATCAGGAAATGGCAGAACGCCCCGGCGCTCGAGAAGGGAGGGAGTGTCCTTAAATACTAGTATGTATGCGCCGCCACTGATCACATAATTTACCTGAAGGCCCTGACCTTCTCAGAGAACATTGAGCCTCATGAACAATCCAAAGGCGGACGACAATGCGCTGCTTACTTGATGGGATACGTGAAGTGGATTCAGCGCTTCGTCTGCAAGATCGCACATACCGAAATGCAACTCACAATACTGGATATTATGCATTGTGCAAAAGCTCATGCCGGTATCTCGCGGTAATATGCGAATGTCCTAGTTAAGCACAAGGCGAGGCTCTATAAATGAATACAATGGTAACCTGCTGTAGTGCCTTTTTGTGACATCTTGGAAGGAGATGCTCTCAGACTGTATATTGTTTCGATTGGAGAATGTCTCGCCGCGATGCATGGCAAAGAACGGTAAGACCCCAGACGGTTAGCCAACGCATTTGATCAAAGAGTGTTCAACGGAGAAATGAACTTACAGCCCGGTCGCTTAGGGTAGATCATCATATCCAGCGACTCGAGTCTCAGATGAGATGTGTGGCGAAATGGATCAGCAGCAAGAGAAAAAACAAGGGAGACACGTTACAAACGACGGTCAGGCATCTTCTGGCAAATGTGACATGAGCCTCGAAAAGACACCTCAAAGAGCTCCCGGCATGCACCGCTAGTAGCGGTCAACCCTTGCCAACTTCTGGTAGTTAATCATCCACAGCAAACAAGGACGCCCACGCACCGATGATCAACCCTAGCCATTTCAACGTGTGAAAAGCTCTTCAGTGAGCGGCATTGTATATGAGCAACAGAACAATGGTAGATTTGGCCTGAGCTTCAAATTGAACCCGTTTGCTTTCCTAAGTAGGATCGATGGGCATAAAATTGTCAGCTTTAAGTTAGACTTTGCTGTTACCTCAGTAAGTGTTCCCGTCCACTGCCAAGGTCGATCATCGAGAGCCCACTTTATGGAGCCTGTATGTGCACGATCGACACGAACAGGCACCTGAAGAGCGCATACACCATCTGAGCATGTATTCGATCATGTGAGAAATACCTGATGTTCATAGGCACCTTGCACAGTCAATCATAGTTGATATCCCCGTGCGTAACCATCGAAAACGCGAGAACGGAGATATTGAGCAGTGGGGGACAGTCTTGGATGAGGCTAACCTACTCGCGTGGTGCATGTCAGCCTCACCCCTGTCAGCTTCCACCGTATAGACCTAGCCTGTTTCTCATTCGAAGTTACCGTTCACAAAGCCAATGATCTAGCTCTAGCTGTGAAAGAATCTAATACAACTACCTAATCATACTGCTGCATCAAAGAGCAATTTCTACATCCAGTCTAGCCAAATACGAATACACGTCTGGAGACATGCGGTATTTTAAAATACCGGCGAACATCATTAGCGACCTCGACTTCTTGCGAAGCGCGGCCAGTGTCTGCGGCAAGCATGAGTACACGGATTGGTCTCAAGGATTCTGCGACGTACCATTTGTCGAGCAACGTCAGCCGCCATCGATGTCTTGGCTTTTTGATGCACAGTCGCGAGAAGGTCCATGGTGAGCGTAAGGAATGTCTGCAGATTCCGCTGGATGGCGTCGGGGAGGTCCCGGAACTCTTCTGCACGCCTCTGAATGCGCGCAACATCTCCATCTGTCGGGATAAGATCTGTCGCTTGTATGATCTAGGCGATACGATAGCCTTTTAACTTGCGCAAACCAAAAAGAAGCGAGATATACTCACATCGAGTGCCTGCTCCACCTTCCCGGCATCCTTGGCATCCATGGCATCCCTGACGCGCAACAGCTGGATGACCGCTTTCTTCTCCTTCCCATTGGCGCTGTTCGTCTTCTCGTAATGGCGCACGATCTCGGCGGCTGTCCGCTCGATCGCACGCGTTTTCTCATCGCCGCTCGGCTGACTGATGGTGTTGCCCAGTGCCTGCGCAAGACATGCGATGACAGTGTTGTAGTCTCCGGCCAAGTTATACAGTTTGATGGCCTCTGGGATGCGGTCGTTCTGCTCGGAGTTCTTCGCGGCACGGATGAGAATCTGCTCGTTGTAATCCTTGAGATTGTCGAGCTTGAGCAGCTCAGCGCCCTGTTCGATGATGCCACTCTGCAGGAGGTAGTCAGTGGGAGGTGATGCAACGCACGAAACAGAAGAATCATACAAAGCGCGAACCGTCCGGTCGGAAACCACCCACCAGCTCTTCCCATGCTGTGCCCGTGTTTGCAAGCACAATGATGCGCCGCACGAGGTCCCACGCGCTCTCAACTTGCTCCCGACCTACACCATTGCCCTGGTCTGCATTGAGACAGACGCAGTACACGTACTGCAGCGCTTCTCGCGCGTCCATCTTGACAAATTGCCGGATATATCGCCACATGATGGTAGAGAAACCCAGAGCAGGCGGCGATGCAGGGGCGAGAGATACTACAAGGCAAGTTACTTGGGGTGCGGGCAGGGAACAGAGTGACAGACACTTACATGGTGTCATGTCTGACGTCTCAGCTTTGGACGGGGCACGTAACAGGCCATGGTATGCGAGGGCAATAGCCAAGTGAACGGCTTCCACCTCTGTCTCTTGATGGTCCCACAGTGCGGCTACGGCCTGACATGCAAACAGTTAATACACGATTTTCGCGGCTGAACCTCAGCACTCACGCGCTCAAACTGGCCACACATGAGCAGAACACCTGCCCATACTCCCCTCTTCGCGCCCTTTTGACCGGGAGCGCCGTCGAAATGCCGCTCCCCGTAGCTCAATAGGACCTCTGCCAGCCCTCGAAGACCGCCATTCTCATCCTCGTCCACCTATGCCAATCATAAAGGATGACCCTCTCGAATGAACTCAATGTACACCGCACCATTGCGAGCTGGAACCAAAGCCAGTCTTCCGTTGTGACCGTAACAAGCGGCACGCTTCGTCGGGTGGGGTCGATCTTGCCCATCAGCTTATATAGCGCGAGCTTGAACGGGTCTGTTGTCGAAGAATGCAACATGTGCGCGTTGAACAAGGCGTTCACTTGATCCCGAAGTGGTTTAGGCAGGCTATCAAGACATTGTCAGCAGCAATGCCAGGCGGCGGTGAATGTACTAGATGTATACCGTCGGTCGGGCGAGTCAATCCATGCTTTGAAATAGCTCAAGAAGCCAGGTTCCCGATGCTCGATAGATACATGTTGCTTGTATGCCTCTTCAAGTGCCTCCCGGGCAAATCCAGTTCTCACCATGTAGAACATCTTTGCCCATACGGGTTGTCCTGCGAGCAACTATATTCGCAGAAGTCAGGTCCGTTACAGCGGAAGGCTCGCCACAGCCCGTACCTCGATCCGATCCTCCCACTCGCCATTCCTATAATGTCGCACCAACACAAACGCGCGTACTTTGTTCGATACGCTCGGGTCACCCCCCAGGCGAGCGTCGACCGGACGAGCCTGAAGCGTGCGCTCGAGTATATCCCAATATTGCTCCTCGAGCGCCGCTCGTGCACCCCGCGCAATCTGCCTGCGCAAGTCGACCGCATCGCGCGATTCAGGGTCGCCAAGATACGCGCGCGCGTACCTACGTTCGAAGAGTGGCGTATTGAGAATATGCGCATTCGCGTGCTCTAGTGGCACGAGCGCTGTAGGCTCTTCCGTAATCCTCGCGAGAACGTGCAAGTTTTGTGTGAGCTGGTAGCTGTGGGGCTGCAATGCGATCAGTCATGGCGGCGGAAATCACGAGTAGGCCGAGCGACTCACGTCAGTGTTCACGGCGAGGGAAGCCTCAATCAGCGTATGGACAATGGGATATGACATCCTCCGTAATCGCGATGCATTGAGCTCCGCGACGGCGCGGGCATATGCCATCATCTTGTTCTGCATCTGCAGGTTGGGTCTTGGGCCCGTGCTCGCCTGCCTCGCCCAGATGAGGACTGTAGAGACAGATTTTGTGAGGAACTCACAGCTAGCCAGTTCTTCCCATGCATGCTCTTCTTCAGCTCCGTCACGGCCATATTCTCCCCACCCACACGCCCACCCAGCTGCTCGAAGACGCGTTTCTTCCGCGCCTCCCAGTCGCGTCGCTGTCGCTCCTCAAGTACGCGGTAGAACTCCTCCTGTGTCTCCTTCCTCCCCTCTTCAATAGTTGAGATGAGGTTCTGCTCGTGCGCATGGCGCAGGTAGCCCGCGACGTCCGTATCTTGCAGCGCCTGAAGTGGCGTGAACGTCGTGGACGTGTTCAAATGCGCGATTGAGCTCGCAAGTGCGGGGGCATCAACGTGTGCTTGTGCGAGCAGGTAGTTGCTGCCCCAAGAATGTCAGCGTGAGATACCGGAACACGGACAAGACGTCGATGCAGGACTTACGCGCGGTCATTATCTGTGGACGAACCTGGTTGGCGAGAAACGAGCCGTCGTGACTGCGCCTCAATCTGGTCAAGAGAAAGCTTTACAGAAGGGAGATCAGGCCGTGCAAGGTGGGAGGTGAGCGCCTTGGACGCGGTGAGGAGGGCGGAGAGGTCGGCTGCCATGGTCAATGTTTGTTTGCCTAGCCTCGCTGAACCGGTGCTCGTCGCCCGAGTATGTGCCGTTCAGATGCAGAGTTTCCCAGTAGACAGCCGCGTCAAATCGCAGATTCAGAGCAACAAGGGGCTGAGCAGATGAACGAAGAAGACAAAGCGCGCGCACGCGCTCACGACGCGTGCCACAAACGTATCACGCTGCTATAGCGCGTCGCGGTCATCAATTTCAAACAGCACAACCTTGTCATCTACGCAGCCAAGAAAAGTCATGTTTATAACTCGTTTGCAGCTACAGGATGAATGCCATGCATATGTGAAGTAAAGTATAAATTACTATTAGCAATTGGGGCTCGATCGAATTTGTATGCTCAATAAGTGTAATTACCCACACCTTGTTGACAGAGTTAGCAACGAACTCACATTATAGCATCACTAGACAACGAAACGGTGTCTCTACATGTCAGAAAGCGTAGTATGATATTGACGCAGATGTCCATACCCACATTTTGAATCATTAGCAGACATCACATTGCCCACCAGCTCATCTCTGAGTAGGCAGCAACTCTTCGTCTGCCTCATCTCCCTGTCTCTCACCTTGTGCCTCATTCCCTTCCCGGTCGGGCTCGCCAGTCTCCTCGCCCACGCTCGTACCAGCACCCAGATTTCGATGGTACTGCAAATCTAGTCAGTTTCCAATGTGCGCTACATGTGAACGAGCATTTACGTGATAAATGGCCGTGTAGTAGCCGCCCCAATACATCGCGGACAACGCCCGTGAGAAGGCCTCGTCCTGGCTGACAAAAGAGCCAGGAGACTCCCAAAGAGCTGACGCTCCTGGCACAGCAGACATCGCAGCAGCTAGCGAAGGATCATGAGACGGAACGAACGTTTCGAAATCAATGGGGCCAGAATCGGCCTCCGACTCTGCATCGGCCTGATAATTTTGTGCGCCGTAGGCAGGAGTACTTGTTGAGGTGCTTGCCTTGGCTTTCCCTTTGGCTTTCGTTTTATTCTCGGATGGTGGGACGTTGTACCAACTAAATGACAGGTTAGTAAGACTTGAGTAGAAGAGACGCGAATAACCTACAGAGGCGACTTCGTGACTGGCTCCTCCTTCCACTTACCATCAGATCCATGGAAGGCCTTACAGAGAGGAATAGCCGATCAATAACCAAGAAATGAAACAGTAGTCCATGAGGAGCACAAACCTTGTACTCCGCCATTGCCGAGTCCCAGGCATTCACAAGGACAGAATCGTCCCAGATCTCCTCGTGCGTCAGCTCCCGGCTCTCCTCCCCTTCCTCTCCATCCTCAAGATCATCGCCCGCCATACCTACTCCTTCGTCATATGGCATACGCTGAGCCTGATTACCAGGGTCATCCCAATGTTGGGAATATTGCTGACGTCCATTGGCCGGTCGTTGATTAGTTCTGCGCTTCTTAGCAAGTGGAGGGTGGCCGGAAGGTGCTTGTGGACCAACCTGGAATGCTGTTCCAGGCTGGGTTGGAGTGATATCGTCGTACGAAATAACAGGTCTCATCGCGGGCAGATCCCAGGTCGAGTTGAAGTTGACCCAGGACTTTATGCAGTTACTTCATAAGTATATGCGTCTCACGTGCCCCGAGGACCGCGTCGTGTTACGAGTTTCTCATGTTTATGAACTACGACCACTGCTGTCTATGAGAAAGTATGCTGTTTACGATGAAAATACGTCAATTCAGTCTATTCACGGATTCTTGATGGCATGCGCATGTTGCAAGTGATCAATCGAGCCGGACTTTCAACATCGCCATCCTCTTATGCTCAGCCATTCTTTTTTGATGAAACGACAGCTCCGCGTATGGACCATTAGCAACAAGTTTCAAGCTCCAATCCTGCCAAATGAGTCAATTATATTCTGCAGTAATCATGCCTTGTTATACGCATGAGCGAGACTAGTACTAATCAGCAAGCTCCTGGCTGTCAGGACTACAGACCATGGTGTCAACAGTTCTCAGTCTGGCCTACTGCTCGTCTGTGTATCCTTCACCTGCACACTTTGTCATACGGCAAGCAGAAAGGCTCCAACCCCTAGTTCTCCTGATACCTACTTGCGATGAACGGCTGCTCGAGACTGTAAGGTCTGTATCTCTTATAAAAGCCTTGCACATAGCTACCTCGATAGAATATACGCTAGGGTGATGGCCTTCGTCGGTGAAACAACGCTCACTTGAAGAGTTCATGCTCGAGGCGGAGTAGCCCAAGGTTCTTCATGCTTGTCCCGATGCGTCTGACTGAACATAATTTCTTCACCGGGAGTGCATACGAGGGAACACAGAGATTTGTGTAGAGTTTCAATTCTACAGATGCATCCATCTGGTATAATAGACCAGCGCGAGATGCATCTGTGCCGGGTCGGTCAAAGAGAGATTTTACCTCGTAATTGTTGCCCGCAGGCATATCCTTCAAAATGGCATATCTGTGGATATTTGCGTACTGCTCGATTACTTGGATGACATCTGCGGCTCCATTGTGCTCACTAAGCGAGCGAAGAGGCTACACGGTGTTCTTCTTCCTCATAGTTGGCTCGTCCGTGTGATTCGGAGTCAGTATCTGTACGAGGATACCGAACCACCGTTGGTTGCGTATATGAATGCCATGGTTGGCCTCTTGGAAAGACTCGTGAATGGAGAGAACGGAGGTGAATCTAACTTCGATCTGAACCTCAGTATCAGCTGTGTTGATTTACCACGGCTTTTCTTTAGACCATTTACTGTACAAGAGACAACGTCTGAGCTGCGGGGCCCAAGTTAATCGAATGTATGGCACATTCATCGCGCGCTGGTAAGTAAATGTGTGCTTCTAGCCGCTTTGGGATCAACTCATAAATGAAACATAGCTGCAGCTACGTCTGTCTTTGTGTGTAGAGTCACTTGATGATGTTAACTTGTTAATAAGGCCTCACTAGTGGGTATAAACATTGACGATGTGCAGTTGCATGAAGACATCTTGAAGGCCATAACTTCCGTCCAAAGTCCTGGTCATGCTAGAAGGTATATCGATATGTATCAGCGGTGAGAAGACACAATGATATAGGATAGGCTGTTTACAAAGACTGACATGTTCCTATAGGTATATCATTGCTGACACTTGGGACCAGCTTGCCAGCACTATCTGGATGTATTCCGCCGCAATATCGTCGCTTGATAGTATAGTGCAGCTACAGACAACGACACAAACAGAGACATTCAAACTACCTCCACATGCGCACGTTCGCGTCGTCACCTGCGAGACCCTCGACGAGGTTCCTTCATTCCTTGCGCATGGTTCCTCCCCGATGGCCATCTCTCGGGCTTGTCTCCCACCCTTCCGATCGCGCCCACCAGATGAAAACCAGATCCTCGCGGCTATGGTCATCTGCAGAGCTTACAAACGATACCGGTCTCGCCACCGATCTGAAAGCACATTCATTCAAAAGTTGAGGGACCACAGTTATGATATATGTCTTGATGCGGCCAAGACTATGACGGGACCTTATCGGCACTATCGGTTACTGTTCCTTGGATGTGTCCCACATCTACTCGTTGGCTTGGAATGCATGGACCTCCATGCCACAAGAGTCATTGATGATCAGCAAGAAAAGCTCAAACAGGCGGAAGTTAAGAAACTAGATGCGACATATGCCAATATTGCTGAGGCAAGGTACGTTGTGAACATATTTCTCATGTTTGCAGAATCAAACATGATCTCGGCCCTTCCAGGAAGCTCCTCGAGGATGTGAGGAGGCTCAAGATCGACTTGCAACCAGAGGCCGTCGGACACAAGGAATGCAACTTGCAGTGTTTGTCGACACACACCCGCACCTTCCAACACATTGTCCGACGGCTTCCCTCTACTGTAACTCAACAATGGCAGGAAGACATTGACATCGGCACCCGAATCTTGGAAAATGTGTTTGCGGAAAAGTGAGGCCTACATTGGACACGGTAGATGTGGGCATGTAAATACATGAAAATGCAACTGTACTGCTTTGACTATACGACGGCGCCGAGAGCTTGCAACAGTGTCAAGAGTGGCCCAAAATTTATGAATATTACAATGGACAACGTGCTTGTTCTGATATACGCACAAGGGCAGCGAGTGAGTCTACCACTAGTCAAATGTGATCTTGGTGGGTCCCTTGGGAGCAGGAATATCATCCCGGAAGAAATTACCGTAAACACTGTGCGTCTTTTTCTTGATCGTCATCGGAAACTTCTTCAGGCCTTCAGCTTCAAATCCGCTCTCCCGCAACACCCGTGCTAGTTCTCCCGCCAGCGACCGCTCATGCTCATTGCCCGTGAAAAACGTGATCGACTTGCCACTCTTCCCACCACGACCTAGATCACGTCAGCCGTCATGCTCGCAAATACAGGCAGAGTCCGACTCACCTGTCCGGCCAATCCGATGGATGTAGTCTTCGATCGTCAGCGGGAACGTGTAGTTGATCACCGCAGCGACATTGGGGATGTCCAGGCCGCGCGCCGCCACGTCTGTCGCGACGAGCAGCCCCGTCGTCCCAGATTTGAACTTCTGCAGCGCGTCCATTCGGGCGGACTGCGACATGTCCCCGTGCAGTCCGCACACGGTGTATCCTTTACCGCGCAGCATGACCTCGACGCGCGCGGCCTCCTTTTTATACAGCGCGAACACGAGGATCCGCGCGTCGTCTGGCGAGCCGGACTTCTTGTGTGCGAGTGCACGCAGATGACCGAGCAGCCGAGAGCTGCAGATCTACGTTAGCGCGAGACCAATGCACCGATGGATGGGCCCACTCACTCTTTCGACCGCTCTTCGTCGAACACTTCGACAACTAGAGGTGCAAATGAGCGCTGCGTCCATGGTCACTACATGAGCACTGACCTTGCTCGACCCGGCTATTCGCAGTCAGATCGTCGCTGCCGACTGTCACGCGTACGGGATCACGTTGAAACGACGCTGCCAGCCGCCTGACGCCCTCGGGCCAGGTTGCACTGACTGTGTAGAGGTATGAGTCGTCATCAGCCAGAGTACAATGAAGGCTGCCTTACACATGAGTGTTTGTCGTTCCGCGCCCTGCTTTGTGTGCTCAATGATTGCCCGAATGTCGTTCTCGAAACCTTTGTCAAGCATTCGGTCCGCCTCATCCAGCACTAGGTACGACACCCTACGTCGCGCAATCAGCGGCCGCATACTTGAGCCGCGCCGGGGACTCACTGGCTCAGATCACATGCCCCCTCATTCACCAGATCGAGAATGCGCCCGGGCGTGCCGACGACAATCCGGGTCGTCTTACCATCCTTGTTTGCGTTCTTCAGCGTCTTCACCTGCGGGCCCTTGTCCACCCCGCCAAACACCGCCACGCTCGCGATGCCAAACGGTTCTCCAAGCGCGGACAGTGTATCGTGCGTCTGGATGGCCAGCTCGCGTGTTGGCGCAACGACGAGTACCGACACTGTCGTACCCTTACCCTTCTTAGACAGTGTGGGCGACGATTCAAGCCGCGCGAGAGCGGGCAGCCCGAAGGCTAGCGTTTTACCACTGACACGCGCGCAATCAGTATTCCGCTCGTCATGCAGCATATGTTCAAGGCACTCCGTCATGGAAAAGAAGCTCTTGATCTCTGATCTTTCTAGACCTTGTCTACACGGGGGGAACCCTCCACGCTAAGCCTCTGCAGGCCCAAAGGTGGGAACGTGAATGGTGGTCGCTTGAGGTCATCTCAACTCTGACGCCTGAGCATGAAGATCGCATCGCAACAATACTTCCGCAGGACCGATTCGGAAGAATAACATTTAAGAATTCGGTGTTTGCTCACCTGCCAGTCTCCGCGATCCCTACTACGTCGCGACCTTCCAGTGCGGGAGGCCATGAGCATGCCTGAATGGGTGTGGGCTCCTTGAAGCCTTTGAATGCTGACTGCAGTTCGGACGGTACGTCTAGCTGGTCGAAGGATAGAACGGGCGTGATCCTGCGGGAGCTATCTGGAGCATGTAGCGTGATGGAGTGCTTCGATAGGAATGCATCTATCTCTGACGACGAAGGTGTGATATCCTTGAGTCGCAGTGGGGCAGGTGGCTGTCCCTGAATTTCGCCCGCGCGGTCCTTCTTGTGCAGTGCCTTGTCGTCTGAACTGCTTGCTGCTTGCTGAGCCTCCTTAGCCGATACAGGTGCATCCGCCTTTGCTTTTTTGCTCTTTTTCTTGCTCTTCTTGGATGTAGAGGCCTGTGGGACCCGCTCATCGGATTCCTCGGTCGCTTCTACGGCTTCGACACCCTCCTTTTTGTGCTTTTTCTTTTCCTTGCCAGAAGAGCTCGAATCTACAACCTGAGACTCGTCTCCCTCGCGGTCACGCTTCCGCTTCTTCTTTTCACTGGCAGCGGGTTTGGAATCTGCGTCTGTCACTATTCCGCGATCAGGATCGGTTTACCGGCACAAACCTGAGGACGGGCGTACGCGGGATATCGACTGCTATTGCAGAATCAGCTTCAGCTTCGGCGACCTTCGACCTCTTTTTATTTCGCTTGTCCGGGTTGTCATCTGTCCCCGGCACATATTGTCAGGACGGTGCAAGCTCGGATTCTGAGCGTAACATACAGACCACCTGGTCCCGCGGTGCGATGTTTCTTGCGCTCAGCCTGGTCGGCGTCCTGTTGGTCTTGCGATTTCTTCATTTTTTTGCTAGTCATGTTTGTGGGTCTACAAGATCGGAAAACCGAGTGAACACCCTGAGTTTGTGATGTATATAAGTAGCAAGGCTTCGGACATTTTGGCGCTCCAAGCGAGGAAAATGCAAAGTCACGTGTGTCTAACGCCACGCCGACCACTGCCTCGCGTCAATTACCTTTTCAGACGCGTTCCTTACCTCCCAACCTCCACGTCCTGCCGGCCCATGGCTGCCTCCTGCCAGTCGCGCACTGACCGCTCGTTTTTCTCCAAGTCGAAGAACGCGAAATTTGACGCGTCAACCACAACCACAACCACAACCACAACCACAGTTACCAGGCGCGTCACCGTCGTCGCCCAAGCAGCCCCCGATCTGCGAATACGCGCATTAAAATCTACTGTTCACCCTCCAGCTCCTCAGCCTACCCCAGAGCCATCTGAGACAACTGAAAGTAAGAAGCGGAAGACCGCTGAACCACCGTCGCAGGTGACGAAGAAAGCACGGAAATCTTCACCTCCGGAGTCATCGGTAACAGACCGTCGGATGTCCACAGAAGTGCATCCGTCCCCTTCTCACCTTACTGAACCCCAGCCCTCCTCGTCCTCCTCCAGCCGACGTTCAAGCCGTCATGGCTCCGCGGCGCGCTCCCACACACCATTACGCCCGGCGCGTGAAAGCAGGTCACGCTCGACTTCTGTTTTCCCAACTGAAGTACCGGCGCCCCGCAATTGCTGGATCAGAGAGGACGGAAGGCCAGGGCCCGGTTTCCTCAGCTCGGAGATAGTCGTAAGCAGACTGATGAGGTTTTATGTACCGCGTACGTCTATTTATCTTTTCTGTCTATGCTATCCATTTTACTGCCCCACTGTCTTTTTCGAATCCGTCCCATGTTAACTGCGTCCACGCGTGCACCGTTCACATTTATGGCTGTATTTATGCTGGCTTTTGGACGTGTCACCTATCTATTTCCTATCTTAATTGACCGTCCTCAAGCCTGCAATGTCTGGGTATCCCGTATGACTGGATACTTTCGTACGTTTATTCGATTAGGGGTGACCTGCAGACAGGCCGCGTATAGCCGCGGATGATGTGCAGGTAGGCTCCGACACCACTGCCCAAGTCCCTCTCTAGTAAGCTGTACGAATTGGTGAGATATAGCAGTGCTTCCTCAGCATATCTCAGGCGGATCGACAACTCTGGGGACGGTCAGAGGTGTGACAATGGATGCTGTATCGTGGTCAATGCCAGACGTATGGAATATATGCACTGTGACACCTAAGCCGTGGCTTTGTCTATCTGGTAGGCTGTTGTACGGCTAATCACAGTTGTGTATGCGCTGCGTACGCGATGGTATCCTTGCGTTGCACATTCGATACTTGCATGCGTGGCAGGCGTCTTTTGAGGGGCTCGTCACTGCGTTGCTAAGGCTTTTTCGCAGCTGAATAATTGGATTGATGCTGCTGAAGGTCTTGTCTACAGACCAATCAGCGATATATCATGCTAATATGTGCTCTTATGTAGATTTCAAAAACCCTGACAATCCCGATGACGAGAGTTTCAACCCTGACCCCGTCTCATACCCCGTCACTGAATTGGAATACCCCAACTCCGGAGCATCGGAGAAGTGAGTTACAGAAACATGCTCATGAACCGTGCTGATTCGTTAGTAGATTTATATTACTCGCACCGAGAGACAGAGAGCATTATAATCCCATAATGTGTTTGGAAAATACCCTGTATACCATGCTGCGTTGTACGTCTTCAGCTATTCCAATGTCAGTCTACCTCTCATGCATAAATTAGGTTATTTGACTCCAGCTCAGCGGGCTCTTTTCGGAACACTGCCCGAGGATGTGTTTCAAGACGACGCATCCAGTGCTGCTCCGAGCCCTGCAATCACTGTGCAAACTGTGGCTGAATTGAGTCCTAGTTCATACCCGTCGTCATATGTATCCTCGCCACCCCCTTCCGAGTCCGAATCCACTACGTCATCGCTATGGTCGACATCATCCGCAGATTCTGTTTCTTCGGTCTCCTCACTGTCATCTTTTACCTCGCTTTCGTCGCTATCGCTCGTCGACTCAATTGATCCCTTAAAATCCGACCTTGACGCGTCACCAATAGATCCCACTAGATTCAACTATCTGCGGCTCCTGCAGCGCGCCTACCGTAAGCGCGATGGGCCTAGATTCCTCAAGGTGATGGACGCCATTAACACACTACTCCGCCTCCTCAAGTACCCGCCAATGCCTCCGGACCCGTTTGAGCCTCACTCGCCGAATCATTTCGTGGACGCGGTCAAGTCGTGGACTCAGATCCCACCAGATGTCGTCACGCGAATACTGAACGAGACATACCAGCGTGCAGTAGGTCCGCGCGTCGCTGAGTTGAGCCGTTACCCTGCCTTCTCGTCGACGGTGTATGGCGAGCTCGAACCCAAGCTCGTCGCGCGAATCATCCGGGAGACTGGCCTGCGCGCGGACTCGCTCTTCCTGGACCTCGGCTCAGGCGTCGGACAGGTCGTACTCCAGGCAAGCCTGCACACGGGTTGCACAAGCTTTGGCGTAGAGATTATGCCTATTCCGGCAGATATTGCGCGCAGCCAGCGCGAACAAATACATATGCGCTGCAGGATGTGGGGCGTCACGATGGGCGAGGTGGAGCTCGAGGAGAACGACATGCTGAAAAGCACGAGGGTCGACGAGCTTATCTCGAAGGCGGACGTCGTCCTTGTCAACAACAAAGTCTTCGATGAGAAATGTAAGTCGTGTAGCGTTCTCTCGCTCAACTGTGTCTCATACTCCATGTTTCCTCAGTAAACAACGACCTCAAATCCAAGTTTCTGGACCTGAAGGAAGGTGCGATCGTCGTCTCCCTCAACCCATTTGTGCCGTCTACACGACTGAGCGAGCGCAATGTGAGTACCTTAGTTCAAGTATCTTGTACCCGCGAAGCTAATGCGCATGCGCAGCTGGATGATATCAGCGGAATCTTCCAGGTCACAGAGAGGCCGTATGGTCACGGCGATGTTTCTTGGGGCAGTGGCGAAGGCTCGTACTACATCCACCGTGTCGACCGCAGAGGCTATACAGAGATTAAGACACGGTTGGAATCTCGGGCAAACAACCCTCGGACTACACGCTCGCGGCGGTGACATGCCGCGGACTGCTTTCATCTATTTCTCGTGAATTGGCGCTGAGACTGGATCTGCAAGACGCTGCTTTCGTCGTTAGTTCACGTTGTACTTGCTGTCGTTATTGCACGCATAGCTTCTCATATTGTTTCCGTAGCACACTTTATTAACGTCTCCGTTCTGTGTTACTACTCACTCCCCTATATTCGTAATTGCTTCTCGCGAGGTGATAGATATTCAGAAGCTCTCTGTCAGGACATCTTGATGGCCATCGCATAAGTATTGTGGTACAATTCATAACATCACAAAGCAGGACAGACATATGCAAGACTAAGTAACACGATAGCAAAACAATCACTCATCATCGTCGTCGCTGTCCTCCGCCTCATCGAGCCACTGCAAGATGTTTCAGCTCGCGTGCATCCGCAGGCTGATAAGGAAACGTACCTTCAAGAATGGCTCACTGGCCTTGCGGACCTTCTTGCTCGTGTCCCGATCGACGTACTTTTTGCTGACATGGGTGCCCCACTGCTTGATGATGTCCTCCTCGAGAATGTCTGCCTGGTAGAATGCCATGAGGATCTTCGGGACGGTGTTGTTGAGGTCAATCTCGGAGTGGACCACGCCGACAAGGCGCTCGATGCCACCTAGCAATGACTTTTGGTGTTTCTCGGAAGTGACCATCTAAAACCATGCATTAGCTTGGACACGACCTCAAAACGCTTTCAAGAAGCTCACCTTCTTAAACAGAGGCGCATACTTCGGCAACTCGGCGAGGATGTCATCGCTGAAGAGGACTTGAGCGAGCACCTGGACAGTCTTATGTTTCTTCGCAATGCCAAGATCCTCTGCCTTCTTGTACACCTCGACCGGGCCAAGAGACTCGCTGTCCTCGACCCAGCGACCGAGCTGCGCATACGGGCTGTCGAAATCATCATCACTATCTTCGTCTCCTCCTGCGCTAAGGGACACGGCAGCCAAGCTCGCGCCCACAGCCTTGACACGGGCTTTGACAGCTTCCTCGGAGGTGTCGACAGACCAATCCTCCTTGGTAATGGCGACAGCGTCTGTGTTGAGCTCTGCCGCCTCAGCTTTGATGCGCCTGGTCAGCTCATCGTCGCTCTCCCCGCCTGCATCGACCTCGGGTGTCGAATGTCCATTCTCGTGCCCGTTAGCAGGGCTCGGGCTGCCGTCTGCGGTGCCCTTCCTGGAGGCCTTGATCCTCTTTGGGTTCTTCGGTGGGTTCTTGACGATGAAGGTGGTGAGCTTATGACGCATGTCTACGGCGGTGCGTTCGCCGCAGGCCTTGCAGTCGCGAATAATATCATCATTCTTGGTGATGATGAGGTCCGTCTCAGGGTTTTTGCAGGACTTGCAGAGCACAAACTTCTCGATGAAGCCGTCGAGCAGCTCACGGAGTTTGGTTGCGTCGTGCGCACCATTAACGATGTAGCGGTCGTTCTTCTCATCGAAAGAGGTCTGGGCGCCGAGTTCGCAGCCGAAAAACTTGGTGGGGTACGTGGGCGGACGGCTGAGCGCCCGGGCCACGTCGGACATGTTGGGGATCACGGTTTTTATACCATTGCCCTTGCCCTCAATCTTTGTCAGGAGGACGGGCATGCTGCAGCGGGATCAATGAGTTCGCACACTATACACACCGATGAGGGGTACTGACCGGTAGCGGTAGAACTTGTCGTCGACATCACGACGAATATTGACAACACCGGCGGCCATGTTGGGCAAGTTTTAACGCTGTTGGGGATACACTAGTTCAGCAACAAGCTCGTAAGGACGCGGGGGCTGCGGGACTTACAGTACTGAACGAATCGGGCTTGAACGGTCTTTTGTGTCTCGGTATATTGATTGGAGGTCGAAGCATGTATCCTCTGTTGGCACAGAAGATGTCGACGAGCGGAGATGTGTAGGACGAAATGGTGGGTGGCGACGACGGGGACAGAAACACAAATTTCAGCGACGAGCGATGGGGACGAAGGAGAGTCCGGCACGCTCTCCCAGACGCAAGGTCATTCGCCCCTCGGCCGTTGCCGGATGCTCACGTATGCCCCCGCTGACTCAGCCCCTCGGCGCTACACCCACTCGTTTCATCAAGTCCGAGTCTCTACGGCCCAATTGCATCGACGGGAATGTTGCGCAGTGCGCATGCATGAATTGAACTGGTCATATCGACAGCAAAATGTCACTCGAAGAGGTAATTTATGAGCTCCGTAACCACCCGCACATTGACACTGTTTCCGATCAGCCGGTATTGCGTCTTCACCGACAGGTCTGTCGGCCAGCCAAAGTCTTCATGATTGATACTGGCGTCTGCGACAGGGCTTGCAGTCACGAGTGGCAAGAAACAAAATAATCGCAGTAACTCCGTAGGCGAGAAATATCTTAGGCGCAGGGGGGCCAGGATGCGCACTGCGTCCTTCTCACCACGTCTCTGAGCCGCAAGGAACCTATCGAATACGGTCGTGGTCTGCGAACATAAATATCGTACGTGAGAAGAGGACGGTCAGCTAGAACAATGGAGAGAATATGTACGAACATCAAGCTCCTCGTTCATTTGCAATACAGATCCGGAACGTTCAGCCATCTTCGCGTACCCTGGAGAGAAAATCTACTCAGCATATTATACTGGCATTATACATAATTCGGTCTCAATCCCACCTCGCGTGAAACAACAGCTTCGCCTTGCTGATGGCAGAACAATGTCGAACAGGCGCCCCCATTTCTCTAGGACGGGGTCCGGGACGGCATTAGGATGTACCAATGAATTATCGGGTTCTGCATCCAGGTATTCTCGTATCTCCGCGGTGGGGTCCTGTTCTTTCTGTGCCTTCTCTTCTCCTGACCTTGGGTCGACCCAATCTTCACCACGACCAGGGATATGTCGCCATACTCGTGACTCCGGGGCCGATTCTAAGATATCCACTGTTCTAAAACCGAGTGGTTTTGCCTTTGCAAACAGGTAGTACCGCAGACGAGAGTTAGGGACGCCGAATTGCAGAGGCGTCAGAAGCAGCTCGACTATGGAGTACCTCAAAGACTCTAGCGTCGCTAGGAGTCGATGTCGAGTGCTGGATGTCTTTGTATGATCACAGTCAAGTTTTCAGAGCAGCAAGCACAAAGCGTAGTAGGTCAAGCACCTCGAATCCAGCAACATTCTCGATCAACATGTAACTGGGGTGCGCACCCTCGGCTACCAGCTGGGGGAGGACGTGTTCTATGAGGTGGATGAAGGATTTGGCACGCGGGTCTTCTGCACCCCTCGCTAGAGGGTTGAGGACGGTGTACGGCTGGCACGATGGGGACAAAAGCCACAAGTCAGCCTGGTGGACAGCAAGATCCGACGCCTGTAAGGTGCAGATATCGACCTGGGAGGCGACGTGTAAGACTCAAATACATTGTATAGCTTCACTGGGGACGCACTTTCTTTACTATATTGGCGCCGTAATTCGTCGTGTATACACGACAGGCACATTGATCCCAGTCGTATGCGCAGACTACTTCACCTTCTACGTTGCTCTGAGACAGTGCGCGGTGAAGCCCGCCTGATAAAGGAAGCGGATTCGGATTTTAGCTGCAGTTGTCCAGCACTATATGATTATACTTGCCGATGCCAGAGTAGAATTCGAGGACTCGAATGGGCATTTTACCTACCGATATCTAGCAGCCCCCTTGCAAAGCAGCAAGGCAGAGTAAATTCTTTGATGGTGTCCTACGATTTGTAGACGTAGCCGGTGTGTCTAATGGATTGATGGCGATCGACTGAATCGCACTGAATCTGCGAAATATTCGACGTCCGCGGCCTGCCGCGCTAATTACCTAATCGAGGCCTGCACCCCTGTTCGACTCTCCTTTCATCCTCCTCCTGCGAGACCCATCCCACAGCGTCCCTGCTGTGGCTCATCTTCCTTCCGTATCCCGCTTTGTGCTCCATCCTCTATCCTCATCTCATTACAACTCTGCTCTGCTCGAACATCATTTCATTGCTTTCATACAAACTTGGCCACTCAGGCACTTGTCATGGCTTCCCATCTTGATGAATCAAACTCTGCTAAATATTCGCTATCCTTGGCTTCATCATCCTATATGCCTCAAGGCACACCCCCATCCATGTCCGACGTTGAAGCTATGTTGGAGGGAGAACAATGGCTCAAGGGTTTCGAGGAGCAGCAGTCGACGCCGCGAAAGAGGTCTGTACCGATCAGCCACTCGGCGGGAGCGTATGTTTGTGCTGAACGCTGTGGCTCATACAGTGCGCCTACAACAGAGGGCATCTTACCTGCGTTCTCCATGAGCCAGACTACCCATTTGCCTACGCCAGAGAGGTGTGTAGTTTCTTCATCAGTCACGACTGCCGCAGACAAGCCCAGCCGGTGGGCCTAAGATTGGGATAGTAAATACTGAAACAGTATCCATAGTCCGGGAAACGTGGACATGTATGCATCTGTGCTTAGCTTCCCACACGAGTCTCCTGTCCGAGCACAAGGACAGCATCCCTCAATGTGAGTTTCTCCCTAGCAAGCGCACCTAAATCTAGCAAGACCTTACGAGCGGCACGTCAGGATGGCAGACTTTAGCTCCTCGCACCAGTCGTTTATGACGCCTGAGTCTAGGTCTGTTCGTGTCTACCTCGGTCAATTGACTCCTGCTCATACGTCTATCAGCCCCATTTATGCACGCAAGACTGCGCGAGCACAAGACGAGGCAGCGTAAGAGGTCTTGCGAGCTTGATTGGAGACATTTCTGACGATCATGTGTAGCGCATTGACGCCTATTCGCCTATCCTCACCATTCTCGCCTCGTCCTTCTAGTCATGCTGAGTGAGCGTCTCTCACACATTTGTAATGATTACATTACATCAGCTTACGCCCCCGTTTCGTAGAATGGATCCGCCGGCGAACTTGTCACCTCCGCTATCCCGCGATTCGTCTCGCCTTTCATCGCCGTTTAGAGAGCAGCCTCGCTTCGCCGGCCGCGGGCGTTCGAGAACGAAAACACCCATGCGCACCCATTCAGATCCCATTGATGCCTTCTCACCCGCATCGTCGTCGTCAAAAACGCCGCTACCACTGTCTGCACCAGTGCCTCAACGCGCAGTCGGGGGCGAGTTTCAGCGTATACGGCTTCAGATGGCTGCAGACCAGGCTGCACTTCTGTCCGAGACAGAGGCTCGACGGCCAGACTATCTCGTCAGGGAGAGGCGGCCGGAGTCAGCTCCCGATCCCTTAGGCGGCGATGAGCTAGACTGGGTGGATCCGGATATGCTGCCACCACACCTCGGTGTCACCGTGAGCCCGGTCAAGGGTCGCCGCATCCAGCTCTTCCAGGAGACGTCCGATGAAAGCTTCGAGCAGAGCTTGTTAGCAGGAGGGTATCCGGGCTATGGCTCGACGCCAGCATTCGACCCGCAGACGCCTGACCACAAACTCAAGCCAGGACTGTCTCAACGTGCGCTTCAATGGCTGCAACAGGTCACTCCCGGGCAGCCTACGCCCGGTACAGTCATCGCCGAGCCGGAAGAAGAGGAAGTTCCGAGCGAGAAGGAGCTTCTTAAGCGCAAGCGATTGGCTGCGTTTGAGGAGCACCCGGACGCCTTTGAGCCTCCTGCCAAGCTTCAAGTCGTAGAGGTAAACGGGATCGGGCGAGTTCTGATGAACATTGTGCCAGAAGAGCAGCCCGCACCAACTGAGACGCCCGCACGACGGCGTGCCGGGAGCAAGCGCAAGAGGAAGAGCGCCGCTCACAGCACTCCTTCAAAGCGGGTATATGGGGCTCAGCCAGAGGAGACAGAAGTCAAAGGCCCGAATTGGCTGGACAACGATTTCCCGTGGTGCGTGAGAGTGAAGGAGCGCAAGGAGATGTCCAAGCAGGAGCGAGAGCAACGTCTCAAGCAGATCGCGCGCTACCTTGAGCGTAGTGATAGCGAGGACGACATTGTAGAAGATCAGGCATTGCATCCACTGGTGCAATCTGATGAGGAGGTAGCACCTCGTCGTGGTCGTGGCAAAATGGTCCCCCTCAAAGTCCATCCAGCAGCGGGCACCAGTGCGCAAGGCCGCCGCGAGATCATGCTCGTGCCCAGCGATCCGGCAGATGCCAGAGCTGCTCTGCTGTCTAAACGATCTGTGCGCACTTTTGCGTTTCGCAGACGCCAACTCCGGGAACAGGACGAAGACGATCCTAATGCGATCATTTGTGTATGCGATCGGGGTGAAGACGGTGAACAGTTAGTCCAGTGTGACGAGTGTCTTGTCTGGTACCACCTTTCGTGTGTGGGAATCCAGGACCTCTCGGAGCTGCCACCACGGGACGAGCCGTATTTTTGTCCGCCTTGTGTCGACGAGTCTGTGCGAGGTTCTCGCTTACTTCCAACATTCGTTCCTACAGACGATGAGCCTCCTCTGGGCGGCCGACGTGACCCACTCTTCTATCAGAGCTCAATTCGCGAATCACCATCTGCCTCGTGGAATTCGACACGCGAGCCCAGGACACCTGTGCGCGGTCAAGATGCTTCCGAACCGCACACCTCGCGGTCATCGTGGGGCGACTCGTCGAGAGGCGGTCCGTCGACGCCCGTCAATACCGCGCAGAGCGTGCGGGTATACACAACACCTGGAGCACGCGAGGTCGACAACCACTTTGACTCACCGTTCGACCCGTCTCAAACACCTTCCCGTGGCACGGGGCCCGCCGAGGCGTTCACAACGCCCAAGTGGGACCGATCGACGAGTTTCCGGACACCGGGACTCGGCAGTCTGAAGTTCAGCGGGGGCTCGCTTTCTTTCAGCCAGTTCGCGGCGAACGGCCTCTCTCCCACTCCGCGATTCCGCGACATATACTCTCACGACGACACGCCAGTGCGACGCTCGGGGCCGATTGATGAATCAGTATGGCGGGAACGTCTGTGGTTGCCAGACTCACCGGTGCGCTCCAAAAACTCCACCACGGAGACGTCCTTCTCGGTTTTCGACAATGACAAGTCCAAGTCCAAGACCGCCGTCAGCCCACACGCGGACGAGAGCGCGTAGCATGCGCCGCGGCGGTAGCTGGAGTGCTGGACCTGCTTCAGCGTCATAAACTGGCCCTTCGAACGCGTCACTTGCTTTCTGCCGATGCATTGCGCTGCCTGTTTTATTCCCGTTATGTGTTGTAAGTGCTATTATCCCGTTCTGTACAGTAGGATGTCAGCGAAGTATCAGACGTACGTACGTAGTAGTCAAGTAAGTAGTTTAGACTCACCTGGACTCACACGATCCGTAATTGCGAGCCAATTGACGCGACACCCGTTATTTCCTCCGGGCATTCGTGGGCTTTCGCGTGTCTCGTATCATGAACGAACGAAGAGATGCAGCAGATGCAGTCGCGAAGAGAGCGACGCGTCAGAGACAAGTTACGCGCAAAGCAAGAGTACGCGAAAACGCGGTGTGACGAGGGTGTGACAGACGCGTTCTGACGCGGTCAAGCGCCCGCTACGCGCTCTATGCGCGTTCCGGTGCGCGGTTGTGAGCAGGTCGACACGGTCAAAGCCCTGGAAAGTCCTTCATGGCTGAAGATATCCCGTCAAGTCAGAGTCTCGCGCACAGGCTCAGACTCGCCATAGTCTGGACAAACGTTTACTTTCCTGCCGTAACGAACGCACTAACGCGAGAACGTGACTTGCGCAGGCCATCGCGGTTCTGCGCTGCAAGCCCGTCCAGCAGTCTCATGCATGTACGCCTTACTGTGCTTTAAGGCTCAGCCGAGAGGATGACAATAGCTCAACTTGAACAGCATATATTCTACATCTTCGGACACAGTTCCCCCTGCGACACCCGGAAGCGGACGAGCGGGAGGCATGGCGAGAACGCGCCTTGTCATTGGAACGGCAAGTCAAGGACTTACAAGCCAGATACGACAACGAGCACATAGGTATGCGTGGCATCCCGTACCCCTACGGTGTATTCATCCAGTTTCCAGAACTGCTGTCGCTGCGCGAGACGGCCACCGCACAGAAGACGACCGGACCGGCCAAGGATTCTTCTGCCGCAGGCGACAACAAGAAGAAGGCGAAGAAGAGAACGACACCCAAGGCTGCGGAGCCCAAGTCTTCGTCGACTTCTCGAAGGCTGGACCTGAAGACCGTCTTGGACAGCCACAGTGGTGCGTCCGTTCACTCCTGCTAGCCGTTCGCGAATCCCGTCGGGCGGTGGGTGGCCTTCGAACCGCCAATCTCACGCACGGGAGTCGTTGTGAACCGGTAGGGTGAGTGTATGCTGTGTCATTCACCGTGCTGCCCTACCGCAGATCCGGTCGTCTTGCGCACGCCTTCGCGGACAAGCGTACTGCATTCTCTGGAGACTCTGGACAAGCTGGTCTCTATCCGGGCGCGCGAGAGGTCTGCGGCGCCTGACGACCTGCTCGTGGTCCTCGCCAAGCGCTCCATAGACGCGCTCGGGGATCTCCTGGCGACTCTGCTGCCGCCCAGCGCGGCGCGTCCGCGATGCCCTGCCGACCTTGCTGCACTGTCGACGCTGTGTCACCGGCTACTCGCAGCCGTGGTGCCCCTCCTGGCGAAGAGCACCCGCACGCGGGGGGCGGCTGCGCCCGCGGGCAGCCCTGCACTCGAAGACGTACTCGGGCTAATGTCTGCGCGCCTCCTGATGCCCATAGTGCGGGCGTTCGGGCCTGCATCGCGGGCGTTTCTTGCAGGACTGTTCGCACCCAACAGGGAAGGCAAGACAGCGCGTGCGCAGGATGACAAGGGAGTTGATATACGGCCGGACGTTTTTGCCATCCTTGGAGGCGTTTTGGCAGCCCTGCAGGAGGTTGCTAGTGCGAAACCAAGCGTGAACCGGGTAGTACGCCACACAATTAACGACACGCTTGCCATCGAGGCTATTCGTGAATTACAAAAACTGTATGAGGACACACACTCGCCTGTTCCTGCTACGGCTACGACGCCAGCCAGTCGTGCATTGAAGGTGGCAAGGACGGATCGCATCGACAAGCTAGCCCGAAAGGACGCGCTGTGGTACCTCTGCAACGTCCTGCACCTCGTGCTGCCGCTCGAACCAGGTACTTCGCTTCCCGCGCAGGACGTGCTTCTCGAGGACACCATCTATGCGACGCTATCGGCCGTGCTGCGGCGCTCGCGCCCGGCGCACAGAGATCCCGGCGACGGCGGCCCGTGTGACAGCCCGAAGGCACCCTCGATGCCAGCAGCGGAGCCACGTTACGACATGGACGAGGTGGAGCGCGGGATGGTGCTCGCAGTGGTGGAGAGGGCGTGGCTTGGGAGTGGTACATAGATGGAAAGATCAGGGGGCGGGAGCGGCGCGCTGTTCGGCGGTCGTGGTCGACTCGGAGCTTCTGACGGAGTCGCGGGCGGCGTCGAGTTGCGCGCTCCGTGCGCGTCTGCGCCCCTCTCGGTGATGCACGCTGTCGGACAGTCGAGCCAATGGAAAAGGTGTTGCTGGCATTGTGCCGTACACGGCGCTGTTCGGACTGATGCGTGGGTTACCAGGAGCACGGCGCTCCGGAGAGTGATAGAGATGGGATGCGTCCTGCTGTATGCAGCTAGGCCTCAGAGTATGATAGCCAACATTGACATGAACAGAGATGTGGATGCCGTACGCGTGATCGCCATCTGCATGCAGGGTTATCCTGAATATGCCTCGCCCAAGGATGCCGCTACAGAAGCAGAAGAGCACATATCCGGAAGTCAGGCTGTGTGGATGGCGGAAGGTATGTACCTATGCAACTCAGTGGCGTATGACGTGGCAGCACTCTCGCAGGAGAGAGTACAGAATCTGGCTGTATGTTGGGTCGACGGGTGGCTAGGTGACGCTGCCGTCAGGGCACAACCAGGGCCGCGACGGAGCCCGTGACGTCGTGGCATACCGGTAACTTGATACGAAGTCTAACTAGCCTCGAAGGGGATATGTTGCGAAATTGCCGGCATGTGCTTTCCCGCACGCTGAGTGGCTGCGCAAAGCCAGTGGGAGACGGCCGGGAACATCGTCGGACCTATCGCTGTACGCTGAAAGGGTGCGAGGGCTGCTTTGTTATACGCAGAGCACGGATTCCCATACTGATTACAGGGTCCGCGCGGCCAAGGCCCGACATGATGAGACTGGGGTCCACAAACGGACAGCCCGGTTCCAGGGTTCTTGGTCATTGCGGCTCCGACATTGGTCGCGCGACCATATTGACACAAGGAGAGCGTACCTGGGTGGCGCGATTCGCGATCCGTTGCGCGGGCTTCAAACACGACACGACGAGGGGCGGGATTGCTGCATTCTGCCAGCGACGGCGGGCCATGTGCAGACAGCGCTGCGTTTGGGGCGGAGGACACTTTATAAGGGCTAGTGATGATGGTCACGACGCGACGAGGTGTGTGGTCTGGTGCAACAGTTACCTCATGCTGCAGCGCGCTCTGACGTGGCATAGTGCACGGTGGAAGACCGGAAAGACCCAGACCCTGACCACGGAGATTTGGAACTCAAATGATATGATTTGATGTCAGGGAGTTATGAAACCCGATATGTAACCTATCTGCAAACGCTTTCGGCTGAGCGTTGCACGACAAACATCTACGTTTTGCCGAGCCACCCATATGCATCGGTGGCGCGTGGCGGCCACGCTGCGGCTCATCGCGTCGTTTCCTAAATGTACTTCCTTTGGGAGCAGGCAACCCCTGTAGGGTGCTGTGGAGGGGACGCCCTGCAAGCTGTGTGCCCAGCCAACCCGGAGCTTGCGCCCTGTGAGGATGCAAATAAAATAATTGCAAGGGTAAATCAAAGCAAGGGAGGGAAGGACTTATTCCGGGCGTGCCACACGGCAAATGCCGAAAAGTCCGCGAGCGCGGCGAGGAAGCTTAATTCAATCAAACGCCCCCACACGCGTCTTCTGCGGTGGCTCGTGGACAGTTGCTATAAGACGAGGGCCGGAGGCGGATGCCATCTCCCCAGGAGATCTCTCCGCTCCGTCCCTCCTTCCACCCCGACTGTCTTTTCCCTCGCCAGAGGATGAATATCAACATGAACTTCGCCGCAACACTCACCTCCCGTCTCGCCTCTCGGTCTTTCTCGTCGCGTATGTCCGAAAGGAAGGCTGAGAGCGCTAGCATCGCGTCGTCGCAAGGTGTGTGGCGCCGGATCCGCCTCTGTGATTGTGGCTAACTCTATGGTGCAGCATCGTGCACGTCCGGCTCGAGTTCCTCAGAGGGCTCTTCGTTGAGCCGCTCTCTGGATTCCCCATGCACATCGGAGCCGGGTGAGCTACGCTCAAACGAGCATCTTGCGGTCCTCCTGCACAGGAGCTTCTGGAAGGTCCGTTTTGCTATATCTGCCCTGCTCTCTGCATCTGCCGCGGGCAGGGTCCGTGTCTTAGCATGTGATTGATCATCTCTACATCTACACAGCCTGACAGAGAGGCGCGTTACTGCGACATCTTTATGTGCCAGAAGAAGTTTACTATGTGGGAGCGCAAGCATGTGAGTTCAATCACCGCGCGTCATCGTGTTCCGTTCTCATCGCATCTCTACAGCATTGTCGCAAATGCGGTGGCATCGTCTGCGGCGACTGTTCCGCGCGCATGACCAAGCTGCTTGATACAACGAACCTTGAGTTCTCCTACCCCCCGCGCCACACGCCCATTGATACCTTTGATTCGCCCACATCGCCCGTCCTAGAGTATCGCGTCTGCGACCATTGTTGGGATCAGATTCATGGTGTCCGCTCGCCGCGCTCCCCGATCTCGCGCGCCTCCACACCCATCGCATTGCTGCAGGAAGCGCTGAAGGGCTTGGACTCGCCCAGGTCCTCCGCGTCCTCGTCGCTCCCCACTCCTCTTGATGCGTCGCCTATTCTGCGCCCGTCTCTTCATCGCGCGCGCACCGCGTCGCCCCGCACCCCGTCTTCGCCCTTACGTTCGCCCGTGCAGTCCCCGCACTCGCTCACCAATTCGGTCCACGTTGCGGACAATGAATTGAAGGAGGACCTCGGGGAGCTCGAAGCCTACCCGCTCCGCCATGCGAGCGCGATCTGTAAAGCCACTGGTGGCGGCCGCTGGGAGCCGAAGCCGCGTATCAACCTAATCGGCTACCGCCTGCCTGGCCAGAAGGCGCAGTACGAGATCGACCTCGAACGCGAGGAGGAAGAGCGCAAGCGGCGCAAGCAGAATCCCGTCATTATAGACGGAGGTATGTTGTTGCGTGCATTTTGACGGGAGGCCTTTTTGCTAACGCCCGTCTATCAGATTTCCAACTTCGGGTTCCGTGCGAGATCGAGCCTCGCTCTCCTGCCGGCCCCATCACCCTGTCCACGTTCTAGCCTGTACACATACTCCCACTGCGATATCTCCTCACATGCTCTCGTCCTGCTCGTCGATACCTTCCGTTCGCGTTACCCCCACCCTCCCCCTCCCGTGCCTGCTCGGATTTCTTTTATACTTATTATTGTGTTCTTGTATACCTTGCACATAGTGTATGTTCTGGTGTTAATACTTGTCTGTATACTTTTGTGCTGTTGTCTGTTGTACTCTGTTATTTGGACGGTACGGTGCGGTACCATGGTGTCTGTATGCTCGTTTATGCCATAATCAATAGAATATGCTGCTTTTGCTTCACGATGTGTGCTGTTGGCGGTCGCGCGATTGGTACTGACCGTGTTACGCCCGTGCCGTATCTCATTGCAGCTGGTTCCAACTTCCCTACCGATAGACCTGTCCGAAGGTGTTTGTGCCAATTTGCCCAAACTAAGCCGTTGTGCACAAGGCCCCATCGTAAGTCGGATTACGCACACTTAGAGTTCAATAGGTCTAAATCATGGTATGGAATCAGCTGTGAGGTGTTCTGCACCCCCGGGGCTGCGATCGCCCGCACAATCAGAGCTTCTCGTGTGTGCTGGTTCGGCAGTCCTTTTCGCTGAATCCAACTTCCTCGGGTTCAGGCCTTCAGGCTCCATACAGCGTAGGTACAAGTAGAATGTAACCGAGCCACGAGTGGCTCACAACAGCGGGCTCCGCGTTTTCGCACCGAATCGCACAATGAAGTGCAGTTCGCTCGGTGTTGGCAATGCCCTACAGCCTGGTGTCGGACGGACTTAGAGTGACGGGTCGTAATCAGGAGCAACATGCGTCCGTTCCGCTGGTTCGGCAGTCAAACTTACCTGGAAGCCTGAGCCTGCCGTGTTTGAATTCATGCGTTCATTCCATGCCATGGACTTCAGAGCAGCTTCTGTTGGAAGTTGCATCACGGCGTATCTCCTAATTCTATATAAGCACACACTTCTTTCTCCCTTGCCCGGTGTGTCGTGTCCCCGGGTCCACAGGACGTGTGGATTCTCAGAAACGCACCGGTCGATTGTAACTGAAGCTGAAGTCTCGTGGAACGCGGTGAATTCGGAGTAAGCCTGACAGAAATCCCGTCCTTCCAAATATAGAAGGACGCCTGCTCAGTTTGGCGGAAAGCAGGTTGGGCCCTTGATCGCATTCGACGCGTCTTCGTCCACGGTGCAGCGTATGCCCTGTCTTGTCAAGTCTTAGTCAAGTCGTAGTCAAGTTCGTGTGAAGGCAACCTTCTCTCTGGAGAGTATTAAACTATGGACGCATGAGCTGAACGTGCATTTCTCTTCCTGCACGCCTTGAACACCGACATTCAATCAACCCGTCAACCGAGCTTTCAGAGTCCCAATGGCTAGCCTCGAGCATAGCACCAAAGCACAGTGCAGTCTGACGAGATTTAATATTCAAGTCCTGGGGAGTGGGTGGCGGCCATCAATCGCGCGTGGTCCACGTGGCCCGGAATTGCCTTTGGGATTTTCGGGAGCTTGCACCTTTGGACCGAGCTTGTTCTCCCCCGTCGACGGCCAGGACACGCTATACCACACTCTCCTGCCTTCTTGATACCCTCTGCTGTGTCGGCTGCAGCAGCCGGCGTGCTTTCACCTTGCTAGGTCTCTGATTCTGTGCCAGGTCTCACAGCCATGGCGGCACCACCGCGCCAGCAGCAGCTCCCGAGGCTGCTCATCCCGCCAAATCTCAACGCCCAGCAGCCCATCGTGTTTGGCGAGAACGCGCCGCTGTTCTCGCCGGGGCTGCCAACCTCGATTGCTCATGGAATGCACCCGCCGCCCTTTCTGAATACGTCCAATCCACTCCAAACACCCATGCAGGCCAACTTCTTCCAGCAGCCGCCAGGCGCACCGGGACGTCCGTCGATGCACAGGAACGCGCCCAGCGTCGCGCAGCTAGCGGCGGCGGGCATCTTCCCGCCTGGAATGCCCATGACGCCGCTGGGCCAGAGCGGCTTCCCAGCCCCGATGCTCGGTCTCACGCCGTTCGCACAGCCCTTTGTTCCGCGCAACAAGCGGTCGGGAAGTATCAGCGTTGGCGGGCCTCCGAAAGCTGTTCTGGGCGGCCCTCAGCGCAAGGTGAGCCCGCTGCCTGGCGGACCCGCGGCGACTGCACCCGCTCCCACGCCAAAGGCAAAGAAGGTTGTGGTGAACCTGCCGCGGGAGACCGTCCCAGGAGAGGGAGACGAGCCCTCGACGCGTCAACCTTGGGCCAGGACACCTCTCCCAACGCCTGCACATCAGGCAGTGGTCCCGCCCGAGACTCACTCAGCGGAACCGTTCCCGCCCGATAACTGGAGGTATCATCTGCCTGATACAGTTGATGTCTTCCTTCCTGGCAAGGTGTGTACCTCATACGTTACTCCCGATCATGTGCTTATCATCGCGGCTCACGCGGGCAGGCTGCTTGGGACGAGTTTAAGCAAAAGATTATCGAGGAGAAGCTGGAGAAGCTCGGTGTAGAGCGCGGGAATGGTAGCGCCATACCTCATATCCATGCCCCGCATGCCCGAGCAGCATCAGTAAGTTGTGCGCGTGGTATGCACGTTGCATCCCCTACTAACATAGTTATCCAGATATCTTCGCCCGCGGATCCTGCTCTCCTCTTCTTCAAATTGAACAGGTTACAGCAGTCTCAAAACGCGTCATCATCGAATTCATTATCGACCTCGCCGCAGCCTCCCCTCCCGTCGTCCACGTCTCCTCAGCTACCTCCGCGCTTCCAGGGCAGGCACGGTCACAGCATGTCCTTGGCTCAGCCGCCCTCTTTCCAATCACAGTCACAGTCACCGGTGTACAATCCAGCGGCTGCGTTCAATCCATTTGGACCAGCCGCTACCCTGGGGTCGGATCAGATCTTTACGCAGTTTTCACCAGTGCCCCCAGCGGGATCCAATGCTAATGCAGCGCACAATATTCATGCGCCTCAGGGACGCGTTCCAGCGAACTTCGCCACTCTTGCTCCGCCTCAGCCTTTATCGAGACCGGAGAGCCGACCGGACTTCTTGCGTGGCTTCGGGCTGGACGTAACCGAGGAGGTCGAAGAACCTCCGGAGGAACCTGCTTCTACTAACGATCCTGGCTCGGATACGGCAACGGAACACGCGACGCAAGATGATATGTCCCAGATGGCTGAAGATGGTATGAGCACGGTGGCTCAGAGCCGGGTGCATTCGCGGCATGTCTCGCATCTGTCTGCTGCATTGTCGTTATGCTCGGTTGGTGGTGTGGTGGAGGGAGCACCTTCACTTGTGCGCGAGCCAACGCCGGAGATCGAGGTCGTGCCTGCGCGCGACCCGATTGGGCTGGGCGAGATCGAGGTGATCGATTCTGGGGGCTCTGAGGATTCTGAAGAGGATCAGGAAGCAGTCGGAGAGTGGACGGGATCGGAGGATCTGCGCAACGGCGTGGACACGTCTGAAGATGAGGTCAGTGAACTTAGTCTGCCTTTGCTTCCTTGTCACTCATGTTAGCTATGTCGTCGTTGCAGAGCATCGGAGAGTGGTCGAATCCGTCAGACGAGGAGAGAGCACGTCAGCAACGGCAGCAGCGTCGTCTGCTCCGCCGTGCGAAGCAGCATGATCTGGAGACTCCGAGAAGACTACCTAACTTCCCGCGGCCTCCCGAGATCGCAGCTACGTTCGTCGACAAGGAAGATATTGTCTCGAATCCCAGCGAGGAAGAACATTCTGAGAAGCCGTTCGCGTTTACTGCCGATCACCGGGGCCACTTTCCCCGTCCATCCTCCAGTGGCCATGGTCGGCCGCTGCCGCCATTGCCTGAAGCCGTGCGACCTGGCTCTGCGCCATATTCGTATCACGATCCGGCATTGGCGCACTCGAGGGAGGCGTCTGAGCATTACCTTCAGCCAGGCGGGCTTCAGCCTCGTCCGCCCCTGCCGTTGTCGGGGCGCACGGAGTCGCTGAACCCTCTTGCGGAGCCATTCGTCTTCGGTGCGAACCGCCTGTCTGGCTCATGGGCATCTGGGGCCTCCAGTCAGACGGCCGCGTCCGCTGTTACACCGCCTGCAAACACCCATACGCGGGCACCCTCTTTTGGAAAGCCGCTCAGCGCGGCCGCGCCTGAATTCAAGCCTACTGGATTCACCTTCCGTCCCCCTCCTGGCGTGCCTCAGCTATCGTTCTCGTCCCCCTCGGTTGCGCGCCCTCTGCCGACACCTCCTGTGCCACCACAGGTGCTCTCACCAGGGAAGCCCGTGACAAGAGAAATGCAAGGCCGAGAGAAGAGGCAACGCCGTGGGTCAGAAGGTTCATTGGACGGAGAAGACGAGGATGGTATCAACGATATGTCATCCTTCAAATTCCCTCCGGACAACGTGCGGGCGGTGTCGGCGCCAGTCAGCCCACCTCGGTCTAGCTTGGGCTTAATGAAGGATGCATCGCTCAGTATCACTGCAAAGCCCTACGCATATGCCGGTCTCTCAAGCACGTTGCCTACGGTGTTGCCGCAAACAGCGCCTAGGGTTGGTAACGAGGAGAACGAACCTCCTGAGGCGGGTGACAATACGGACATGGAGTCGGTGCATGATCTTCCATACCCGCCCACCATGAAGCTGAAGCGGGCACCCATACCACTGGATTTCAAGCATCCCGTGTCCACAAACACTGTTCCTGCAGGTTTGTTCAAAGCTCTCGTTAATGGAGATGGCGATGACAGAACGCGTCGTGCAGTACGCTCCAGACTCAGCTCGAGAGACATCTTCGAGCACAGCACTCGCCCGTCGCTCGATGACCTCAACGTTCCGCCAATCTCGAATAGAAACTCTCGCAATAGGCTGTTCACTGACCCTGGGTTCCACGAGTCCTCTCCGCACCGCGAGATCTTCACGCCCGACTTACCTATGCGGCGTTCCTCGCTGCCAGCGAGACACCGTGGGAGCGAGTCGTCCATGTCCGATGTCTCTTTACCTCCTGTCAATCTCTCTCGAAGGATCGAGATGCAGCAGTACGAGCAACGACTTGAATACCTACTGGACGAGAAGTTCGAGAAGATCAAGGGTGCCATGGCAAACTCTAGGCAAGGCGGGCAAACACTGAGCTCATCCACGGAAGCCATGATCAATGAGGTTGTGTCCTTGTTCCGAGCGCAGCTGCATGAGTCGGCCGCCAAGGGCCTAGATGACAGTCAGATGGATGCGCGCGGCGAACTGGACTTCGAGGTCATCAAGGACATCATCGAGCAGAAGCATGCAGAGAATCGCGCGGCTATACAGATGGATATCGCACAGCTTATGAGCAATCAGAACACGGAGGCGGACCTGAGAATGCTCGCGGATGAACTCACGAACAGGACGGTAAATGCGGTGGTCACCGCCACCACGCAGCTGGCCATGCGACTGCAGACGATGGAGAACCCGCGGGTGTCTGCTGATCGGGAAGTGATCGTACACGACCTCATGTCCAACTTGATGCCTCAGCTTGCCGCCTTGCGTCCGGAGCCGATTGACTATGAATTCCTCACGGCGCAGCTCACGCAGGCCGTGAAACCACACATCTCGCAGCTCATAGACCTAGCCTCGGATAAAAGGGAGACTGCGGGACTCATCGTGGACAAACTCGTGCCGATTCTGCCTTCAATCCATGGCCCTGTCCCCGAGTTTGACACAGAGGCTATCATCGGCAGGCTTACCACCGAAGTCCGCAAGATCGTCGCTCCCCTGGACGCACATGAGATCAAGGAGCAAGTATCGGATCTTGTCGTAGAGCGTTTGGATTCTCGCCTCGCTGTTAGAGATAGGGCATTCAGTGTTGACGCCATCAATGAGAAAGTCTCAGAGGGCATTCGTGGTCTCTTGGCCCCCATCAAGGAACTTCAGACAGCCCTTGGCAAACTGCAGGAGACAGCACCGTCACGTTCTGTGGCTGCAGACATTGATCTCTCGTCCATCAAGGAGTATATCCAGTCTCTTCTCTCAGACCTCCCGCAAGGGCTACTAGCTGCAACGAACGCACTCACTACGGCTCAGACTGAGTTTAAAACTCATGCGGAGCGAGGCGGCAGGGATACTCCGTTGGCGAGAGGTCTAGCGCAGGTGGAAGCTGCTATACGCGATGTTGCCCGTGAACAGCAACAGCTCGCCTCCCAGAATCAAGAGTTCTCCGACTTCTGCCAGGATATCATCAAGCACATCGACACTCTACCGGAAGCTATGGTCGAGGCGACCACTATCCTGCAGAATGCTCATGCCGATTTCTCTACTCGGGATACCTCACGCAATGATGCTGAGGAGATCCGGAGACTAATGAACACAAGTGCTGAGTTGCAGGTACAACTAGCCAAAGCACGCGGGGCACACGGACAAGTCCGTGTAGAGAAGGATATGCTTGCTGAACGATTGCGCGCGGCTGAATCGGAACGAGACCGTCTTTTCTCTAAAATGGAGGACTTGCAGGAGTCGGTCTCTTCGAAATCTACGGAGGTTGTCGCTGCTGAAGCCAAAAACACGGAGCTAGAAGAAGCCCTGGCTCGCGCTCTCGAGCGCCTCAAAGCCGCGGATGTGCAGTCTCAGACAGACTCTCAGCATATCGCTCAGCTGGAAGTGGTCAATCGCGATCTCGGAATTGAGAAACAGCAACTCAGATCACAGGTTGGTTCTTCTCTCTACACGTCCTGTTTTTGTTCTAAAGCGATATCGGTGACTAGGTTGATTCGCTTGAACTCCGGACGACGTTCATGACACGCGAGAGAGATAACATTGCTGACGAGCTCGCCGCCCAACGACGCCAGAACGAGGAACTTGTATCTCAGCAGAACAACTGGGATGAGTTACGACGTGCCTCAGAGCAGATACAGGCACTCACGCAGTTGGTTGGTCAGGCCGACAACGAGGAAATAAAGGAGCTGCGGCGCATCCGTGACCGTAGTAAAATCCTCGAAGGCGAGCATTTAGCTCTTCAGCGCCGCATGAAGGAGTATGAGACCAAAATGACGTCGAACGAGAAAGTGACGCAGACTTCACGCCAGAGCCTTGTACAGGCGCAGCAGCGAGCCATAGAGTGGGAGAAGCGTGCGAAGGAGTATGAGGCCGAGCTAGAAACGACGCGGACTAAGCTCGACAATGCCGAGCAGGCGCACGCACAGATTGAGACGGACTATTCTTTGGTAAAGCTACAGCTTGAGGAGCGGGATGCTGAAGAGCGCCTGGATAAGGTGAGGTCTTGTTTAGAGTTCTTGACGCTGTGCTCAACCATTTATAGGATCGGCAAAACAAACTTCGTGATCAGATCGCTGCGCTGGAAGCGCAAGTCTCCCGCCTACAAGCTGAGACAGACCAAGCCAAGAAAGCGGCTGCTACTGCGACAGTTGTGCAACCCACCGCGCGATATTCAAACGGAAATGGCCACGCTCGTTCCCACGTCCCATCGCGTCCCGACTCCCGTGCGAGTACTATCTATGGCGAGAGTCGCGCGGGTACCCCTACTGCTCCATACAATGGTTCGCGTGATGCTGCCCTCCGCATGGCTGCCTCGCCACAACCGTCGGTTTGGTCTCTTCATGGGTCACGACGAGCCGATACGACGTCCATGACTTCCAAATCGCAGAGGCCATCGTATTACCGCCCACAAATCCCATCGCCAACGCCCAGTAACGTATCCGCTGCGCCGACCCTGGGGGACGATGGCTGGTGGGAATAGTGGGACATTGGATCCAGGAACGGGGTCTGCTATATATTATTCGAAACCTTCTCACGTCTGTCTCATCGGAAAGGATATATTATAGACATTGCTTCTTGTCTTGGGCCATCGACTCTCTGCTGCTCTTGCATCTCGGTTCACATCTATGCACATATGTTACTCCATCTCCTGGGCATGCTTGCCCATAAATACCACATCTCATTTCTCCTATCTCTTACAACTCTCACATCGATACCTCATTTGTTGTACACAGCAGCAAGTTGCAAGTTTGAATATATACTGCATTACAGTAAACTGTTGTTGTGTGCTAATGAGGTAGACAAATGATGTAGACTGAGCAAGACATGAAATGCAAATACAGGTAGTTATAGCTGTTCACGACAGCAGCATTTGATATCTATTATGAATGACGAATTCAGGATTGCGACGGAGGCCGAGACCATATCCATGCTTTGACTGCTTCCACCGCTTCTTCTGGGTCTTGCGGCAGGCTGTGGGATGCACGGTGAATTAGTGTCTCAAACATATCAAGGAACAGTGACGCACGTGAATTTAGGTCCCCATCGACCCTCTCTGTCCTGCTGGAAGAATCGCGGAACAAAGTGCTCCCCGCTCTCCTCTCGCTGTCGGCGTAGCTCGCGCTGCGACTCCTCTACGGCTGTCTTGGCCTCCGTCGCCGCCTCCATGTCTTTCGCGACGATCGCCTGCGTAAGCTTCGACCACAAGCTGATATGAACGCGCTCAATAATGTTACAATCAGCATCGCGGGTAGACAAGTTGACGCACCGGCGTGATTCGTTGGGCTCCTGCTCCTCTTCCGGCGCGACCCACTTCGGCGCGACCTTCTGCCCGTTCTTCTGCACGTCGAACAGGACGCGGCGCTCGCCCGTCTGCCGCACGCACACGCGTCAGTTTGCCGTGGCACGCGACCGCCTGCGACGCGCACCTTGCTGCTCTTGTACTCCATCACCGAGCTCCACTTTCCGCTCACCTCGCCTGCGTCGGTGTTGCCGCGGCGCACGCGGCCTTGGATCGCGTTGTATGTGCCGGAGAAATAGCCCTTCGTCTTGAATGTCAGATCCGCAGTGAGCCCGTTGCGCTCGTTGCGGGCTGTACATGCGTCGCCGAGTTCGAGCACCATCTTGCCCCACAGGATCCCGCGCGCATACATATTCGGCATGGAGACGACGTATGCTGCCGGCCAGGGTCAGGCAGAGGGAGCGATACGAAAGGGGAAGAGGACGTACGGCCATCATCAGGACGGCCCATGAGATAGATCCGGTTCTCGCCTTCCATCGTCGTTGACACGCTGTTCCCAAGGAACTTGGATTTCGGCCGCAGCTCGCCGACGATTGCGACCTTGTTGGCGGGGGAAACGTAGTAAAACGCGGACACGGGCGGGTGGTGCGAGACTGCGCCGCGGGGGCGTCACCGTCAGTGATGGCGCCGCGCAGTCGGAGGACGCTGCGCGCACGCACCTTGCTCTGCGATGTAGAAGCCCTGCGTGCCGTCGCTGTAATCGTACCGGCAGCGGAAGAACTCGCCGTGCACGGGGTTGTATCTGCCGGGTGGGATGAGGGACGTCCGGGACGCCTGCACAGGGAGATGAGATACGCACGGTTTCTTGACGCCCTTGGGCTTGATGTGCCAGCCGGCAAGATAGTACTGGAGCACACGGATGAAACGCTCCTCCGAGTCGTCGTAATTCTCGGCGCTACAGCAGGTTCAACATAACAAGGAGTGTCGTAAACGACGTGATACGCACCCGAAGACGAGATCTGGGTGGGACATGAAATCGGTGATACGCTCGAGCATGCTGCGCGGCTCGAGCACGAATGTGGGGAAGGTGACCTTGGAAAGGTCCATTCCTACCCTGTATGCGTGATGTGAGGCATGGTCGTGGACAGGCATGAGTGAGAGCAGGGAGCGACATGGTTGGCTACGCCGCTGCCATTATACAATATTGGATGGTACGCTGCGTTGAACTGCCCGTAGCATGGTTCGCGGGCAAGCACGACCACAAACCATATTGCACGGCAGGTGTGGCCGTGAAACGAAGCTTGCGGTACACATCTCCAGTTGCGAACTCCAGGTGCGGCGAGGTGATGCCAACAGCATACAGGGGGCGAAACTGGTTTTCTGTGATGCTTGCAATCATGTCACACCCAGGAAAGACGAGCTCAACGTGGACAAGTGGCTATCAGTAGTGCCCTCTGGCCACGCACAGACCACACCCTAGAACACCTCAGGTCGGATCGAGATAGCCTGATAGTACTGGACTCGACAACGTATTTTTAATGAGAATATGAATCCGTACGCCCTCCCTGTCGCAATTCAGACCTCGAAGCTCAGCTAGTCCGAGGGGAGGAAGGGGTTGCATCGTATACCTCATCGCGACCACTGCAGACGACCATGTCGCAACCTGCTTGAGAGAAACAGATCACACACCTCAATTGTGAAATCATAGACTTGATAACCGAACCCTCCTCCTCATCCCTACAGTCGGCAATATCGTCATCGGCATCAATATCGAGAGCGGGGTCAGGTTGGTGGCGCGCATAGAAGAACATCGTGTAGGTCAGGCTAAAAACGGCAGGACGGGATAGATGGGCACGAACAGGACGGAAACATCATCCGGGTTGGTATCTTCGGGGATTTTGTCCTCGGACTCGGAGGACCCGCGTGGACGAGGCACCTTGGAAGCTGCCTGGTTGAATAGACCCATCATGGCTCCTGTGATGGGTGCGCTGTGGGCAAGGTGAGGAAGAAGGGGGCGTGGAAGGGGGCAGGCAGGAAGATCGCCAGAGATGGCACGGCGGCGGGTATTTAGGTCAGAGGTGTATGTAAGAGCGGTGTCGGTGTGATGGTGCTCGAACGGCGCGGCAGCAGCCCGCGGCAATGGCGGTGCACGTTCGCGTGATTATAATTGCGGCGCAGTAGGCTGGTCGTCGTGCAGAACGGCGAGCTCGATGGGTGGAGAGAGCAGAGTGAGGTGGACACTGGTCAGGAGCGGGCTCAGCCACACATCCTGTATGACATGCCCGCGCCTCTGACGCGTGTTGCCTCCTCTCTCTCCTACATCCGCCTCGGCAATCCTCTTTTTGTTTCGGTCCTCGCTCGCCCGGTTTGAACTTTTTGTCTGACTACTGAGTCGGCAGCAGCTTTATCACTGCGATCATCTTCCGCCTCAACAGTCGCCGAACACCGGGCTCCCAGAGTTGTGTGCTCAGCAGGTACACGCAGCAGATGCTGCCGGTAGGCTGCCTGTTCGGCATTCATCAGATTTGAGTTCGCCTTGGCATGCTCGGGGCCGCAGCATTCATAAGACATGACAGTAGACTGGTGTGTGTAAAAACCGGCAGCTATCGCATTGACAAAAGCCTCACAGTCGACAGAGTTTATACGTGCGTCGTAAATTCTGGAGTGTTCTGAGCACACGCGGGATTTGATTTGTTCTCGTGCTGAATTCTTTGCTCATACGCGAGGGTCACTGTTCGATACACACATGCTCTGCTGAATCTCGACCACACATGGTTGTGTGCGTTCATTCAAAAAGCTTTCGATGTTAAGTTATCACATGGAAAGCTTCACTCATTAGTTTGATCTCCAACTCTATCGATTTCTGTCTATATATCATACCAGGAATCTGCGATGCTGGTCCATCCAGATGTCTTGCAGCCAGCGGATTGATATGTGGAGGAATCTCCTCTCTGTATACATGTTACCCACGCGTCAAGAGCGCACTCTCAAACAACAGTGTATTCAATGTGATCCCCTTGTGTCGTCGTCTGCATACAAGAAGCTTGACTGCGTCGTCTTCTTTCACTCAGTGTCTAACAAGCTGTCCTCAGCCATCGACCCGTCTCGATTTACTGTATTTAACGTCCTTGTGCAGTGACCTCAGGCTCCTGTGGTTGGAAAAGTTTGTGCTGATCGAGGTAAAGGGCGGAATCCGTGTGGTGTATACGGATTTCATGAATTACCTTGATCGCTCACATGTATGCCCGTCAAGCAAGTGAACTGCGTCTTAATTCAGCAGTATGCGTAAGTATTAAAGTGTTTTACAAGCGCGGACACTGTGCAGTTACGCGTTAGAAGCGACCAGGTAAATGCACAACACGGGCACGCTGCTCCAGACATCAACAGAGCGTTACCCGATTCCTACAAGTAAGTAACGCGTCTTCCAAATTGTGACCGGTGACGGAAGCGGTACCGCATTAAGATACCCGTCGACTAATGACGCCACTTTCGAGGACGATAAGACATTATCAATCGCCGGTGGGCCACTGGTAAGCACACGTCCCTCTTCCAGACTCGGAGCACGAATTGCCCCACGGTGTACTGAGATCATGATCATGTCTACTAGGCCCAGACGAGGCAGGCTCGAGCCAACCTCATGTCAGAACAGGTCAAGACGAGTTGCAGATAAGGACCATCACAGCTTGCATTGTCCAACTCCCCCTCCGAACCATGGTTGTCGCACAAAGAGCACAGACCCTTCGCGCCCTCGTCCGACTGCTGGCAAATGCTGCCGAAACCGTGATCAGAGAATGGGAATCGGAGCGCGCGTTGGCTGACACTGCTGAAGGAACCTTTGCTGCCCATATTCCATCGCCCGGGCTGTATGAGGCTGGACGTGTCATCGTGGGTGCCTGCGGCGAGTGTATCGCTCTCGTGCAGGATCCCGTCGAGCGCTTGCTCGAGGTGACAACATCTACATGCGCTGCGAAGGCATTGCAGATAGCTGCGAGAGCGCGCGTTGCCGAGGTTCTCTCGCAAGGTGACACCGACAGGGGAGTCTCCATCCAGTCGATCAGCAGTCAAACCGGAATATCGGACAAGAAGCTATGTGAGTACTTAAGTCTGCCTGCACCGGCCTGACCTATTCAATCACAACTTGACCATGTACGACCTAGTACAAGTGCTCCGATGCTTGACGTTCAACAGCATCTTCGCTGAACCTCAACGCGATCACTTCGCCAACACCGCATTGAGCCAAAGACTGGTGAGGAACGACGGTCTACGGTGCTTGATTACGATGTGGTGGGTCTAAGTATTATGCATCGTGCGGCATCGAGGTCTGAATGCTTGCAGGGGTGATGTAGGCACCGCTGCAGACAAGCTTCCGTCGGTGTTGTTCGACCCTGTCAAGACGCATTCCACGTCTCCGCGTGAGGCGGCGTTTCAAGTGGCCTATCAAACTGACTTGACGCTCTTTGAATACCTCGAGCGAGGTCAAAACGCTCCGAGGTTCGAGGGAGAGCCATTGCATCTCGAGACATGGATGGTCGGGATGCATACCATCGGCGAAACGGAGGCTGCTGCTTCGTATGTCGGTGCGAGTGATTCACTATACCATAAGCCGCAATAGCGCAAGTAAAAATCTGTACTGAGACGTTTCTCATGAGCAGATTATCCTTGGGCGGCATTAGGCTCAAAGCTCGTCGTTGACGTCGGAGGCGGTGTTGGTATGTTGCCTTAGAATGTGATGCATATACAATCAATCGATGTTGCGAACCAACATCATGCATCCCACAGGTGGCATGAGCCTCGAGCTGGCCAAAAGATATCCGCAGCTCAACTTTGTGGTCCAAGACCGCGAAGCGGTGACCAAGAAGGCTGAGGCTGTGTGGGCACAGGCGCTCTCCAGGCCAGCCTTAGAGACGGGTCGCGTCAGGTTCATGCCTCACGATTTCTTCACGGAGCAGCCCGTCAAGGGCGCCGATATCTACCTCATGAGACACATCCTGTGAGTACTGAATTCTCGGAATGTGGCCTCGCATTCACGCGCACACAGACACGACTGGTCCGACGAAGAATGCACCATCATACTGCGGCACCTACGGGAGGCCATGAGGCCAGACTCGCTACTACTCGTTGCAGAAAAGGTCACGCACACGGCGACGGGGTCGCCCCACCTCAAGTCCGCTCCGACCCCGCTCCCGCCCAACTACGGATATGCGCAGATGGTCCCGGGCACGTACGCTATCGGCATGATGTCTCTCCTCAACGGGGTGGAGCGTACACCCGAGGAGTTCATTGATCTGGCGGAGAAAGCCGGTCTACGATTGATCAAACTATGGGAATGCCGGGGTCTGGTGCACGTCATTGAGATGAGGAGGGACGACTCTAGTCCGATGCTCAAGTGATTCACGCTGTTTGAATCATAACATTTGGACTACACCGGATTAAACCCCGTTTGTCAAGGCCCGTCATTGCAGTTCTCAGACTGCTACTTGACGTCTTGATGGCAGTATGCAACTTTAATTAAGTTCATTCTAGGCTCTCTCAGCCGCGCTTTGAGCCCTCGTGTCACCCAGTCGTATACGTCGTGCATGCCATTACCCCGCGTCGTGCGTCGCGACGTCGCCGCATGCCGGTGCTCCTTGTCCCCGCCCTCCATGTCCTCCCTCACGACCAGCCTCCTACGACGACGACGCGCACGATGCGCACGTATCCGGTACATGGCCCTGCGCGCGTGACGTCGGTGCTCGGCATGCAGAAATCTACGAGTCGGATCCCATGAGTGCGCTGCGTACATACTCTTCCTGGTCATCACCACTGTATATTCTGACGACGATGCGGATTATATTGCCCGCTTCCTCGAGGGGCATCACCCCACTCGCATCCCGCTCTTGTATACACAATCCGCCTTGCAGCGGCGCGGTTTGCATCGCCCAGAGGAAACGGGCAGTTGTATACACAAATACTCCCTCGATGTCCGGGGCGCACGCCATATATGGGCACCACACAAACGTTCCCCGGACATCCGGGCAATTTTATAGTTGCGGCGGCGGTGCCCAGATACTGTGTCTTCTCATTAAGGTTGGCAAAACTGGTGCAACAATGTCTGTCCTACTCGCATTTGGTTTGTCACAGGTAGGATACTAGAACGGGAATCGAAGGGACCATCCATTGCACAAGGTGGAAGACCTATGCACAAATAAAATGTGAATACACCGCATAAACCAAGCAGGATAAGCTTACTCTGTAATCGGTCGCGAAGAACTTAGGAAGGATACGAGACAGCAACTCGATCTTGCCTGAAGCGGGGACGATCTTATCGTCAACAATGCCGGACAGATTGATCCTGTCCTCGACGAAAGCGTCGAAGAAAGGGTAGCCCAGTAAGGCACAGTACGTCAAATGAAAGGACGAACCATATTTATACACGTTATCCTATCACGGAACAAACAATTTGACATAACGAGCCCAGTGGTTCGGTTCGCAGAGCGTGCAGTCATAAGCATACGACAGTATCGGTTCTAAGATGCGCAGACCGAACATGTTCAAATGTCTACCATTCCGGTTATGTTATGGCCCTCTGCGGTTCTCACGGTACCAGTGTCAGCCGGACCGAATGAATATATGGCCTCAAGCAAGGAACGGGTGCCGTTTTCCAGTGTGAGAGGTGTTGGATCGAAGTTCGGGTTGACCTGTTTGAATTTTGCGAGTAGCGGCCCTATGTCTGTCACCATACTGGTCAAGGCTGCAATCGTTTTCCATGTAGTAGTCCAACGTCAGATCCACTTTGCTCTTCCGAGCCAATAAGGCAACAACGGTGACTTACGCGCGTCGACGGCAGTGGCGGATACGTCGACTATGCCAGGAAGCAGGCCGACCACGGTGAAACCCTCGCTCTCCAGGAGGACCGCGTACTTCGTTAAGATCATGTGCGTCGCAGCTTTGGACGCGCCGAATGCTGCTTGGGCATCGGTACGCAGATCCCATGTGATAGTACGCTCGCCGACGTGACTGCTGAGGGCGACAATCTTTCTGGTGGTGCCTTTCCGGAGCAAGGGAAGGAATGCGTTGATGGAATGCACGACACCCACGGTGTTCACCTTGTACTACATAACAAATAGTTTAGAGCTACGATCTGAAATGAAGGAGAGACCACGAACGTATTGCAGGAAGTCTTCCTCGAGTTTCTTGTCGTCCTCACTGAATGGATGAATGTACGAGTCAGATAAGCCCCTTTAGTCAATGACGTTGGGCCGTACTAGTCGGTCAGCCTCTTGAACATCGTCGGGACTTCAATTCGTGCTGCACTATGAATGAGAACATCCAAGGAACCACCAGTAATTTCGGCTGCTCGTGCCGCGGCGTCCTTATGCTCAGTCAACGCCGGGCCAAGAACGTTGGTCCACGATGACAGTACCTTCAGTGTTACGTGGTCGGCAACGTCCGCCTGCAGGACATGCACATTATTCTTCTTCGACTCGGTGACGAAGGCCGTAAGGTGCGTGGAGGTAACAATGTTTCGCACAATGGCAAAGACGACATTGTGAGGGCTAGCAGCCTAATGATTGTAATTGGATGTTCTGATTGCCAGACGTCAGTGAAACATTCGGACGAACCAATTGACGGACTAGCTCCAGGCCTATGCCTCGAGAAGCACCGATCACAGCGTAAGAGGGCATTGAGATCTAATGTGAATGTAGCAAAACAGGGCAGATCCAGAACAAAGCGGGACGAGCCTGTGAGTTAAGAGAATGATGGGGTGTAACCCACTTGGTGGGATTCCACAGTAATTATATCTTAGCAGCGCTCAATGAAATCGCGCAAGTCAAGACACCATATGAATATGCAAACGCCGTATCGGCGTATCTGCTACAGGGACACGGGCGCTGAGTAATTCTAATGCTATAATCGGGGAGGGGGGTCAATCTCCGAGCTCGGACTTAGCGATGTCCGATGCCGGGCACATACAGGAGGTCTTCAGGGTACATTAGTATCATAGGCAAATCCTGCATGTACATACTGTCCGAACATTCGGCGATTCAATAGGTACTGCGTATAGCATGGCACCAGTCCCGTGCAGATTGTAAGCCGCAAACCAGAGATGAGATATTGGTGGTGGTGAAGCTACTATTCCTTTCTATTGAGCCAGCCAGCAAGGAGATTCACCGGCGAGCGTTTCAAAATGATAGTCACGAAGACAGACCATCAATACACAAGCCTGGAAAATAACGAGCAATTCCATGAGGGGTGCCAACGACTTACAAGTCCGGGTCGCGACGAGACGGTCACGTTACCATGTCCGGAAGTCGCGTCGCGTCGAGTCGCATTTGGAGCTTCTGGATCACATGGCACCACTTCATTCATGCGCGGCAGACATCAAACATCGGTTCTCGCAGAGGAAAAAATGCTTCATATGGAATATACACCAAGAAACGACTCTCCACAGTAAAAGTCGACCACGTTATCAATCCATCGAGCAAGCTGAGCTCATTGAAGTCGCATCAAGCTTGAACCGGGTGCAGGTACCAGAACTGGTTGTTATCGCCGCCGTCAGCGGCCTGAAGGACGATCTGTGATTTCACTCTCGTCAAAGAATGTCATAAAAAGGCGGAGAAGTGACAACGCATACCTGGGTACCATTTGCACTACTGCCGAGGTACAACACAAGAGACTCATCGGCGAGTTTGATCCTAAACGAAGTGCCAGGACAAAGATTTAACAAGTGGAATGCGACTGCGTCTTTCTGGGGTATACCAGACTCACTGATACGACCCATCGGAGTCGATGAACGTGAACACGTCTGGAGGCGTGCCGCCGACGATACCCTGATTCTGTCAATTATCTCTTCATTAATGGAATGAATTCAAGCGCTGAGCCTCACTACTCACGATGGCATGGACCGGAGCAAGGACATATGTGCCACTCGCAGCGTTCAAGATCTTCCATGTGTTGTCGCCAACCTTCTCAAATTGCCACTGGAGAAGCGATTAGTATTTCATGCATGTACACGTCCATGCTCATTGTGTCTTACGAGCTGATTCAAATTGTTGGCGTCCGTACAGCCTTGAACCCTGGTGTCCTGGGCACTCGACCCGCTGGTCAGATCCATGTAGTTCCCGATACCGACGTTCTGAATCCTATAGTTTCCAGGCTCAATCGACATTGTAGCGTATTGCCTCGAGCGTTTGCGAGGAGAGAGATGAGCTCACGAGAACGAGAGCGGACGCTCAGCCCTGCTGCATGTCGCGGCCTTTATACACCCAGGCCTATGCTGCGGCTGTGACTCATCTCGTCCGCCGATGTATGTTGAAGTCCTAACATTCCCTAAGAACCGCCCGAGCCCGACATTGTATATGCAGCACATGCGCTACGACGGCGTGGGAAACACCGATCAGGCTAAAGACCTCCGAAAACGAGGGTGCTCTCAATGTCAATGTGAAGCGTGGTTTATTCACTTTTAGACATCTTGCAGGGAATCTCGGTACCGAATTTCAATAATCCGGGCAGCGTTGAGAATATTACTACGTGTAGGTTGTCGCCAATATCGAATCCCCGGATCCAAACAAATACAACATGTCGGCGGACAGGGTCCGCCGCGTCCAAAATGATGGGATCTAGAACGTTGAGGTGTCTAGCAGGTTGGTTGACATGACAGTCTCGTAACGCATGACCTAGGCTCGAGACCGAACTCATGTCTACGTGCAATAGAAGAATCCGCTTGTGAAGGTGTCACCATTTTCTAGCGAATGGACATGTCTTCTGCAACTGAACTGCTGACCACGACGAGAGTTTTCTTATTCCCTTCAAAAGACTGCCCGATCAGTCAATAATAATCATCATCGTCTGTGCGACCGCATCGTATAGCCTCAAATGATTCTGCTTGAAGTCGCTGTTCCTCTGTGATTCTACGTAATTGCCGGGTTGAGATATCAATAGAGGAGTAGATTTGTGGGATACTGCAACTTGAAACCATAACCTGTGACGTCATGTTCAACGCACATCACAATCACCTGAAACTTTTAGACCTATACGCAGCCGGTGACACCCACCTTGGGCTATCGATGCCGACACTTCCGCAATCACTGTCGGAACAGGAATAGTGATGGCAGTATAGCTATAAGTAGGACCTACTAATGGCCAGAGCGGGTGCCTATTATGAAGAGGGAGTATAAGGGATGTGCCAATCATGATGAGGGATTTACTATGACCCTCTGTCAAAGTGGAGGCATCTGTATAAGCCAACTTCACTAAACCATATTTCCACCGTGCTTAACCTCTTACCATTGATGGTTTGTCTTCGAGACATTATGAGCAGCTAGAGCTAATGTGGGCGTCGCCGCGTGATCCTGATCACAAGCACCCAATCATAACTGCACTTTGCCTTGCGCAGCGACAGCGCAGGCATACTGACGCAACGCGTCCGCCTCTCATATTCTTCTGCTGCACATACTCCCAGCATTGTTGGTCGCCCTTCTTGCACCGCTCACACAGTACCACCTACATCACCCCCAAACACATTCAGTGAAAATCCACCATTAAATCTCATCTTTGTACTCACCCTCAACGGGCCTTCCATCGTCAACCTCCACCCAAGGTCGACCTTTCTCCAACCGTGCTCCTTCGACAAATCTTCTGTGCCCTCCTATTTCCTCTCCTTGTCTAAATCCTTCTCCGCGTGTTCCACCAGGGCTCGCAGACAAGTATCAATAAATCAAACGCTTCATGGACACTCCCGTCAGTCATCACAGCGATGCACCAATTCAATTAATCCACACTCACCACAGTACCCTCCCGTCGCTGATTTAGCGTGCTGTGCATGGCATATAGCAAGTCCCTGTCGCGCACGCCACGCTCGAGACCACTTTCGTCCACTCATCTGCTGACGATTAGTTCGGCTCACAATGCTGTGGAAAGAAACCAGCTACTTCACATGCACATGAGCATTCGGCAACCAATCCTGGTTCACCGTCACCTCACTTAAAAAACCAAGACAAATTGACGTAACAATTGCGTGTGGAGGAACGATCTAGTATAAACGGTAAGTCAAGATATCCAACGGAGGTGCCACGTTGAGAAATGCGTCAAATATTTCTGATTCTCTGGGAGAACAATGTGTCGCGGTGCTACTTGCACTTCTGTGCTCGTCGAGAGCCATTCCACAATGTTGTAGGTTATCCATGTAAGGGCCGTCGATCGCTGCAATGCTGAATCCTGGTCGGTATGCAACTCGCCGCGTCCTCTTCAGCACCAATGCGTGAATGAGTCCCATCGATATAAGAGTATCAGATCCGGTACAGCACCACATCAGCACTTTGCCAAGGCAAGTCTGTACAACAATAAAGGCGTCAGTTGCTGATGCATCTGATTATCTCAGATCGCGTAGCAAACATCAACAAACATTATTACACAACACCTGGGTCATTGTGATATACCTAGCAGACACTAGGGACCATCGTCCAAAACATATTACTCACTGCGCTTCTGTATAGCAATTGGATTTATTCTAAGTTCATACTCCAAGCTTACATAGTGTTGCATAGGCTGCGGAACCGGAAGGTCGCATTGATTGCTAGCAGGGTCCAGGTACCGGAACTGGCTGTCGTCGCTGCCATCAGCTGCCTGAAGAGCGAACAAGTCCGGAGGCGTGCCGCCGACAAGTCCCTTGTTCTATTAACAATCTTTTTGTGAACCATGAAATCGAGCAGAGCCTCGAATCTCACCACTGGCAAGAGTGTGGATTGGTGCATTGTACATTTCCATCGTCAAAGCGAAATGTCTCCGATTATGATGCCCCGGCCCAGCCGACACACGCAAGTGGCACTGTGAGGCTTTACTACTCAGACACTCAGAAAGCTCCCACTTTGCTCACGAGAGATCAAAGGGACCATCCAATGCACAAGGAGCTTGGTGATAAGGCGCTGATTGATAACATTTACCCAACGAGTATTGGAAAGCGACGACTAGTCAATTACAATACAGTAGCAATACAGCTGCAACATCGACGAATAAGAGATTAAGATCCGATCGCAACACGGCCCCTACTCGTCATCACTCGGATTCGTGAGGTACTCATCGTCGCTAATGATCTGTTTCCGGGAGCTCTTGCCTTTGGGCGCTGGTCGTTCGTCTTCGTCCATAGGTGTCAACGCGGCATCATATACCGCTGACGATAAAGAGGCCGCCGCAGGCGGAGCACCGGGAAGATCGGATCCAACGATCAGACGCTCGAACGCCGCATTGAAGACCTTCTCCATCTCATCGGCATCCACATACACCCAGGACCCTTCCTGGTTGTACGTTCGCGCGTTGTTATACATCAGCCGCCAGTCTTCCCGGAAGTCAAGGACGCTCTTGTAGTAGGTGCTCTGCAAACGTTTCCGGAGAGTGGACAATGCGATGGGCTTCGT